AACTTATGCTTTCTATCAGAAATTTTGTTAAAATCTAAAAATAATAAGTTATCAATTTTATTCCTTTAAACATATATCAGGTGATCCATTTAAGTAGGTACACTCATTATCTCGGAAAGTATTAATTTTTTCCGGAATTTGTTTTCTAGAACATTTAAGAAACAAGCTACTCTACAATTTTATATTTATGTTATTTTTGTAACCTTTTGGAGGGGGGATAAAACCACTACCTACATTTGATTTTCAAATGTCATCCTAAATTAAAAACTCAATATATTAATATTAACACGCCGCACGCCGTACCGTCACACAAATGACACTCAACTACTGTCCTCCAACCCAAATTAAAAGTGGAACATCTCGTCAACGGATAGAAGGAAATCAAAAATGTCAACACTTAAATTTATTTCAATTAATAATCCATCTATTTATGGAATTTTTAATATAGGTTACCATTTGAAAATCAAAAATTGGTAGTGGTTTTTAGTAAAAATATAAAATAGTAGAGCTACTACTTCTTTCTTAAATGTTTTAAAAAACCCAAAGGTCTTTTTTATATTCCAATTTTGTGACGACACTATTTAACTTTTTTTTATTTTTTGTCGTAGAGTTGTTCCAAATACTTTCCTGAGTGTCATCACAATGGCCATTTTTTCTAAATCGACCCTTAAGAGATTTAAAAAGGGGTTTCAAGTATTTTTAGTTTAAATATGAAATTGTTTATTTATTTTTCATTATTTATGGGTTACCAAAGTATTTACAGATTAAAAAAAAAAATGACAAAAATAAAAAAAACGTTGTAGAATAATGGAGACGAATGCAGCCACTGTTATAGGTAATGTATATTTTTAAGCAACGATGAACCATTGCTAACAATAAAAAACGATTCTGAGCGCAGTTCAGTTGATAGTGATGCTTTGTCAATAATATGTATGTCAAACTATGGTAAAATAATTAAATAGGCATTATATATTTTCTTTAACAATATTTGTTTAATATTGTACCGATTATACCATTTTTTTCGGTTTTTTACATTTGTTGAAAAAACTACTGGGAAAATCGAAAAATGGCCTCTTTAAAGTACCTCCCCAATCAAATTTTCTTTTGGAAAAAGTGCTATTATTGTAAATCTGAGCAAAATTTCTGGTAGAAAAGTTGTCTACAGAAAAATTCTTGATAGTTTTTCACAAAAGTTAAAAAAATATAACAATAATAGGTAACTGATGATACATCGATTTTATTTTGTTTTGATTTTTAGCTAGGTTATAATAGGGAATATACGAACACGACCATTAATACCAGTTTACTAAGCTCTACTAAGCTCTACTCAGAATTTTTTTTTTTTAATACAATTATTTATCATTGCTTTTAGTTTATTTACTAGATTTTCCTATTCTTTCCAAACTTTCCACTTACAACTGTACCCAATCAATAATAAATATTTACCAGTATACTTACTCTAATAACTATTTATAATCCATCAATAACTAACTTTTCGGTGCAATAATAATAAGTCTTACCAAAAGGTAACTACTGCATTCATACTTTTAGCGATTTAGCCGGAAATCTATATTAGCACAATAACACGAAATGTTACAAAAACATTTTTCTGATTTGAACACATTTTTTTTTTGATCGGAGGGGAGTCTAGTACACACGAACCCCCTCCCCCTTCCTTTAAATACGGCACTAGTTGTGTTGAAATTTCTATATTTGGTTTGTGGCCTGCATAAATACATGCGTACAAAAAAAAATTGAAATTACGTCATTGAATAGTATCATATACAAATATCATATAAATTGATGGCCGTTATCCACAATAATATAGACATCATTGAAAAACCAATATATTCCTCGCTTTCCTCAGAATCTAAAAGAAAACACACTATACCTAAATTTATAATCTCATTGCTGGTCAAAAAAAATCATGCATCAAATTTTGAAATCTTTCCTTAAAAGAAATTTTAAAGGATAATACTTGCAAATGTGAAAAACAAGGGAAAAACATGGGAAAACCGAGAAAAAAGTAGGAAAAACTGGAAAATCGGTATAACATTAAATAAAAAAAGGCCTATTTAATTATTTTTTTATATACATCATATTGTCACGTTGACAAAGCATAACTATCAACTAAACTCCACTCAGAATCGTTTTTTTGTTAGCAATGGTTTATCGATGCTTACAAATATACATTAAATTATCCATAACAGTGGCTGCATCCATCTCTATTATTCTAGGCCGTCTGTTTCGTATGTGTGTTTAAAATTCAAATTTTGACAAAAATCGTAAAAATTATAATGGTTCAAAAAATGTTTAACCAAACTTCTCTCACAATTGTAGTTCATTAGCATTGATAGAATAGAAAACAAATTCAGGTTGAGAGATACAAATTTATCCAGATCACTCAATAAAATATATTTAAAAAAAAAAAATTCTCGAGTTTTAATTTGAACTAACGGTGAAGCCAAGATTTTGAATTTTATGAGTTAAATACATCTTTAATTTTGACATTGGAGAAACTAAAAAGCGTGAAGAAGGTTTCGATTAAAAAATGTATAAAGGTGTTTTTGTCAATACGTATTTTAATGTAATACTTAAAACAAAAATGTATACAGAGTGATCCACTAAGTGTGCTTACCCCATATTTTGGTTAAATTTTGCACAAATTCAAATTCTGATTTTAAAATCTTTAAGTGTAGTTAAAACCCATATTTTTGTATACTTGGATTTTTCACAACATTTAAGGAATATCCTTTTAGACACCAGCTTTAGTTTTATATTAAAAATATTAAAGATATATATTAAATTACCTATAAAAGTGGCTGCACCCGTTCCCATTATCCTAAAAAGTCTTCTTTTTTTTTTTTATCTTAAGTTAATATAGGTCTTGAAAATAAAAACGTGATACTGCTCACGGATAGTTGTAGTTAATGGGTAGTTGGAAAAGTAAGATATAGATAATTTAATTCTGTTAAAATATACTGTTTACAACGAAAAATCGTTGTGACCTCATTAAAGTTACTACTCCAATTAGATTTCCTTTTAGAAAAAGTACTATTATTATATATCAGAGTAAAATGATGGTATAAAAGTTATCAAAAAAAAAAAAAAAGAGCTGATACTAGGGATGGGAGCGACCACTGTTGTTGGTGAGACTTTGAGGAGGTAGGATACATAAGGTTATTTAATTTATATCTGTAAGCAACGATAAACTATGGCTTGACGAAAGACTAATCTGAACACAGTTTGGTGGTACATAATTTGGAGTGCCGTATTATGACGAAGTTTCAAGTCTCTACGTGTATTTATAATCAAATTACAGCAAAAACTCCTAAAAATTAAAATTCATTTAAAGCTCAAAAGTGACTTAATAGCTTTGGCTATAATACCGTAAGAAAAAAAAAATTAAAAAGGCAACAATAAAGGTATCTTGTGATTTTTCAATTAAATCATTTTTTCTGGTAGAAAACGTCGTCTGTGTTTTTATAAAATAATGAAATCGTGAAATTATACCTTTTCCTACGTTTTTCCCCATTTAAGTGCTTTTATTTAAAAAATGGCGTTGAAAATCAAAAATAATCTGTTACAATCTAGACAACTTGAGCTTTCAGAAAAAGTGCTACACTTATACATCGGATGAAGTTTACTAGGAAAAAACGTGTCCACAGACTAGAACTAAGAACAAAAAAAAAAATAAACATCTTAGTAAAATCAATAGCTTCTTTACTCCACTCAGAATAAAATAAAAAGGGTCTAACGGATGAGCTGCTGAAATTTTTTTGAGATGCTGCATGAACAAATTGTAGAACTTGTCTCACCATTAAAGGGATTTTTAAAAATGCATTAAAAGCAAGTTCTTGGAAAAAAGTACCGGAAATTTTGAGAAAAAATTAAGTACTACCAAGTAAAAATTCTATATATTAAAAAAGGTATAAAATAAAAAAACTTAGAGCTTTTTACTAAACGAAAAACTGTTTTCCGAGAAAGATAAAAACACTTATCTTTATAAAACTAATACCTTCTTCACTAAAATGTATGATCTAAAATGTGTATCTATAAGTTATATTATAGGTGTACTTAATACAATTTTAGGTTTTTGGAAAACATCGATAGGAAGAAATAAACAAAACAATTTTAAATAATAATAATAATACAAATTATTATTTTATTAAACTAATAATATAATATAATCAAAAATAATATCTCCTTCATTGTAGAAAATTGAATGATGTTTATTTTAGGATTATATCATCATAATGCTGCTGTAATCGTATTACTCAATATAGGGATATTATATTGTGACCTTGCACTTACACTATATAACTCAGGCTTCTACTCGGATACATATTTGCGGAAAATTAGGTGGGTAAGTATCGTATAGATTACTTTTACATTGCTATGCGATAAGTGAAAGAAGTTTTAATTATATAGGTAGGTATAAATGTTTTATATATTCATTATTATAGCACGTACTTTAGTCTTCAGTTTTACTAGTAGTAGTTCGGACGTGTCCGTTTTCGAGTTGAGTATTAAAAATATAATATTATAGTATCATCTATATTATAATAATAATCGTGTGTGTTCGGGTTTCTGAGTTCGGAACACTGTTATAATATTACCGTGCAAAATTCGTATGTATGTATAAATATATAGGTAGGTACTGTAAAAAATAATAATAATATAATATTTTAGAAAAAAAAAACAAATTTCTACAGATATTTTAACGGCACATTTTTTTTCTAACGGTGGTAACGGTAGTATAATACAGTAATATTTGTTTTTTATAAAAAATTAAAATGTACCTTTTGTAGTAGGATGAGTAACTGAGAAAAGAGGGGAAAACCGTTTGATATTTCATTGTTTTGTTTTTTTTTTTTTTTGACGCTTTCAGCCGGAAAATATTTCGAGAGACTTCACGCGTTCAATTTGCCAACCGACTTCGTCGCAGTCTTTCTTGTGTGATTTTCGCCATCACAATACTACGAAACTTCACAATACTGATGGAAGGAATATTAGTGAGGACTTTATTTATATTGCAGGGTGCTTTTCTGCCGTTCACTGCGTCTATTTCTACTTCCAAGCCGAACATCGTATTCATTATGGCCGACGATTTGGTAAGAAGTTCTATTATTTTTTGATACCTTAAAACAGTCGATTATCCAAATCCCATTCTCTCCAATATATCAAGTCAATTTTTTGTACGTAGTAAAGATAAAGTAGAGGTAAATGTATAGATGCATTTTTCTCAATAAAACAATAAAAAATATTTGTTTCGGGAAATATTAAAATTGGGAATAGATTTTTTTTTCAAGACATTTGGAGAAATGATATACAATTCTTTACCCTTCACGATTACCATGAAAAAACGTACGAAAAATACCTTATAACCAAACTGATTATTATTTTCATTTGCTTTTTTTTTTTTTTTGTATACATGTTTAAGTGAATAAACTGACAATTTTGGTCTGCTATTCTTAAAATGTTAATTTTAAATTTTTTTTACCGCAAATATAAACTTCATATTAAATTTTCAAGCATTTCTATTAAGTCTAAGAATTATATCCACATAGCACCTACTGAATAAAATTTATGAACAAAACTGGGAAAAGTAAAATGATTTTAAGTAACTCAAACATTTTACCATGTCTAGAAAAGGCAAACATACGTTTTCCATCCAAATTTAAAGTGCCTACGAATATGTTTAACTAAATTACAACAAAAAGCAAAATTGAAAATAATAAGAGCATTATTTTTTTAAATTTTCCTATTTCTCTTATGCTTTATCCCGAATTTTCCCAGATATTATAAAACTGCTCGGAAAATCAAAAAATTACTACTTGTTCTTTGTTCTAGTCTGTGAACACAATTGTTCCTAGCGAACTTGCTCCGATGTATAAGTGTAGCAACTTTTATGAAAGCTCAAGTTGTCTAGATTTTACTTTAAACAAGTTAGTTTTTCATTTTCTATGCCATTTTTCAAATAAAAGCACTTAAGAGGGAAAAAACGTAAGAAACAGTACAATTTCACGATTTCATTATTTTCACAAAACATCTTTTTTGTTGCCTCTTTGATTTACTATCTTACGGTATCATCACCAAAACTTTTGAACTACTTTTGAACTTTTAAGGAATTTAAATTTTTGGGAATTTTTTGCTGTAATTTGGTTATAAATACACGTAAAGGCTTAAAACTTGGTAATAATACTAATATTGGATTTACCTAGACGTGGTAAAATTTCCAAAATCATCGGACGATTTTTTTTTTTTAATAATAATCTTTTTGAAATCAAATTTAAACGAAAATCGCAAAAAAAAAATACGGCACTTCAAATTATCTATTATCGAACTGTGTTTGGAATCGTCTTTTGTCAAGCAATGGTTTATCGTTACTTACAGATATAAATGAAATAATCTTATGTATCTTACCTCCTCAAATTCTCACCTACAACAGTGGTCGCTCACATTCTCAATATCAGTTCTTTTTTAATATCTGTTTTTATCCCAATGAAAGACTTTTATAAACTCCATAACGTGATGTCTATTGTGTCAAACATTGCCTTTCTTTTCATTGCCATACTTAGAGATATATTCCGACAAAAAAGGATCGAATTTAGCAATATTTTCTAAATATCTCATATAATTGTCTTTATGTACAGAGCAAAATTCATTATTTTGACCATGAATTGGCAGTTAATGGAAGACATTGGTCCAATACTTCAGTTTGATTCAATTTCTTCACTAAACATTTTATCATTTGAATTAATATTTTCTTATGATCTTGAAAACCAAATTCTAATTGATTCACCATGCAGCTTTGCTTTCTTCGTGACATTTCTCTTTTTCTTTATATTTTCCTCGTGTTTTAATCCATATTTTAAATTTCCAAGATTACTCTTTCTGTTAGAAAAAAAGGCACTGAAATCAAAATAAGGTTTTGCTGAAAAAGAATACAAGAGCCACTTTATTTTTATCTTTTGTCGGTAATGCAATATCCTAGTAAGTATAGCACGGAGCAGTTTACGAAAATATTTTTTAAATTTTTGTCAAATGATATTAAAAATAATTTTTTAACACGAATTGAATTGAATTGGTTGATTTAAAATAAAATAGTCTATATATTTTAAATTAACTATCTATTTCTCAGAATCCAAGTCAGTCGCAGGAGCAGTTTTGTTTTTTTTTGACAGGGTAGAATAATTTAATAAAAATTATGTATATATTAGTAAAATTAAATATTGGTATATTTTGTATAAATATAAATTGGTACAAAAATGAAAGATTTGTTTTATTTACCAATAAATACAATTTAAAACTGAACATATGCATGGAGAACTTGACTATTTATTTACCAAATTATTATTTGTATCGTTTGGAGATTTGAAGTTTCCCATTCAAAATTTTTTATTTTCCTTAAAAGTCATAAAACACTTGTTGAATATTATCAAAGTACTAATATTATGCTTCATATCAAAGTTCGTCTATCATGAATTGCAGGGATGGGTAACTTAAAGTCAGAAATGGTCCACATTTTAGAACTTATTTATAAACTTTATTTATACTTACAACATGTACATATGCATATATAACCTAATGTAAGATTTGATTTCTGTCTACGAATTCATTGAAATTATCTACGCATACAATAAACATAATAAAATGAAAGCTGTCCTAGAATAATGGGGAAGGGTGCAGTTACTGTTGTAGGTGGGAAGTTTGGAAGGTAGGATATAAACAAGAATTTAATATATATCGGTAAGCAACATTAAACCATTGCTTACGAAAAAACGATTCTGAGTGGAGTTTAGTTGATAGTGATGCTTATATGAAACAATATGAATGTTATTTTATAGTAAAATAATTAAAATGCTTTATATATTTTCTTTAATAATATTTGTTTAATGTTATACCGATTTTCCTAGTGTTCCTACGTTTTATCCGGGTTTTTTATATTTGCTGAGAAAACTCTTGGGAGAATTAAAAAACCTACCTCTTTAAAGTACCTCCCTAGTGAAATTTCATTTTAGAAACATTGCTTTCATTAAAAGTTGGAGCAAAATTGTCGGTTGAAAAGTTGTGTACAGAAAAAAAAAGGCCGTATTACATTTTAATTAGTACCTACATTTCTTTTATTTTTTTCAAATTTGATGAGAAAACTCCTGAGAAAATCGAAAAATGATCTGTTTAAAATACCTCACTATTGAAATTTTCTTTTTAGAAACATTGCTATCATTAAAAGTTGGAGTGAAATTGCTGATAGAAAAATTGTTCACAAGAAAAATGAAGGACAATATCCTGGACAAGAAATTTCTGGGAAATAATCGTACGGATTGTAAAAATCCGGTGTATGAAACTCTGTAAATGTCCGGATTGTAAAAATCCGGTGTATGAAACTCTGTAAATGTCCAGATTGTAAAAATCCGGTGTATGAAACTCTGTAAATGCCCGGACTTTAATCGGTCGGAAAAATAAATGCTCAGACCAGAATATTCTGGACTGTAAAAATCCGGAAAGCATAAATGCCTAAACCAGAAAGTGCAGGACTATAATAATGCAGAATAAAAAAATATGCACATTGTTTTGTCCCGAATAAGATCTTTTTAGAATTTAACAAAAATAAAAAAAAACACTGATAGATGGCGATGATTCGCATACATTCCGAGATATTGCGGTCTGTAAGATTACATTCCGGAAATTTCTTGTTCAGGACATAACAGTGTGCATATTTTTGTATTCTAGATTATTATGATCCGGGACTTTCTGGTTTTTGTTATTTATGTTTTCCGGATTTTTATAGAAAGGAACAGTGCCAGAAATTTACAATTTTTTAGGCCTGGGACAGAAAGAAAAAATTTGCCTATTTTTAATGAATTTAATACGAATATTTCTTATCTCATATTTTGAATGAATTAAAAAAAATAATTTATAATTTTACAAGTATTTTCGACTGTACACTTTTTTGGTATTCTTCAATTTTAAGGATTAATTAAAATTAAAAGAATAATTAAATCCAGTAGGAGGGCCCCTGATCCACATGGGCCCTGGACAAATACCCACAATGTCCTTGCGTAAATAGGGCCCTGGACAGGAATATTTTGGTCTGAGTATTTATTTTTTCGGTCGATTACAGTCTAGACATTTATAGTGTTTAATGTTCTGGATTTTTACAGTTCACCGTTATTTTGTTCGTAAATTTACTTTCTGGAATTTTACAGTCCACATGATTATTTTCCGGAATTTTCCAGTCGTCCAGATAAATTATTAAAATATTAAGATTTTTTTTTCTGGGCACAACTTTTATACCAGTAATTTTGCTCCAATTTATAAATGATAGCAATGTTTCTAAAAGAAAATTTGAATGGAGAGGTACTTTAAAGAGGCCATTTTTCGATTTTCTCAAGAGTTGTCCCAGCAATGGCGAAAAACCATAAGAAAACTCGGTAAATCCGGGAAAAACGTAAAATTGGAAAAATTGGTACAACATTAAACAAATATTATTAAAGAAAATATATAGAACTTACTTAATTATTTTACTATAATATGACATATTGTATATTGTTGACTTAGCATCACTATCAACTGAAATCCGCTCAGAATCCTTTTTTCGTTAGCAATGGTTTATCATTGCTTATAGGTGTACATTCAATTACTTATAATAGTGGTTGTATCCGATCCCATTATCCTAGGACGTATTTTTACATACTAAACTTTTGATTTTAATATAAATTTAAATAGTTTGCGAAACAGTAAATTATAAGAAATGTTGATACTTAATAATAAGTAAAATTATTGAAAATTGAACTAATTATAATTTATATATACTAAAAAGCATGCTATTTCCTTGATGACCGACTTCTAATCACCACACTTATTATATTATTTAGTTTACAAAAACAATTCTATTTTTTTCAGGGGTGGAATGATGTGAGTTTTCACGGATCTGACGAAATTCTGACGCCGAATATTGATGCTTTGGCGTTTAACGGTATTGTACTGAACAATTTATATACGCAACCGGTGTGCACACCGTCTCGAGTAGCTTTGATGACCGGGAAGTATCCCATCAAATTAGGTAAGTACTTATGAAAAACCATAAATACTTCTATAAACTACATACTCCTTAAATTTTATATCAAACCTACGTATTCGTATCTAAGTATAAATATCGTCTTTCACTACACTTAAAAATTCCAAAAATCAGAATTTGAATTTACCATAGTAATTTAACCTTAAAAATGCGACGAGTATGTTTAAAAAATCACCATGTATGTCTTACCATATTTTCAATACTTTTGGACATTTTAACGCAGCAGTTCCCACTAGGATTTTGGAAAGAACACATTATTATTTTCGAAAATTACTCATGGGCCACATGCAGTAAATTAATTTTAATCAACGTTTCCTTCTGGACCAAAAAAATAAATATCGGGGTATAATATAGTCGTTTTATAGGGGGATAATTGAAGTGATAAACGTTCGGTTTAATTTTCATATGAATTTCAGAATGTTGTTGCTGTAGTGGAAGTATTTTTGCTTGAAACAATTTCCTTAAATTAAGCTCGAGGAATTATGTATATCATTTTAAGTAGTGTTAAGGATAAGCCTTTCGAAGTTTCAAATTTCAATATTTATCTTTTCTGTTTTTACGCTAAAATTAAATTTTTTTTTTTGGATGTTGAGTATATTATTGTAAATTATAATGTATAGTATAGTATATATAGTATTCGGTTATTTATTGTTTTGCAAAAACTATACCTATAATACGAAATAGGTGAGGGAAAGTTTGACTTTTTTAACGGAACTCTGATGCCCATGGTTTTTTTTTTAAATATAATATTCTATGAAAACCACAAAATGGATTTAATCATTTGTGTATTATTACGTTAAAGGTATGCAAGGTCCTCCAACTTATGGTGCTGAACCAAATGGCTTACCACTTTCCGAGAAACTGTTACCAGAATACTTCAAAGAATTGGGGTACTCGACTCGGGCCATAGGCAAATGGCACTTAGGTTTCTTCAAACAAGCTTATACGCCTACACGCCGGGGTTTCGAATCGTTTTTAGGTTATTATACGGGATACGTTAGCTATTACGATTACATCCTTCAAGATACCGTGAGTCTTTTACAATAGATTTGACTTATTAGTCGAATAAAAATGTTAACTATAGGTATAATGTATATAATATAATATGTTATATGGTCATAGGTAAAAACGATATGGAAATAAACGACATTTGGAAAAAAAAAAGACTTCGCACGATAAGTGAGCCACTGTTGTAGGTGAGAAATTGGGTAGGATCAGTGACGGATATAGGATTTTTTTTTTGGACGGGCGGCCAAAATGTTTAAATTAATTTTTAACAATGATCACTAAGTATGAAATTATTACGTACTTTTTAGAAAAAACCTTTGGATGGGAAATTGAACAAGTATACGAAGAAAATTTGTTTTTATTAAAATAATTCATAATTAATCGCTCGACAAATGAATAAATGTATATGATGATATGACACCAGACCCGGGTCAAGAATTAAATGTATTATTACAATTAACAAATTAAGAAATGACTGAACGGGTGGGTGTTGAGGTGATGGTGTTCCTTTCTTTCGTACGTCAGTGGTGCTCGTGGATATTCTTTTGAGCTGATTCAACTGGACTGAACTCCATTTTTGTTTCTTCCCGTTGTCTTATACATTATGTTTTGTCGTCTTGGTCGGCGTCTAGGTGATAGTGGACTCCATCGTCGTTGTCTCCTTATGGTGACTTTGTCCGTATCCGAACATGATTTTTCCGTGGCCTATCAACATGTGACATTCGTTGTTGCATGGAAACGTTTTTGGTTTGGCATACCCATATTAATGGCCCTTAATGTGACGACCGATTTCGCATTTAGTTTTGTACTTGTGTGCAGTTATTAATTCATATCAAAAATTGTATACACGTGAAGGACAGAGTCTAACAAAATACAGAGAAAATTATAATCAAGTATCAACATAATCGACTATCGTAATAGTCTAATAATTAGACTTTAACTGCAATTTAAACGATGATTTATAATCATTATTAACTTATATTATTATAATATACAAATACTGTAAATATAATATAACTGAGGGCTGGCCTTTTTGGCCCTCTCCTCTTTAATCGATTAATCTTTGCTAACGAAAAACAATTCTTAGTGGAGTTTGGTTATAAATCATGTTTAAAAGGCCGTAATATTTACGTTTTTCGTCAAAATTTGAAATTAAAATTCTAATAAAAAAAATTACCTTCCAGTTAAATTTTAAAGAGCATTTCTGTTTGATCTAACAATTTTATCCACAGAGTGCCTACTGAATAAATATTACTTACAGATCTTTTAAAAATGAAATGTCTAATAGCTTAAAAATGGCATAAATGTTTTAAAAAATTTTACCCCTTCGATAAGAAGTAAATATACATTTTCTATCTAAATTTCAAGTCTATATTAATTTTATTAACTGAATTACAACAGATGAGAAAATTGAAAAAAATAAAATCATTATTAATAAAACAATAAAACAATAAAATAATAAAGTAAAAACAAAATTATTAAAAAGAGCTGATACTAGGGACGTATGCAGTCACTGTTGTGGGTGAGAAATTGGAGAGGTAGGATATATAAGGTTATTTCATTTATATCTGTAATCAACGATCAACTATTGTTTGACGAAAGACCGATCCGAGAACAGTTCGTTGGTACATAATTTGGAGTGCCGTAATTTGTTTTGCGATTTTCATTTAAATTTGATTTAAAAACGTTTATTGAAAAAAAAAGTAGTTCGATGATTTTGAAAATTTTACCACGTCTAAGTAAATCCAATTTAAGTATTATGACGAAGTTTCAAGTCTTTACATATATTTATAACCGAATTACAGTAAAAACTCCTAAAAATTAAAACTCATTAATAACTCACAAGTGACTTAAAAGTTTTGGCGATGATACCATAAGAAAAAGAAATAAAAAAGGCAACAATAAAGGTATCTTGTGATTTTTCAATTAAATCATTTTTTCTGGTAGAAAACGTCGTCCGTGTTTTTAAATACCATTTTGAGCTTTTAGATAAGTTGCTATATGAAAGTTAAGATAATGGAGATGGGTGCAGCCACTGATGTAGATGGAAAGTTAGGAAGGTAGGATATAGACGGAAATTTAATGTATATCTGTAACCAACTATAACTATAAACTATAACTTTCGAAAAACGATTCTGAGTGGAGTTCAGTAGATAGTGATGCTTTATCAAAATAATTAAATAGGCTTTATATTTTCTCTTTAGTAAAATTTGTTTAATTTTTTATAGATTTTCCCAATTTGTCTACGTTTTTACCGGTTTTCCCATGTTTTATTCCGGTTTTTCAGGTTTGCTGGGAAAACTCTTGGAAAAATCAAAAAATTACTTTGAAATTTCCTTTTAGAAATATTGCTATCTTTAAAAGTTTGAGCAATCTTGTTGGTAGAAAAGTTGTGCACAGATAAAAAAGAAAGCCGTAATATATTTTAATTTGTTTTTACATTAATTTGTATATGTTTTCCCGTTTTTTTTCGGTTTTTCAAATTTGATGAGAAAACTTTTGAGAAAATCGAAAATTGAGAAGTATTTCTCTATGTCAGTTTCCTTTCAAAAAAGGTGCTACACGTAGATATCTGAGTAAGTTTTGGTAGAAAAGTTGCGTACTGATAAAAAAAAAAATAAACATCTTTGTAAAACCATACGCTTTTCCACTCCACTCAAAATCTAAAATATATATACATCATTTTAAAACCAATACATTCTTCGTTGAACTTAGAATCTAAAATCTCAAGGTTAGGGCATGTTATAAATGACAGGTTTTAGATATAGTGTGATAATTGTGATGTGGTATAATATAAAAATATTTGTACGTACTATGCGACACGAGCGTCTATTCGATAGACGCTTCATCGAAAGGATGGTCGACGACATCATTGCCTGCACAATGCGCAATCGGCCAGATATGACCCTGAAAAGATTTGTGACGTAATGTGCTATGAATTTGTTAGTGTGTTTAAAAATGGTTTTTTTTTGTTTATAGACATAATATCGTACCCGTATACGAATATTTTTTTGAATACGTGTCTACTGACTGTGGGATATTACCAATCGTAATGAAAAACTGTATTGACTCCCTACGGCTATTTTCCCTAATTAATTACTTATTACGAAAATAATGTAATAGGTATCACTTACCATGGTAACCTGTTTGAAGTTTGAAAGAGGATCGTTGTTCAAAATATGAGATGTGGCCACGGAAGTTTATCCCATAAAACTCAAAATGTGCATGTCGTCGTTAAATAATATCAGGCGTATAGACAGCTGCTTATTAGAGATGAATGAATCCCCGCCGGCGTTAAACCTCAGATACTCAAATTCACTTCAGTTTTGTTTATGACAGTGAGCACTTCAATATAAAATATAAATTATATTTTTTTAAGAAATAAATACGTTATATAGTCAAATAAAGTGACAATAAGTACAATTATCAGGTATAGGAACAAGGAGAATTCAATTCAACAGTCTATGGTACTGCAACTATTAGGTTTAGAACTTGGAAGCGTTTTAAGTGTACTAGGACTGAATGAGTGAACAAATATGAGTGTTCCTGCTGGTAAAACCTAGAGGACTAAGAAAAAAAAAGTGACGCGTGTGGCGCCTTTATGTTATCCGTGGTTTCCCACTCTAGTGACTCTCACTTGACCATAATTCGCGATAGAAAGTTAATGTAGGGGCGCTGTAGTTATAATTGGTAATATGGTCATAATTAATTGATAAGAAATAGTTGGATATGAAATTTATTATGTATAGTAATCAGTTTTAATAATTAGTCCCGTTAAAGGGGTTTTTTGCCACTGCCATCAGGTGTCAGCCCATTCATTTTCTATCGGAATAGTTTTAAGTGGGGTGTCTCTATGTGGGTGACACGCGTAACTTACATTGTAAATTATGGCTTGGTGCACTTGGATGGCAACACTAATATTAATAATGGAACTATGGAACTAAATGCGATCGTTTATTACAAATATTAAATATTTATTATATTACCAATTTTCCACTCATTTTTTTATTATGGATTTAATTTTACGTTTTTATGTAATTGTGCCATTGTAAATAAAATATTTTTTTTGGCGTCGGTTTCTTCTATGTCGTTTTTTCCTAGATTCATATATGTATATAATATATGTATAATGTATATATTATAATACGTGCCTTACTCAATCTACTCTCTTCTCCAACTTGGGTTAGAGAAAGAGCTAGAGTCTTGGCTATCAAAACTTCTTTCCATTTATTTATATTCCAAATATATTATTCACATTTTCGCCAGGTCTTCTTTAATTTCGTCCAACTAACGCTTTTTAACTGAGCTTATTGGACTTTTCCTTAATATATACTTAGAATATCATAATCAATTCTCCAATTACGAATTATAATAAATAATATAATAGATTAATAATTACATATACACAATTTATTTTATTATACTTAAAAATATAGTATCAAAAATACGGTGAATTTAACGGATTCGACCTTCGGAGGAACGAAACAATAGCATGGGATCTGGTTGGAAAATATGCCACGGATGTGTTCACCGATGAGGCCGTGCGATTGATCAAAGATCAACCGGCCAACAAACCTATGTTGTTATACTTAGCCCATTTGGCCGTGCACTCGGCCAACAAAGGGAAACCGTTAGAAGCGCCGCAGTCTGAAGTCGACAAGTTCAAACATATTTTGGACCCAAATAGGAGGACTTACGCAGGTTACTTAACGGTTTTTATTAATACATTTTAAACAGTGATCAAATATTTACTTTAATTTTGCTAAATTATTTAAAATAGTTTAATTATCAAAAATACATTCAAATAGAATTAAAACTCTTTAGCAGATACTAGGAACTTGTAATGCATTAACGAACACCAAAATTTATAACTCCATCTATTTACGGAATTTTTAATATAGGTTGTCATTTTAAAAACCAAAGTTGGTATCGTCACAGGATACTTCTTAAATGTCGTTAAAAATCTAAGTATTCCAAAATTTTGGCTTTAACTACATTTAAAAATTCCAAAAATCAGAATTTAAATATGTGCAAAATTTAACCAAAAAATGGGGTGAGTAAGATTAGTAATTTATCCTGTGTATCATATCTTCAAATAATTTACTATTATCTACCTATTATACACTATATACTTAGTACAAGTACTAATAAAAGAATTTGAGTCATGGTTAATCAAACGAGGTGGATTTGGGGGATATATTCCTACATGACCTATTCCACTTCAAAATTGTACAATGATACAATATATTAAAGTGTCCCACGATGATCTGACACTTGAAATAACTTTTGTTCTATTTAATATTTTTAACATGGGAGTATTTAATCTCAGTCAAAGATAAAAATCTTGTAAGACTCCTTGGAAGCTTGTACAAAAATAAATCAATGAAAAATGTAACTTTAACTCTAAATGGACCGATGAGTGAAGACTAAATAGCCCTAACAATTATAACATCATCATACAACCTATGAAAAGGGTACTAGGGTCTAGGGTTCCAGCTATCACGGGAGGAATGGATGACACTATTTAGACTTAAGACTGGTCATGAAAAAACGGAGAAAATGCTTCATGAATTGAGTCTTAAAGATACACCACATTGCGACTGTGAACATTATACCCCGACAGCCAATCACATTTTGGAAGAATGTCCAACATACAAGGTAGAATGAAATACCTCCAAAGTTACAGTAGCAGCAACAAATTGTAAAACTAACCTGGACATTAGAATTCAAGACAGTTCAAATACAATCCCGACTTTATCAATCAATCAATTTTTTTTTTTTTATTAGATTCTTAATAAATCATATATGCCTCAGCGGTTATACATAAAAAAACAATTATAGAACTAACTACAGATTATTATAATAGAAAGTCTTCAGAAATAAAAAAGTAATTATGGAATGGATGAAGGAGATATTAGATGATTGAAAAATATGAGGGAGAGTAAAGGGAATATTATTAACAGTAAATAAAGAAGAAATTAGAAGACGCATATTTGTAAGGGCAGGACAGTTAAAGAGGAGATGGGAAGAATTACAGATTAAAAACTGTCATGATGAACACAAAAAGGGGAATCATTAAGGGATAGGTAATAAGCGTGAGCGGGAGTAAGAGATAATGGTAGTTCGAGAATTTTAACTGATACTCCGGGGATTTTGTGGAACCAGGGAAAGGATAAGATAGAAGGTCAGATAAGACGAAAAGTGAAAGCAAAAATAGGTGGTAAATTAACTAATTTACCATTTCCTGACCTAAAATCATGAGCCTTAAGAGCTGAGAAAAAGTCGGAACTAGGGATTTTGATTGGAGAAAGGATAGAATAGGAACATGAAGTAATGAGCTGGTCCGTGATTTCATTCCCTAGGGTACCTGAATGGCTAGGAACTCAAAGAAAGTGGATTGAGTAACCATAATTTGAAATTGAGAAAGGATCGAATGGAATAAATTATGAGGTAGGAAACAAGCGGAAACGAAAGGGGAAGGAATTAATATTATGAGATAAGATTGAGAGTCAGAAAAAAATGACCAAATTGTAATGTTATGCTCACATAACATAATATTATAACTGTATAATTATTTATTATTTATATCATTAAAAAAATGTAACTAAAAGATTCAAATATGGCCGAGTACTTGGTATTTCACAAAAGGTAAATAATTTAATAAATCTAACGGATCGTTCACTATTCGAGAGGGATGCAAGTTTATCTACAAGCAAAATAATTTAGATATGTGTCAAATATAACAGAACTACATGCCATCAACTACGGCCTTTTGAGGACACTGCCGCCTCAGTCATACTATTGTATATTGTCTTCTTTTCACAATTCGAGTATTACTTATTTTATATCGACATTGACGCGATTGCCGTCTGTTCCATCTTTTTAAGCATACAAATTCCAGTGGTTTTCTATCATTCGAGAAAAATCAACATCCAATCATTTACCATAATTTAGAACATTCAAATATAAGTGATATAAAATTAAGCAATAAATACACAACATCAATCGGCCCTTTGATGATACCGCCGTGCCGTCATCATTCTTTCACACTATATACCGTTACAATTATTTCAATACAAATTTCAAATCTACGTATAACACTTTTTTTATGGTTGATCTTTTTTTTATTGGCTTATATAAACACATAAAATGTAACGGTTTTTTCTATTGAAAATGAAGCGTCTTGATCCCTCTAGAAACCCCAAGACGAACACTCTGTCGAGAATCCCACACACAGCAACAACTACGCTCTACCAACTTCTTTCGAGGATCTCTCTCGAATAGCTAGCTCCGACTTTTAGCAGCTATAATCACTCGTGTTCGATTTATTTATTAACTCACTTGGTGTTAAGTGTTAATTAATTAAATTAATTTATCTTAATTAAATTGTGATTGCTGTTCAACGACTCCAGGTTCACGTAAGGTTATCCATAAGTATAGACCCTAGCGTTCCAACACCGTGGGCAGGTAATATAATTATATTTTTCTCTAGTTATTCATTTCGTCACCATTCTCGAATTCACGACTCCGAAACCCTTTCAAACATAGGAAGGAAGGTAGTAATATAACTAGTAAGCAGAACTCATATAATAATTAGAGATATATCATTCTTTGTAGTACCAAAACTTAGATCGATTGTTTCACTCTATATAGGCACATTTTTATACCTACTCCTTTATATTTCATTCTTTATAGATATTTCTACGTGATTATCCTATTATTTTAAATATGATTGTCTTTTATTTCTATACTTAGTGTCCTAAGTCTACTACTATCTCCCATTAACTACGCCTCTCCCTTGATATCATCCCCCGTCTTAACCTTTTTTAACTCTCCTCTTATTTACCCCCCCCCATTTCCCTTTCCTATTTTTTGTATTACTACAAAATTATGAATACTTAATGATTTGATGGTTAGAAGGGCTTTATATATAGCAAGGCATTTAGTTGGAAAAGACGAGGCAAATAGGAGAATAAAGGATTAAAGGAAAATTTAAGCGAAGACTGTGGACCTATGAAGTCTAGGGATGTAAAAATAATAACTAGCAGACGGATCCATCGGTAAATATTAGGCAAAAATTAGGATAGAGAAAAGTAATGAACATACTAAATATAGAGTCTATGGTAAAAGGTGGGAAAGACCGGATAGAGGAGTTAGAATAGATGCATAAGAATAAGAAGCTAATAATAACGGAAACTGTTAATAGTAAAGCTTCAAAATGCAAATCTTATACAGGCAGGCTGATTGAACAATGAATAAACGAAAAAAAAGAGCGATGAGAATTGATAATATTAGATAGAAGTAGCGTAAATTTTACGGAGTACCGCCAAACGTGAAAAATCGATAAATAAAGAGAAAGAATCATAGAGATCGGGAGAAGAAAATTTTTTTTAAAAAGAATTTACTGCCAAGCCAGTAAGTAGGAACATATAAAGGGGGAACGCGTAACTCGACTTCTAGAGCTGAAGAAGGAATGGTACGAAGAGCACTAAGAATAGAACGTAGGCACATATCTTGATAAGAATTGAGTTTAATACAAGTAGATTTACAAGCTGCATCATATAAAAAAATCAATAGTCAAGTTTGGCTCTAACTGTAACCTTGTAAACTAATAAAAGAGAAGAAGGGTGGCCACCTTAAATACGACCTTACAAAAATACAAGGAAAGGGAAATGGGACGCAAGTCTTCACCATTAGGCTTAGGTATGGTAAGACCTTACACTCTTTCTATGAAGGAGGATAAGACATTTAAGCCATAAACGATTTAAAATGCTCAAAAGAATCAGGTTGGAATTAAGCTAAACAAAAGTTTCAATTACTAAACATTTTCTAATAGTCAATTTTACAAAATAGCTAAATTGAATTTTTTTTTTAAATTACAGTAAAATTTAAAAATGTTTATTTTAAGTTCTCATTTCTTAAAAAAAAAAAAAGATTTCCAATATTTACTGTAGTGCAGAGGCATAAAAAAAATACTGACATAGGCACTTCTCATGATGGGTGCAGCCACTGTTGTTAGTAAGAAGTTGGAAAGGTAGGATGTAAAGGGGAAATTAATTCTGTAAGCAACGTTAAACTATTGTTTATTAAAAACGATTCTGAGCAGAGTTCAGTTGATAGTGATGCTTTGCCAACAATATACATATAAACTTATGGTAAAACAATTAAATAGGCATTATCTTTAATAATATTAGTTTAACATTTTACCGATTTTCCCGATTTTTCTACGTTTTTCCAGGTTTTTGACATTTGCTGAGAAAATTCCCGGGAAATTCGAAATATTGTACCTTCTTATAGTACCTTTCTGGTCAGATTTCCTTTTAGAAAAAGTGCCATCATTGTAAATCGGAACAAAATTGCTGGTAGAAAAGTTTTTCACAAGAAAAAAAAATCACAGTATTTTATTAATATATTTTGTACATTTTCTCGTTTTTTCTCACTATTTCCATTTAATTGGGAATACTGCCAAAAAATCAAAAAATGAATTCATTAAAGATCACCCCAAGAAAATTTCCTCTCAGAAAAGAGAATACATTGGAGTAAGCTTTCTGGTAGAAAAAGTATTCATATAAAAAAAAATAAACATTTTAGCAAAACCAATACATTCTTCATTAAACTTAGATTTTCAAAAAAGTTATGCGAACTATACATTTTTTTAAAATAAAGTCCATCGTTTTCAAATATCCGTATTACTTATATAGGTTAGTCAAAATTTAGTACTTTGGACTTGAATTGCGGAAATTATACTTCTAAAATCTATAATTGGAGTTAGGATTTTCATTATTTATTTAATTAAATTGTTTACGGTTTTTTATTAAGTACATAATCAAAAATTCAAATTGAACTTTATGACGTTTTTTTTTTATCTAACAGAAAAAATAAGTTTATGCGAATTTTTCCTATAAAGCATATTTAGAAAAAGGACATACTTCAAACATGGGGGTGTAGCCACTGTTGAAGATAGAAAGTTGGAAAGATAGAATACATACGGGAATTTAATGTATATCTGTAAGTAACGATAAGACATTACAAACGAAAAAAACAATTTTGAGCAGAGTTCAGTAAATAGTGTTGCTCTGTGTTTCCATGACAACAATGATTGTTTTAAATAAATTAGTATGGTACAAACTTAATCATAACAAACAATAAATAAAAACGGTTGCCATTGACAATCGTTTTTCAATCTTTCAATATGTTTAACCTAAAGAACGAGGTTTTCCACATTATCTCGAATATTAATGAGAATTTCAAAAAATAACCTTTTTAGAAAAAGTGATGTATTTAATAATCGGAGTAAAATTTCTGAAAGAAAATGTTAAAAAAAAAAAAACAATTATAAATAAACATTATTGTAAAACCGATAAATTCCTTGCTCTCCGCTCTAAAAAAAATATGTAAAAACATCATTAAGTGACGAAATTGTTGAAAATAATTTATTTTTCTGAGATTTATTTTTGTGGTCATTAATATTTTAATTGTAAACTTAATCACTTTTGTAAATAAAAAAAAAAAAAAAAAATGCAGGTCTTAGAACGTCATTAGCCTCATCCTTCCCATGACAAAATCTTTTAACCGCCACTGATTCAAGTACCTATAAGTACCTTTAGTATAGCTATAATATATACAGTCTCTTTTTTAATATGCCCCGTGTATAGCGATGGTATCTAAACTAGACGAATCGGTGGGTCGAGTGGTGCAAGCGCTGAAAGAAAAAGATATTTTAGAAAACACCATAATTATTTTCATGTCAGACAACGGGTCGCCAACGTTCGATGACTCTGGTAACGATTTTCCTTCTCATGTCGACGTCGGTATATCACCCAATTGGGGATCCAATTTTCCGTTTAGAGGCGTGAGTATATCTATAGGCACCTACATTTATTTAATAGGTATTATAATTTCAAAATCAAACTACTGTTTGAGTAAAACATTATTATATATTCAACGATGATGAATACATAAGAATTTTTGATTTTTATCGGCTCGCAGACGAAAAACACGTTATGGCAAGGTGGTGTCAAGAGCGCGTCTTTCATCTGGGCGTCGGATTTACAACGAAATCGTCGAGTTTCCAAACAGCTTATGCACATCACCGACTGGTTACCTACGTTATATTCAGCGGCAGGTACGTCGCACTATGCTGAACACAGCCTGTTAACTGTTTAAAACATTTAGCCAACCTTGGTTATTACTGACATTTAATTAAAACACAGTTTTCCACCGTCAATATTTTTAGTAGATTAGTATGAAATTATGGGAATCAGTATATTACAAGCAATATTCTAAGCCACTTAGGCGCATGGTAATTCAATACATTGTTTTTAGGTGGAAACCCGGCATTTTTACCTAAAAATCTGGATGGACTCAATCAATGGACGTCTCTTGTATCGAATAAACCATCGCAGCGCAAATATGTATTATTAAACATTGATGAAAAACAGCGTTATGCTGGAATTATTAAAGATAACTGGAAATTAATAATTGGTGAGCTTTTACATTATTAGAATAATATTAATTAATTACATTTTTATACTAACCAAACAAGGAAAGGATTATGTAAATTTAAATTATATAATTTGGCTAAAATATTGTAATCAACTTTGTCAAAACTATCGCAAAATCTATGTAGATAACTTTTACCTGATGACCTGCTTTATACAAATTTAAGACATCATTTTGGAAAACTAAACAATTCATAGCAATTGACCTTTTAGGTATAAAGCCATGTGTCTCGTCGATAATTATACTTTTATAAATAGGATTGATTTTCTTTAAAACAATACTTTCAACACTTTAGGAATAATTGGGACTTTTGAAATTGAATAATAATTAATTACTTAACTAATGTCACCTTCTTTAGAAATTAGTGAAATGTAGGTAACTTTCCATTTATCCGGTTTTCCTAAGTTTTTCTTATTTATTGAGAAAACTCCTGAGAAAATCAAAAATGGACCTTTCTAAAGTACCAATCCAATAAGATTTTTATTTAGAAAAGGGGCTACACTTGTAAATTAAAAAAAAAAAAAAAACATCTTTGTAAAACCTGAATCTTAAATATGCAGACATATATTGTACCACGGGTAGATCACTGTTGTAAGTAAGAAGTTTAGAAGGTAGCAAAGGAATTTAATTTATATCTGTACACAACGATTAATCATTGCTAATGAAAAACGATTTTGAGGAGAGCTTGGTCAATTGTATTGCTTTTTAAATAATATGCGTTTTCACAACAACGATTGTAAAAAAAATATGAAAAGATTAAAATAATGAAAACTTAATAATAACAAAAATAAATAAAAACGGTAGCCAATAAATAAAAATGACAACCTTATTTTTAATCTTTTATTCTTTTTAACCTGAAAAACCAGTTTATATTAGAATATTAATGAGAATTTTAAAATATGACCTTTCTAAAGTACCAAATAGAGTCAAAATTCAACAAAAAAGTTCCCATGTCATATTTTAATTGGAGCAAGATTTATGGTAGAAACCTTGCAGATACAAAAAAATAAAAAAAATACTCATCATAATAAAACCAAAAAATGTTTTTAAACAGATTTACTTTTTTAAAATTGTATATGATAAATAATCAAGTGTTTAATATTTTGGTTCACCATGTCCGTATGGTGACGGCACAATTAAATCTAAACTCGACTGTGACGATAACGTGCCTTCAGCACGTTTTCCCAGTTTTATGCACACAGGCTCGATGTTTTTCGGACACACTAATTCGCCTTTTGAATTTCTAAATGATACCGGATTCATTTTGATCCCGTATTCGCCTTTGTGTTTATTCACAGACAATACTGGTTCACCTCTGTCTGACCAATGTTTCGTAGGGTTTGGTTTCTTGGTCACTGGGATCGTAACCAAGTCAGGGCTACTCGTGAATTTGTTCAAATTAGGTGGGGCCGTTGTTGTAAATACGGGATATTGTTGCTGATCGATTTTCGCCGCAAGCAAAGGTTTCGTAACATTTGGCGGCTTTTTGACCGTTGCCAATAAGGAGGGACTGCTCATATCGTGTATTGTTCCTGCTCTTGCCTTCTCCATCATAACTGCCACATTCCTCGGTATTGCCCCTGGTCTCCAATTTCTATTGATCTAAAAATCGTCAAAATTATGTTTTATATTTTATTTTAGTAGGAAATATATAAAGAGATTAGGATATACGATCATGATGGCTATACGATCTATAAAAAAGGGCTTTAGCTGTTGGGTGTCACAATCGTAAATGGAAAGTTGGAAATATCGGATACAATAATAGTATCTGTACGCAACGATAAATCAATGTGAGAGGCGTAGGGGCTGGTTTGAAAATAAGAATCTTTTAGGTGGCCTCAATTGTATTGATATGGTGGTCTGATATTTGTATATAATATTTTAACTCACTCATATTATTTTGAAACGTAGTAAAAAGTTATGCAAACCTACACAAAAATTATGTTCTTATTTCAGTATCAAGTTTTTTTTGTATACATGGTGATTCACTAAGAGTACTCACACCATTTTTTTTTTTTTGTTAAATTTTGCAGATTTTTAAATTCTGATTTTTCGAATTTTTTAAGTGTAGTTAAAGCCCATATTTTCGTATAACTTCGATTTTTAACAACATGTACGGAGTATTTTGTGGCAATACCAACTTTGGTTTTTTCAAATGAGAACCTATATTAAAAGTTCATAAGAAAGAGGTATCATTTGGGTGGTGGCACAGCACGCAGCGTTTTAATAGTGCCCCACTACTCTTTTTTTACATTAACCTAAAATCGAATATCTCGTTAACGGTTTGATGGAAATCAAAAATGTTGATACCAAAATTCATTTAAGTTAATACTCCATCTATTTCTGGAATTTTTAATAGTTGTAATATATACCAAAAGTATAAAACCAAAGTTGGTATCAGCACAGGATACTCTCCTTAAATGTTATGAAAAATCAAAGTATACGAAAATATAGGCTATAACTATACCTAAAAATTCAAAAATCAGAATGTGAATTTATGCAAAATTTAACCAAAAAAAATATGGTAAGCACACTTTGTGAATCACCTTGCATACATTTTTGTTTAAAGTACCACATTAAAATGCGTATTGACAAAAATACATTCATAAACTTTTAATCGAAACCTTCCTCAGGCTTTTTAGTTTCTCCCGTATCAAAATTAAAGATGTATTTAACTCATAAAATTCAAAGTCTTGACTTCACTATTAGTTCAAATTAAAACGCGAGAAAAAGTTTTTTTTTAAATATGTATTTTATTGTGTGATCTAGATAAATTTGAATCCTTCGACCTGAAGTTGATTTCTATTCTATCAATGCTAATGAACTACAATTGTGAAAGAGGTTTAGTTAGACATTTTTTGAAACATTATAATTTTTACGATTTTTGTCAAAATTTGAATTTTAAACGCATATACAAAAAAGACGTCTCAGAATAAAAGAGATGAGTGCAGCCACTGTTATAGGTAATTTAATGTATATTTGTAAGCAACGATAAACCATTGCTAACGAAAAAACGATTCTGAGCGCAGTTCAATTGATAGTTATGCTTTATCAACAATATTGATGTCATATTATGGTAAAATAATTAAATAGACATTATATATTTTCTTTAATAATATTTGTTTAAAATTGTATCGATTTTCTCGTTTTTCCCATTTTTCTCATTTTTTACGATTTTTCCCATTTATTAGGAAAATTCCTAAGAAAATTGAAAAATTACCTCCCTAAATTTCCTTTCAGAAAAAGATCTATGTCATTGTAAATCACAGTGAAATTGCCGGTAGAAAAGTAGTACATAGAAAATAAAAGCCATAATATTTTTTTACTAATACCTACATTTTCTACATTTTCCGTTTTTCCGAAATTTTATTCCAGTTTTTCCGGATATTATGACGGTTTTTGTCAAAACTTGATATTAAAATTCCCTTGTAAAAAAAATATATTTTTGTTTACTAAAAAGTAAAACTCTTAATGAACCCCCTGTTAAATTTTCAATCATTTCTTCGGTTTGACAAAATTAAAATGCCTATAAATAGCTCAGAAAAGTTTCAAATTTTTCGAAAATTTGATTACGCCTAGAAAATAAAATATAAGTTTTCTGTCTAAATTTGTGGATATGAATATTTTTTACTGAATCTCAACAAAAATATTAAAATTTGTATAAAAAGCCTAAAAATGGCTCAAATTATTTGAACATTTTACCACGTCTAGAAAAGGCAAATATAAATATTTTGTCCAAATTTCAAGTCTCTACAAATATTTTAATTTGAATTCCAACAAATAACAAAATTGAAAAATAATAAAAGCATTATTTTCGTAAAATTCTCTTTTATCTTACGTTTTATCCTGGTTGTTTCAGATATTATGCAAACCACTAGGATAATCAAAAAATGACTAAAAATGTTAATTTTTTTTTTTTTTTATAACAAAGTAAGACTTATGATGAATCTCCTGTTAAATTGTCAAGCATTTCGGTTTGGTCTAACAATTTTATCCACAGAGTACCTAACGAATAAAAATCACATAAAAAACTTGCAATATTCTCGTTTTTCAAAATTATTATGAAAACTGCTTAGAAAATTAAAATAAAACATTCTTAAAGTACCACCCAAATATAATTTTCTTTCAGAAATAATACTACTTTTTATACATCAGATTAATATTTCTGGATTTATCTTAACTAAATCCAAAATTCAGCATTAAAGAATACTTGTCATTTTTTGATTAAAGGGCGCAAGATCTCTGATACAAAAGCTGTTCACAGACAGACATTTTTGTTGTTGTTTAATTCATCGAGATCCTATAATTCAGTAATAATAGCCAACCATTTCACCTTGACGCCACCGGTTTCCTTCAGTGACCATAGCCATCCTGTATTTCTAGGAGTCACGATTGGTAGTGGAATACAACTTTTGTGCCCGCAGTTGACTCCCGGATAAACTGCCTGGGCAAGTTTATTGATCTTCCCAGATAAAGTGGTGGCGTTTGCGTTCACTGACGATGTGTCTGATCCGGCAGTGCACGTAAAATGTGCAGTTTTCTTCTTATGATGTTTTTTCTTTTTTTGGCGTTTCTTATCGTTGTTGGCCGAAGAGACAAGCGGCGTGGTCTCGATTCGAACCATCTCCGTTTCGGATGCATGGATGGAACTATTATTGTTTTCGAATTGGCGTGCATCAGACTGGGGACCATCGTCATTTTTTACAGTATCTGGCAAAGTGTTCATTTCTTCTTTAGATTGCGATCGTGACTTCGGTTTTACCGTGGCCGGTTCGCGAAGTCGGTGTTCGTTTGCGTCGCTGGCCATACGGCATATGCAAAATAGGTCCGCGTGCTCGTCATCCTCAAACAGCGTGTCCTTTTGCCATTGTTCAAAATAATCATTAAAGTTTTTCAACAACACATGCGCTGAGCATCGGGACACCGGAATCACTGCTTGCAAGGCAGTAGCCGCCGCCGCCGGTCGTTCTCCGGAACACGGACAACTGTTTGGGGCACCATCTTGACCGCATTTTAACCTATTTATCACGGAAACCAACTCATTCTTTATAGTACCGCTTGATTTGGAATTCAGACCTTTCGCAGTATACGTTTTTGATGACATTTATATCGCCACGTCGGTCTGACTTTATTGTAATATTATGCGTATACGTTTAAGATTTTCAGTAAAATGAAATTAAAGCTTCTTGTTATTTATATAATCAGCATTATTGACGTTGTTATTAGCAACGTTGAGTTTTTTTGATTCATTTTTATTTTCAATGTTTAACGTAGTTAGTATAAATATATAATATTATAAGTAACAGTGAACATACGGACGCATTTTACGCGTATAGGATTGTTTAAATTAAATTAATAATATCTAGTTACTTTTATTTTACCTACTTTCAGTTCAAAACAAAATTATACAAATATAGGTTAATTTCAGTAAGTAGGTTAGTCAATTATATGTTAAGTGTTGTTATTTTATTATTGGTATTTTAATAATTAATTTTATTATCATATGAGTAAAATGTATGTATAAAATAGTGTCAAACAAAATGTAAAGACTAATAAATGAATACAGTTTGTCTATGCTTAGGTACTTGATGTGACATAATATTGTTGTAAGACTATGTACGTAGTTTACTATTTCCCCATGTACTAAGTATGGTGGCAGTTCCTAAACAGGCTATTATTTAGGTTGATATTATGTGAAATATTACCAAATCACTATTTACTTAAAACTAATTTTCGTTAACATGAACTATTTCATAGTGTTCTCGGTGATATAAACAACCAATAAACTAGCATGCAGCTCTGACTATTGCTTATTGGTTTGGCCTAACCTAACCTTTGGCCCGTGTAAACCAACAATCATTAATAACCCGACATTAAACATAGCCCCTAATACCGTGTACAATTTTCCCGTAGGTGCGACGAAAAGTGGGACGCTGGACGGGTTCTTCGGGGTGACCAGACCACGGGTGCAGTACAATGCCACGGCGGTGCTTTACAGTATGGCCGGCCGGGCCGTGAGCCGACTGTCGAGCGGGCTACCCCATGTCACGATTCAAGACGTTCTAGCTGCCCGGTACGAATCGGTCATCCGGTGCAACCCATCCGAGAACGGTACACAAACCCGGTCGCCGTGCCCGAGCGGTGCGGCGTGCCTATTCGACCTTCTGGCTGATCCGTGTGAGACAGTGAACGTGGCTAGAGAACACGTAGGCGTCAGCGCTCAGTTGTATGACATGCTCAAGTACTATAGGCGCTTGTTAATACCACAGACCAACCAGCCATTTGACCCGACGGCCAATCCTACCAGGTACAACGACACGTGGTCCAGTTGGGCGTACTGAAGACGCAGCCAGTATCATCCACTTTGTTGTCACCGAACAACGACTACAATCGCTATTATTATTAGTTTTGAAATTAATTCACTTTTACAAAACCCATTTAAATTTCCAAAAAAGCAATAACAACTTTAAAAAAAACATTCAATGAGCACAAGTTCTATCACTATGTTTTGAATTCCTCCTCCTCCCATATTTTTCATTACAGAAATATTAATTGTAAAACAATAAATAACCGATATAATACTGCATTACATATATGTATGCTTGCATAATATACACTTCCGAAAAAAAATTGTGCTTCAAAACTAAGTTCATTGTTATATAAGCTCTTATGTTTAAAATACACGTGTTTTTACAATGTTTAAGACTTTAATGTTTTTTTATGCTCATTATAACCGAAAAAATCATAAAATGGTAAGAATTAATTTAGAACTATTACCCTTCTTTGGACGTAAAAAAATTTACTTTTAAACCTAATTCAGTAATTACTAATTTCTTAAAACAAACATTACTATAAGCTTATTTTCTTCTATTATTTATTTATTTATTTTAGATTCTATAATGATGATTACTACTATGATTCTACTGATATCTGTTTTTGATGTTTGCCAAGTTCGCATTAGCATAATATGCTATGGCTATATAACTAATTTAAAAATTTTGATAGGATTTTGCTAGATTTTTCTAAGGCAACCCCAATACCCCTTCTCTGTATCACTGCAGTATACTAGGCTCGTATTCAGGATCAATTTTCGGAAAGGGGGTTAAAATATTTTTGATATACGAACATTAAAATTATATTTAACAAGCAGAAAAGTGTCATCAAATATTCGTCCCCCTAAATTAAAAAAAATGGTTTTCAAGTACGGAAACTTTAGACTCGTCTGACTTGTTTGAATGACGGATAATAATGCCGCGGCCATAACCATGGGAAATACTGAGGGCACTTCCCTTTTCCCCGGATTATTTTGTTTGATTGGTCATTTCAGTATGTTTTATCGTTCTTAAAAATAGTAGGTAACATATAAATTATAAGCCGATTTTAGATTCTGAGTGGAGCAAGAAATGTATTGGTTTCACAATAATGTTTAATTTTTTTTTTATCTGTGGAAAACTTTTCTATCAGCAATGTTGCTCTGATTTACAATGATGACACTTTTTCTGTAAGGAAAACTAACTGAGGTAGTACTTTAGGGAGTCATTTTATGATTTTATCAGGAGTTTTCCTAATAAATGAAAAGAAACACGGGAAAACCCGAAACCCGGATAAAACATGGAAAATCGGTACAACATTCATCAAATAGTATTAAAGAAAATTTATAAAGCCTATTTAATTATTTTACTATAAAATAACATATATATTGTTGACAGAGCAACACTATCAACTGAACTCCGCTCAGAATCGTTTTTTCGTTAGCAATGCGTGCAAATACACATTTAATTGCCGTCTATATCCTATCTTCCCAACTTTCCACCGATAACAGTAGCTACATCCATCTCTGTTATCCTAAAACAGCTTTTTTTATTTTTCTATGCTACACGTGGTACTGGTGGTGGACACCTATGAAAAACTCGATGTGGCGTGCATTATGTATAAATTAGATTGTCTTAATCAAAACACTGAAGTATAATAAACCAATATGTATTTGTAAACAAATAAAAAAATATTCGATATAAATTTAAGATTCTGAATGTAGCGAAGAATGTATTGGTTTTACTAAGATGTTTTTATACTGAGTGAAAAATTCTAGCAGAAATTTTGCTCAAATATATACGCACGGCACCATTTCTGAAATGAAATTTTATCAAGGTGGTACTTTTGGGAGGTCATTTTTTGATTTTTCAAACGGTTTTCATAATATCTGGGAAAAATCAGGATATAACGTATGAAAAAAGGGAATTTTACGAAAATAATGCTTTTATTATTTTTCAACTTCGCTATTTGTTGTAATTCAAATAAAAACATTTGTAGAGGATTGAAATTTGAACAAAAAATTTATATTTGCCTTTTCTAGACGTGGTAAAATATTTAACAAATTTTAACCATTTTTGAGCTACTTATAAATATTTTAATTTTGCGGGTTTTGTACAAAATTTGTATTCGATAGGTACTCTGTGGTAAAATTGTTATACATAGCAGAAATCCTTAAAAATTTAACTGGAAGTTCATTAATAGTCTTACTTTGTGGTAAAAAAAGAAAATTTGAATTTAATGTAGTAATTTTTTTTTTTATAACGGCATTTTAATATTAAATTTTTACAAAAATTGTTAAGTAAACAATTATGTGTAACAAATTTAATTTTTCAAATTTATTTTATTGCTCAAAGGTATATTGCCGATTTAAGAACGATGGTGAAGTCAGAATTATTGAGCGGACTGACAAAGTTTTGAAATTATAGCTTTTTGAATTTCTGATATTATACGGATATTATATGTTATGTTAAATAACTAAATATTGTTCTTTCTAAAGAATGTTAATGTTTGTTGCAGTTGAATGGTTAATCATAACCATTCAGCTACGATAAACATACTCTAAAGAAGATAATATAGAGTTATTTAACATAACATATAATATCCGCATATTCTATCATAGATATACATAGATCTTGTGGACAAGAAAATAAGCTACAATGATGGTGATTTCGAAGGAAGGAAGGTAAAAGAGGATGGACTGACCAACAGGATCTCATACGATTCGACACGATTCGACATAAACCTATACCTAACTTAAATCTAACTGGGTATGTGTAAAAGTGTTACAACGATACGACCTGCTTTGTTGGTAAGACGTTGCCGGAGGGAATCCGATCCCGTGAATCTACACAACTTGACCACCTGAACAGACAAAAACCCGACACGTAGTGGCCAGTGACAGACTTCTGCAATGGATTCGGCATGATCATGCTACTTTTCGGCTCAATCAGGTGAAAAGAACAAAGAAATATTGAGTGATTGGTGTCGGAAAGGCCTCAGGGGAATCGAAAAGATGAACACATTCTGGTTACTGTGGACAAATAAAGTTATTTTTATTTTTAATAATTTGTATGGATCACCTGTGTTCGAGGAGAACAAATAACAAAACAAATAACAACGAAAACGAATAACAGGTAACGAAACTCAATTTACGAAAATAAAGACAATTTACTCATATTTTTTATGGTTACTATACGAAAGAAACGAAAAAAACGGACCAAACTCGAGTAATCGCTAGTGGCGTCCGATTACAATAATAATAATTTTTAATATATATCGCCATATATGGAATAACACAAAAATAATTTTAATGATTAAAATATGGCTTTTTTTTCCACTAATTAATAATGAAAAATATAGCTATATGAAAATATATTCGATTTACACCATTCACAGATAATATAAACATTTTAATTAATTTACAAAAATAGGGAAAAACCATGGAAATATTACCTGGACAGAACTAAAAGATATGATTAAATAAACGGCACAAATATCATGGCCCACGTTGAAGGAGTCCATCCTTCAACAAATAGGCCACTGATAAAGTTTAACCGCAGGGCAAGTCAGACTGTCCGACGGTAATAACACGTGTGATCTAGGGTGTTCCTTAGCTATAGATGATGAGAAAAAAATATCATAAAATGTTTAGTCTCACCCCCCTAATATTGTGCCTATATGTATAAAAATGAAGTACAAAAAGTTTTGGTTCGATCAGATAAGGTTAACCCGTGCCGACTTGTGATTTAAGTTTGAACTTACTACATTTTTCAATATTTACGAAAATTTTCGACATTTTCGTAAATATTTCGTTAACCTTTAGAAATATCGATATTTTTAATACTACATATTTTAAAGTAAATTAAATTTGCTATAACTTTTATTTTATCATATTTTTTCATATCTCTAATGGTTCGTGAATTATATTGATTTGACTCCAAAAAAACACAATTTAGGTATTTTTTCATAATTATGAGTTATTGTGCGGGCTAAAATAATTTTTACAAAACTCTCATATGAAATTTTCTATAAAGTTATTTTATGTATTTTTGCCTTCATATTATCGCTGGTAATATAACAATCACAATACAAGTATAATGTTCACAATAATAATATATTAATCTAATCTCTTTCACCTAATTATTTCTCTATATTTCCGTACATAAAAATTAAATATCAATAGATTAGATAGTACCTATTCGTATGGTTAATTATTTTGATAATACGTTTTAATAGCAAGATAAGTCTGGTTCTTATTTTGGTACAATTGTTATTAGTGTTAGTTTGATCGTAATATCTGTTAAGTGAAGATCTAACATTTACCGTCGTTTGTCGTTGTATGATTTGTTATTGTTCAGGCATTGTGTTGTGATACAACTGCATTCAATACAGGACGCTTAAATGGAGCATGTATTTTAATTGAACAAAAACTCGGTAAAGACCTATTATATCTTCCTTGTAGGCATCATATTTATGAGCTAATTTTGAGATCTGTTTTTGAAATTAAAATACCAGAAGTTACATCAAGCCCAGCCATTCCATTATTTAAACATTTTCAAAAACAATGGCATAAATTAGATATTAACAAATATAACATCGGAATTGAAGATCAGGCATGTGGCGCTGCTTTAGAAAATGTTAAAGAAGATATTCTGAATTTTGTTAAAAGTAAATTAGAAACTAAACATCCTCGTGGAGATTATCGTGAATTTTTGGAGTTAATATTTATTTTTATTGGCGGTAATTTGGAAAATAAAATTAAAATGCATCCTCCCGGAGCCATGCATCAAGCCTGGTGGATGGCACGAGCAATTTATTGGTTAAAAATATTTTTGTTTAGAAGCCAATACAATATTTCCGACTTAACAAAAAAAGCAATCGGTGAAATTTGTGTTTTTATTATTAAATTTTACGTCAAAGCTTGGTTTACTTGTCCATTGCCAAATAAGTCCCCAAATCAAGACTTACAATTTATAAAAGATATGAAATTATATGAAGTATTTGATAGAGAAATATCTAGAGTATCAATTCAAAAATTATGCAACCATTTGTGGTATTTAACTGAGGAGGCTGCTGCATTATCTTTCTTTGATGATTCTATACCACTAGAGGTAAAGCGTCAGATGGTAAAAGCCTTAAAAAAAAAAAGCGACAAAATATCCGGCCAAACGATTGATAATTAAACCAAACCAAATAGATGATAAATTTATTGGTAAGTAAATAAACATTAAGTTTAAAAAATATATTGAATACGTTTAATAATTCATAAAATAAAAAATAAGCAATTAATTATATTTAATATTATAATTTTTACAGAAAAAAATATTGACGCATTTATAACAGAAGAAGGCTTAAAACTATTTTCCCGATTTAACATTGATGACGGATTCTTAAAACATGATCCGACTTCCTGGGAATCTAGTGAAAGTTACATAAATGGTAAAAAAATTATTAATTCATTAAAAATAGTTAACGATACTGCAGAGAGAGCCGTGAAGTTGATGGAAGAATACAATTCTACACTCACATTAGATGAAGAACAAAAACAATTTATACTAAAATGTGTACAAGAACATCGGAAAATTTATCCAGATTGTAAAAAAAGCACCTTACAACAACAATATTAATTTTCTTTATTCTATAGGATTTTTTTAGAGTCAAATCAATATAATTCACGAACCATTAGAGATATGAAAAAATGTAATAAAATAAAAGTTATAGCAAATTTAATTTACTTTAAAATATGTAGTATTAAAAATATCGATATTTCTAAAGGTTAACGAAATATTTACGAAAATGTCGAAAATTTTCGTAAATATTGAAAAATGTAGTAAGTTCAAACTTAAATCACAAGTCGGCACGGGTTAACCTTATCTGATCGAACCAAAACTTTTTGTACTTCATTTTTATACATATAGGCACAATATTAGGGGGTGAGACCAAACATATTTTAAAATAAAAAATTAAGGAACACCCTAGTGTGACCCCATCCGCACCGGGATGAAGAGAACGAATCTGACCAAGCCACCAATGAAGAGAATGCGTCGCTTTCTTGATGAGAACCAGAGAACTAAGTTTTAACGGTTATACATTAAACGGAATTATACATTTTTTTCCTGTGGACAATTTTTCTATCACCAACTTATAATGGTAGCAATTTTTCTAAAAGAAAATTTCACTGGGAAGGTACTTTAGAGAGGTCATTTTTAAATTTTCTCAGTAGTTTTTACAGCAAATGTGAAAATCCAGAAAAAAACATAAGAAGCCCTGGAAGAACGTGGGAAAAACAGGAAAATTAGTATATTAAATAAATATTATTAAAGATAATATATAATGCCTTTTAATTAATTTACAATAATGTGACATATATATTGTTAAAAAAGTACCACTTTCAACAGAACTCTGCTCAGAATCGATTTTCTTTAGCAGTTGTTAATCGACGCTAACAGATATACATTAAATTACCTATAACAGTGGCTGCACTCGTCTCTATTTTCCTAGAACATCTTTTTTGTAATTATTTTAGATCGAGTTGTTAATAGCGAGACTTGTTTTTTCGTCAAGTAGTGATTCTGATGTAATAGAAGATCTACATTCTAATATAATATCAATCGGACACGTTATAGAACAATCTAAATTATTTCAATTAAGAGATAAAACTAATTTTATAACTGATAAGAATTAAAAGTATTTAATACACATGGCGAGAATAAATGTCAATGGTTTGTGGATAACTGTTAAACATATTAAATTATTGAGTCTCTACTGTTGTCTACTATAGTATCATCATCGGTACAATATTGTTATCTAAATATAAAATATTTGCTGTTTACCATTTCTAATACAATATTCTAATATTCTTTTAGGTAATTTTTTTTTTCTTCATATTTTAACCCAACTATGACAATAGAACAGTAATTCCAATAGAATTTATACTTATTAACTTTTTTTTAGAAAGTACAATTTTTCATCATTTTTATACAGAATATTTTGTTCTATAATCAACTGTTATTCTAATAAATTTAAATAACCTCAAAAAAAAATTCAATTTTGTAAAATAAATGAAATATTTGAAAACATTTGATATTGTATCATTTTTCGAGGAAAATAATAGATTTATAAAAAATTGTATAATGATGTTTATTATTAAGAATATAAATATTTATAATTTAAGTTACATATATTTTTACGATAAGTGCAATCGTTTTTTAACTATACACATAAAAACCCTATTTTGCAACTTGTTAACCCCTTTGGGACACGTGAAGGAGTGAGTAATCATGGCTAAATTTAATCAAAATTACTTTATTATACTAATGAACAAAATTAGGGGATGAGAAATGAAAAATATTAATATTTTTTTTTCTTCTTCTCTAACTGAGGGTTACCTTAAGTATGAAATATTATTTTACGAGAGTCTACTAAAGTGAGTTCATAATAAATCGATTGCATACAAAGTGTAAAGTTCATTGCGCATGCCCAAAAATGTTAAATTACAAGGTATCTGTGAAATAGGTCGTTTACTGGGTGTGGCTGTGACCGTATTGATTAATAACGCGCATGGCTTTTAGTCTACAGCGACGCGTTGGAGAAATTTGCCACGGCTAACGTTAGCGCACTTAGTCTGTTTTAGAGCGTTGAGGCGTTTCAATGTCAATGGCTACCTGGTAAGAAATCTTTTTGCTAATATAATATTAGGTAAATTCATATGTTTAACACACCGTATTGAGTATAGTAGCCGTATTAGATTGTATCCTTACACAACAACAGATTTTTAGATAGGTTTCATTAATGTAGGAAAATATTAAATAATTTGTTATGATACAATTATTTTATTTTGTAATAAATCTCAGATTGTGGTGATTTAATTAAAAAGCCTCAAAGAATTTTCAAATACCAATACTATAACATTAGGCAGTAATTTTTAATAGGTACCTATAATTGTTCAGCATTATATAATTGTAATATGGATATTCCTAGAAATAGTATAAATAATTGTAAGATGTATTTATTTAATATAATATTATATTTCTAAACTTTTCATTTACGTAGATAAGCGGTTTATTCATTATGAAGTGAAGTTCATAACAAGTTAAGATAATCACTAACGCAACGTAGCATTTGAAGTGAGTTTATAATTTTAAAATTCTATAACTATCAAGTTAAGTGGTTTTTATTATTTTACTTTTAGGTAAATTTTAACGTTTTGGTAAAACATCTTAACATCTTAAAACAATACATCACAATTCACGACTTTTAAACTGATTTGTGAATCTGATAATCATGGCATCATATGTGACTCTTATTGACGATGATTCTAAACAACGGTATTATAACACGAAACCAAAAACCACTTTGAAAATCTTGATAAAGCGTCGTTGTTCGAGACTCGTAAAAACAGTTAAAAAGAATCACTTGTACACCAATTTAAAACGCTATTATTTTGATTTATGCATGATGGCTGCGACCCATTATGGCAGCAGTGATTTCGCACGCTATAAATACGGATTGAAGTTGACCAACAGTACATACCGCCATAATTCTGTCTTATTCGCTCAGCAAGAGAATTCATTGTATTCGTGGGACCTGAACAGCGCTTATACATCGGATTATTTGACATCGTACCCTGATTACATCAATGATGATTATCTATGGAACAACTCCTGTACCTGTTCGATCTGCAGAAACCAGTTGGAACGTTTTAAGTATTATCCTCAGTCCAACGGAGGGTGCAATTTGTGCTGGGCAGAGTTTGCCGCTACTACTCACGAGAATTTAGATGTTCTGCAGGATTATTCAGCATGCACTAACCACGGTTATCTTTGTACTGAAAGCACATGTCCAATTGTCGCCAAATTGGCCCTTTTAAAATATGAAAACTATAACAACAGCTGCTACTGGAATGACTGCGTAGAAATGGGTGATTTCTCTTCCATAAGACGAAATGTGTACGACATCAATTGTTTAGACTACGGGCATACTGACTATAACAGATACTCGGATCCTGGAATTATAGATTACTGGCCCTCCAATAATGAAAACCTTACGAATTGTACAAAATGCTTGTACAAAAACGTATGCCTCCAATATAACATATAAACTGTAACGAACAAACAAATACGCGTGACTGGTTATTTATACCCGTTTAATGACTATATTATGCTGCCTTTGAGATGAAAAAGGAATTGCTCCCGAGCAGCAGGCAACTGAGAGTAAATAATACAATATAATTAATATGCTTATATGAATTTTGCTTTACATAGCAGGTACCTATAGACACCAAAAGTAAATTAATTGCGTTCAGAATAATTTTAATAAATTAAGAGACCATAAATTCGGAAATTACATACTTACCAACAATTTTAATAAAATTAAAGTTAATTAAGGATAAAAATATTAAAACCAACCAAACATACAATACAAACAAATTAAGAATTTGTATATTATTATTTATTATTATTTAAAGCACTACAGCAGTACAAATTATTGTTCATTAAAACTTTTATATAAATACAAATCATAAAATAACGACAAATAAATAAGACCTAGTATGTTAAGATTTGGGTTTAAAACTACATGATACTTTAAAAAAAACTTCACCATTTTTTATCCTGAAAAAAATATGCAGAAGGGGATATTAAATATATTTAATAATTTTTACATACGTAGGTATCATCAGTCAATAAATAATACATCTAGTAACAACTAACCTAAATTATTTAGTTAATTAATTTATTAATTATAATATAATTAATTAATTAAATATATAATTAAATTATATAATTATAATATCATATATATTTAAAAATTTTCGACCATTTTTTTTTAATCGAGCGCAATTTGAGTGTGTACCTATAAAAAAAGTTAATTTAAGTATCTTAAAACAAACGTATTAACCATTATATTATTGTGTAGTTTGCCATTGATATTTATAGGTAATATTTTTAAATAGAAATATTTCATTGTATTAGTTTCAAGATCAATACAAAATGTATACTTATGCTTTATTCTATATTATTACTCTTATTTAATATTTAATTAAACATAATATTATATATACTTGTAAGCAGATAATTTGATTTGATTTTAATATTTATATACTTCACATTTATCTCTACCTATAATTGTATTATGCATTATTGTTAAATTTAAAACTAAAATAATGTTAATTGTATTTTAATGTGTGAAATGAAGGTGGAAGAAGTAAGAGAGAAATTTTCAAAATGAGATGATTAGACACGATTATTGAAAGTGACATGAGGACTGGTCCCATGTAGAATTACTGATGTTCATCTAGAATCATATTTTAAAATAATATTAGTCCTGTCAGCTGTTGGATTTTAAAATAAAAATATTCTACAAACCACAATTTGATATAATATCATATTTATATTGCATAATATGTATTTTACATAATTTATTGCCGCTTGTCCATAAAATTGACTCCGGAACTGCTGAAACATTATATCATACACCTTAAAAATTAATAATTTTAATTATTCCTTAAAAATTTTACCCAGGCTGTGGTATGTATAGATGATATGGGTGAAGTGGTTAGTCCAAGGTGGCCAATCCCAAATAGATGGAATGTGAGGTGAGGGAGAAAAAGAGTTTTACTTATAACATAAACAAATTAACGTTATTTTCGCATTAATATTTATTGTGTAACGTTGTGGTTACTGTATTACTAATTTTAAATGTACCTATATAACTATTATATTGTATTCGTTTAATTTATACTTCTTTTTTATATCACTGCACAATAAAATAATCATATTATCTTAAGTACAAGTATCTTAAAGTTCAAAATTTTCAATTATATCATTCCATGCATTTCGATCCTTATAATATAATATAAGTATGGTTTTCATAATCTTATATTAATCTTGATTGTATAGATGCCTACTTTTATTTGACTACTGTACCTACATAAAACATTTTTTTTTTTTAATTTTAAAGTTATATATAATCTATACAGTTGTGTACAATAAGTAGGTTTGATATAAGACAAAAAAAAATACAATTAATGGAGAATCTAATTAAGATTAGGAAGTGATAAGACCCAGCCCTATATAAATTTATGATCATGATACCTATCTAATTTAAGATATTTGTATTTTTTTTCTTCTACTTGTTATCCTATATAAATACCTTTATAAATATTTAAAAATAATAATATTAGATTACTAGAAATTTAGAAATGTTTCATATTTTGTGTTATCCAAATATTGTTTTGTATTACAATGTTACAGCAACGAATTTATTATAAATCAATACACCAATAAATAAACATCAAAAATATACTACGAGTACATACCTACTTATTTATTACAATTACTATAGAAATGCATTTTTAGAATAGATGGACAACACAGGTTTATAAATGTTCTTGCCTTTTTATATGGCTTAGGTATATAGCGTATTTTATAGAAAACAACAGAAGCTACGATCTTGAGCAAACTTGGTTTCCTGGTAAGGTTATAGTATAAGTTATGATTTTTTCCCTTGTTGACTAAAAGTCAATTTACCTTGACTAGGTAACTCAGAAATCAACAAAAATAAAACAAATATATTAACAATTATGTTACAAGTTTTTAAAATTTTTACTAAAAATTTTAGGTAACTTGACATTTTTTTTCAAATAAAGTATACTGCGTACTCAATGAAAAACATCAGAAACTACAGGCTACTATGATCAACCATTGCAACTAAAAAACGATTCTAAGCGAATCTAAGTTTACTGGTAAAATTATAATATAAGTCATGTTTTTTTTTTCTTGTTGGCTACAATTTATCTTGGCTAGGCAACTCAGAAATCAACAAAAATAAAATAAATGTATTAACAATTATGTTACAAGTTTTTTAAATTTGTATTAAGGATTTTACATAACCAGACATTTTTTTTCAAATAAAGTATTAGTGAGCAAAATATTATCTTTAAAGGTATATTAGGAAATAGGAGGATTTTTACAATCTATAGAAAAACGCATAAATAGGGCTTCTAAACGTTTTTAAAACATTAAGCGAGTTTTGGTGATGCAGTTTTGAATAACCTGGTTACTAGTTTAGTAAATAAACTGTTTTGGTGATATAGTTTACAGTAATTGTTTGATAGCTGAATACACTTTTCAGTAACCGGGTTTCCGGAATCAGCAAACAATTGAAAACTACGTGTACGTTTATTGTTTTCGGTTACTAATAATACTGATGAAGACTATCACTCAATCATTCCATCCATTTTCTATAAAAAAAAATACTATACAGTAAACAAAACGTTTTAGCGAGTAACTGACCAAGTAGCAAACAACACAGTAAACTATTTGCTGAAAGTTGCATCGCCAAAACACGTCTATTATTATTATAAATTTATAACGTTGAATGATTCAAAAAACGATAGAAATCAATAACGGATAACATATCAGTAAAAAATAAACGATTGAAATAGATAACTGATAACCACGATTAAGAATTATACAGGTTACCCAATGGATTATGTCATAATACGAGCGTCTAGAGATAACGCCTTTTATCAGCACTATTTACTGTCACACTGTCAAATAAATTGCCTTATCATAAAACCATAACATTAAGTCATGGTAGTCCATGCATTTAAATTTAATACATATATATTAATTACATACATTTAATTTTGATGGCCATTTGCATCATTTAATATAAAAACTATTTTTTAAAAAAATACTTTAAGTTAAGTAGACGTTTAACCACGATTTATGTGGATTCAGTCGAACTTTTATATAAATTCTTATTTTCTTATTTAAGGACACTTTGAAATGACTGAACAGGTTGGCATCGAGGTGACGGTGCTCCTCCTTCTCGTGCGTCGGTAGTGGTGTAGCTGTCTCGACTCCTAACTGCTCTCTTGGTGGTGATCACAGTCTCCTTACATAAGTTTGTCACCTCGATCGAGATCTCAATCTAGGCCCCCTAGGTGATGGTGGATGTTGTCGTCATTGGTGGTACGTCCAGTGACATGGCGAAGGGAGTGATCGAGAAACAATAACCTCTCATTGTTTTTAACTAGTGGTGAGTACCACTGGGTGGGTGGGTGGGTAATAATTTAGTTTCATAATTATGAACGAATAATAAAAGACTAATAGCATTTTCCTATTGTAAAATTTAGATTATAATAATATTATTAACAGTTTTATTTTATATTGATATTAACTCAGTATTGTTTTTTTTTTTTTAAATCTAATTTTACTAAAAATAAAAATTGCCAATATAATGATTTCATGTAAAATTAGTTCAATCTAGGCTTCGGTCAAGTATTGGGCAGAATCAGTTGGAAAGTATACTTATACTAGAAGCTCTGAAAAAGATGTTGAAATTGATCGTAATGAAGCAATTGACATGTTCACAAAGTCTTCAGATCTCTTAATGCAGAATTTATTGTTATTGATATTTTAATTTTTGTATGACTATTAAAGAATTAGTAATCTTTTAAAAAATATTGTCACATTTCGTGTTATTTTAATTAATCTCACATTTAATCCTCAAACTTGTATACAAATAAAAAATGTGTCCAAAATCCGTTATCTGGGTATAATTTTGGATAATAACTTTAAATGTATCCACATACCAACAATTTAGTTTGTAAGCTACGTCCAATATAAATTTATTAAACTTCGAGGTTTGTCATCAATTAAATTTTTATGTAATACTTATTTTGTTTTTTATCAATCAATTCTATGATATGGTCTTCTGGATTGAGAAGGCGCTAAAGATAAAACTATAAACATTCTACAACAAAATCAAAATAAAACCCAATTAACTTTTGGGTGAGACCGACTGTAAAACATACTACTCGGTTCAGCTCTGGTAACGTCAGTAAGCTTTTGACTTGGGTTGCTTTAGGAAAACATTATAAAGCAGAGTGCATAGCCGAGTGACGCTGCATGCGGAACTATGTTGAGAAACGATACAACCCGACATCGTTAGTAATAATCTTCTGGTAAGAGAGAGCGTTTAAATTCACTGGCTTGAAGTCGGGTAAGTCACTGCTAGGAATCGCAATGAACGGCAACACTAGCCAATTGTCCTCAAGGAGACGGAGGAACGGAGGACCATCTCAATTTATGGAGCAAGCTACCAGAGCAATCGGTAGTAATCTACGTGATGATGGATCAGCAGGGTTTTCCGTCATCGATACATGTAACCAAATACAACTAGAGATCAATGAGTGTACCTTTGCAATACTGTTAATAACGAAAATCTTGAATATCTTTGGATTCCTTTTAAATAAAATTAAAAATCACTCCTTTTATTTTGAATCAGGACTGACAAATTATATTTTATTAAAAGTTTCGAAATCTATATCGGTTCCTTTAGCTTATCTTTTTAATTTGAACACTTGGGGTCATTCCCTTCTAATTTTAAAAAATGTGTAACCTACCCATTTTTTAGGTCAGATTATCCTACTTATTGTGGTAATTATCGTCCAATAAAGTTATACGAGAGAGTAGATCGCCCAAGACGAAAGCCATCATGTTGTTCTTTCTATCAGAATTCTATTAATAGGTGATTGTATATATTTTAAAATAAGGGACTCAAATAATTTGGAAATATAGGATATTGGAAATTAGCCTATAGTTATATTATACTATAAGAATGTTCTAATTACCTTTAATAAATTTAATAATAATTTTGAGCATGTTACTCACAACTTTAGTACACGTTACAAAGAAAATGTAAATATTTGTGTTCCTATCTTCTATAAAAAATTTAGTATAAAAATCTTATTTTTCATCTCAATTAAACTGTGTAGAATTATAAAAATTAATTTAAACAATTTTCACAATATAAATTCATTTAAGTCATTCTTAAATAATATAGATTTTACTTATATTTATATTTAATTGAATCTGTTTAGATATATCGTAACTGAATTGTTATCTTTCATTGTTATTATTTTATATATATTTATGTACTATTTGTAATTTGCTAAAATAAATATTATTACTATTATTATTATTATTAAAAAACTCACGAGCTAAATTCTTAAATAATCGATTTATACAATTTAAAAATACACAAAATATATGGAAACATTGTTAGATAATTTAAATATACATAACTAATTTTAAGATAGTATCACTCTTAGTAGTATTTATTAGCCAGTCGTATTTACGATCGATGTACCTATAGGTATTATAGGTGCGTAATTTTAGGAAAAGTATAACTACTTAAATACCAAGCAACGAATTTAATAATAACAATATTAATAAAACACAATATTTATATATTGTATGCATACAAAACACATATGATAAATATACGATGCATGTATAAAATTTGGCTCGCTGATTATGATGTCTGCAACCGCAAGTAAATGTTATGGAGTAGAAAGCGTTTCTAATTTCTCCAGTACAATTGAAGTTCCTGGCTATTTTCCAAAAATGTTGACGGAATGGTCTAAATGTGCACTACGTACTCAACCTTCAGAATTGATTCGATGGTCTGCAATTTACTTTGACATGAAATCTAATGGTGAACATCCACCAATAAAACCCTATTTGGATCCACCTGGTCAAATATTAGGACCCGGTGGATTGACTATAAATGCTTTGAAATCACTAGCCATGACTTTGTCTAATGAATTCGAGACTTACGAGAAAATTGAACAAATATGGGATATCTTATCACTTGATAAAGATGTATTATTAGAAATAGTTAAAATCGGAAAATTTGAACAACTTAATAATATCAAACCAAATGAATTTATAGGATTTGCTACGGCTTATCTGAATGATAGGCTAAGAAATACGATGATTATGTTGTGCGATATATTGTCAAAAGATAATTTGAAGGGCATTATATTGGATGATTTTGTGACTGTTTATCGATATTTGGCACGACTCAATTGTACAGAAGCATTATCGTCGAATAAAAGTGACATAGTGTTTTATGATAAAATGAATATTGAAGAAAACGACAGTCAGTATTTTAAGTATACGGATTCTCATTCGAGTAGTTTGAAAGACGAATGTTCTTACGGTAGTGGAAACGAAGGAACCAATTTATTGGATTCGCTATCTATGGAAGGCATAACAATTTGGCAAAACGATAACGACGAACTGAAATCGTTAACAGATATGTTAAATATTCACGAAATAATCCCACCAACGGTAAATACTAATATTTGTGGTGATTTTTTATCACCAACAAAGACACTGAAAGAATATCTGAACAACGAAGATCTTTTATCGTTACTCAGCGTTTCAAGTATTATATCAAAACCTGATTCGTCGGAAATCTCACTAGATGCATCGCCGAACGATATGAAACTAATAGATGAAAATACGATAGCCGAAGAATATAATTATAACGAGGAAACAATGACTAGCGGTCGTACGTCTTCGGTGTTGAACGATTTGGATTCCGACGAAAAAGATACTAGAAGTGCTCAAAATGACACAGATGAAATTATAAACGACGATGTCATTAACGAGTCAAATACCATTCAGGATATAACTTCAGAGGGAAATATCGAAATAAGCACTGTGGTGAAATACGAAGACACTATTAATGATATGGATAATGAAACATACGAAGATGACAATACTAATAATACTATAAAAAAAATGGAAATAAATACCGATTTTATTGTCATGTTGGCTTTGGTTGAGGGGAAAAATAATAATAACTCGGGACAAAAAATAACTACCGAGAACAACGAACATAATTTAGAAGAAGACAATGAATCCACCAAATCTGAGTTTTCGTTGTTAAATAGAACCGAATTAAACGATACAACGAACATTGAGCAAGGAAATGACGATGAGATCGTATTTAATCAGACCTTTAATGAAAATGTTTATATAAATACTGGAATAGAGAGTACAGACGCGAGTGAAACGAGTGATTCGGATGAATTCCAATATTCAGAGATCGACCAACAAAGCCAACATAGTATGACATCGATAATGTCGAGAAAAAGCTCCGTCCAAACATCCAATATCACCGATATAGTGTTAACGACGATAGACAAAAATATAGACGAATTATTAGTAAATAACGAGTTGTCGATTTCCGCGGACGAGTTTGGACTTACCGATGCGACCGTCGAGGAAACCGAACATTGTTCGTATGATAAAAACGAAGACGAATTAAAGTTTTCATATATATCTTCGGTCGAATCGATCAAGAATAAATGCGAAGAAACCGAATCTTTTCGGACGGAAGAACACGTACGCGTACTCGCTGGTATTGGACCTGCTATACCGGAAAAACAAATACAACTAGTGGTCGACTGGGTGGCCAAATGCGCTAGTAATCAAAATAATTACGTACAAGAACAAAATTTATTACATTTTCTATGTCCACCATTAGACCATATATTAATGGATTCTGATGACATATGTATTTAGAACGATGTGCTGCAGATTGCATACCTATAGGTACCATTCTACACGTCATAAAAGAAAATACTTAACAAAATGTAGTCATTTTATTATGCTCTAATAAAACATTTCATTAAAGTATGTGATGTTATGCCCACACAATATTTTAAGTTTATGCATTTATCTTTCAATCGTGTGATTAAAAGATTCAGATACGACCGAGTACTTGGTATTTAGTAAAACAAAATGAAAATAAATAAATAAAACGAGGCGTTCGTTATTTGAGAGAGATTAATATATTTTTTACTAGTCTAAACATTGTATAACGTATGAGAATATAAAAATGCACATGCCGGTCGGTGCGTTAGGCGATATCGTTCCCGCACCGACGTGGATGCAGACCACCCGATTTTATTATTTAACAGAATTCTTATTTTCAAAATTTGATTATCAGCAAATTACAATTCATCGGCCCCAACGCGAAGATTTTTATATATTTTAATTTATTTTATAATTCAACCTTTTGTTTTCTTAATTTAAAGATTAGCATTTTTTATTTAAGTGCAAAGTGTTAATTAGTTAGATTAGTTTATTTCAATTGAATTGTGACTGCCATCCAACGTATCATCCATTTCAGTCAACAAACTATGGCGTTAACACTCCTATTATCAAATACAAGAAGTATATCGACTATAAAATGGTGAAAAATAAGTAATAGTCAATTCCGAAAAATAAAACCCTGCTAAAGATAAAATAAATAGTTCTATAAATAACTTCCCGCTACGCAGCCGCAACGTCACGATCGATCATGAACAATAACAAAAATGTCATTTCCAGTAAAATTATTTATTCATTGATACGTACAACGACATCTTTTGGGAAACTGCATAAACATAATTTTAGTCACCAAATATTTCTATGCAATGGGCTATCTGTGTATTTTATAATCAATGGTTATACCTATAAATTATAATATCTAGATTACAAATCTATATAAGAGTATTGAGTAATAAAAATAATATTTTGTATTATGGTTAGTTATAGGCAAGTATAACTTAATTTTATTTAATGAGCATTACATATTGTTTATTAAAATACTTTAATGACTATCTACTAAGAGATAATAGTGACTATCACAAACTATTATTACTACAGTACTCGTAGAAGGAATCTTATTCAAAACTAATTTTTATGTATAGTGTAATGGCAGTAGTGTTTACTGTGTAGTTTTCATGAACTCTGAATATAATTTAACACAGGTAATTTGAAATTTACTGGCAATTAAAATATAATAATATATCTCTAAATACAATTTGTATATATACAAATACATTTGTATATAATCTGAAAACTTGAAAGTGTATTTTGTAATTGTAACTTTAAATCACGTTTGTAAACTTACTTTACTTTTTGGATAATAAAATAATTTAATTAATAGATTATATTATGATTATATTTTCGTTTATTACAAAAATTTTTATTTATTTTTCTTTATTAAGAAAGCGAGACTAAAACTGTGCGTATAATACCTTGTTTGCATGCATCAATTTATCGAATTCACTGGAATCGATTCGAATTAGGGTACAAGTATACATGCACGTCTAAAATAGTATTATTTATTAGTATAATTATAATACACTTCCAGTACTTCCACCAAACCAGTTTAATATTGTAATGTTTACATGCACAGTTTAAACCGATTTACTGATAATGTTTTTAATTATTATTCCTTATCACAAGTATCTACCGCAATACTTATTTGGTTGTTGTAGTGTGATCCGTTTACATGCATTTTGTATTCCTGTAGTTATTTTCAATACGCATTTCAAATGTGAATTAGCTAAACCGTTTTAATAGCCGTTTACAATGATTACATGTATTTAACTACGGGAGTTAACTAATATGAATTGAGTCAAAACGGTTTTAACTGTGCATATAACCGTAGTAAACGTACTAAATGACGGGTTAGCCGTTAACTGTTTAATTTCAAGAGTTCAATAGGCGACATTGTATACAAAATTGGGAACCACTGGGCATTCTTATCAAATATTTCCTGGGGAACGAACGTTTTTCTAACCGTTTTTCATCTTCATATTTATACATTATTCTAATTATGTCTGTTTTGTAATTCTTATTTAATGTGATCACTATAAATGAACTTCTAATAAAAAAAATTCTACGTTTTTGTATAGTAAAATCATTAGGTAAGGATTGTATTTTAATTATCTAGGTACCAGTAAAAACTAAAAAATTTACAAATAATACCTAGCTGACGTAAATTATTCACAATTTATTAATTTTTAATTAATTCAATTTTTATGTTAGTTCTAACACGAATTGTAAATTACATCAGGACAGTAAATTGTACTTTATTCGTGTATCGCTATCCTTATTGTTCATTTTGAACTTTTTTTTATAATTACATTTAATTTTAGGTTCTAACATCTTATGAGCTTCTGATTTTTTTAAAATTAAAATATAGATAATTAGGACAATCTCTGACTTTTAATATTAGAGAAAAAAATGTCAAAAAATATAACAATATAAAAATTATATATTATATTATAATGACACTTTAGTCCTTCATCAAAAAATATGGATCCCTTGAACCTAAAGCCTCAATTTTTTCCAAATATCTGTGCTTTACATCTCCCATCAGATTCCTGGCATGATTAATTAAATAATCATACATTATAAGTTATTTAAAATTTTATACAATTAATATAAAATGAAATTTATATAAGGTTTATAAAGTTAAAAACTAAATAAATACATATTTTTAAAAAAAATACAATGATGAAACAATCAACATTCAACCACAAAAATCGATACAAAAATGTTATCAAACTAAATTATATTTTAGTTCTAAAACAAAATGATCAGTAAAACTATTTTTATCACATATATAATCATATTAATGTGCATTTGGTTTTTTGAGTACAGTTTGCATTTAACTATGGAAAAAAGAAATATTGAAAATACAAATTATGTTCAACAAAACACACAAAACTTGAACCTCTATAATGATGTCAATTACACTAAGAGGGTTATGCAAATTCAAAGAAAACATAATAGTGGTTCAAGTAACAATAACACTTCTAGGTATAAACACTTTTTAAACTGAGAGAAAATTACTTAATAATCTCAGTTTATTTATGATTATTACATGTGCAATTATATTAATTATATATTTTTCCTGAGTACAGGTACCATTTAGCTATAGAAAAAAGAAATAATGTAAATGTAAATTATGTTCAACAAAACAAATCAGAAAACTTGAATATCTACAATAATGTCGATTACACTAAGAGAGTTATGCAAATTCTTAATCTACAGAGCAAAGGTTCAAGTAACAACAACAATCCAAGGTATATATATTAATTTAATAAATTCATAATTTGCATACTAAAACCGATTTATGGTCATAAATCATAATAATTATTATTATTATTTTAATAAAAAAAATTAATAATGGGAGATAAGATAATGTTACAAACATTCATAATACTAATTTCCTAGGATTTAATGCTGGTGCTTTGGTGATTTCATTTACATCTAAATGTATGTCTATAAATGGATTTACCTACATAATAATACAATTTAAAACAGTTATTAGTATATTATAGTTTCTATAATATAGAATATTAAATATTTCAAAAATACTTCATTCATTGTTATTGTAAGATTAGATTACAATTTTTTTACATTGAAAAATACCTTTCTGGTGTTGCTTTAGTCACATACCACCAGTAACATACAAAATAATTTGAAAAAAAAATGTATATTTAGAAAATCTTGTTTTGAATACACAAAAAAACTCCAAATCTACTTTTAATGTTAACATTAAAACATTAAAACGTCAGAGGTTTAAATACCAAATATAACTTATTAAAAATGAATATACTTTTTTTTAATTACATTGCTGTATTTTACCTTTTACTGAAATTTGGTTACATGATCATGTTTTCGTCTGAACTCGACCTCGTTAGTTATGAAATTTATAGATCTTACTTATTCAGTAAGCCAAAAAGAGGCCGAAGGTGTTAAATTAGCGGTCAGTGAAAATTTTGTTTCCTCAATAATTAACATAGATGTAAAATCCTTAAAATTATGCCTTATTTCTGTCAAACTTAATCATTGATTGTATCTATTTTCCTTCAAATCCTTTTATACTATATACTGTGATTTTTTAATATTAATAGAATTTTTTAATTCTAGCTCATTCTAATGATGATTATTTTACTTTTTGATGACTTTAATTTACCTAACCTTAATAAAACACCATTCAATGAAAATGTAAACCCTCTTTATCCAAATCTATTCTTGAAAATCTATATTTTCTTAATCTGTTTTAAATAAACACAATATCAAATAACTATGGATTTATGCTTCACCTTATTCTCTCAAACCCTTCCTCATTTTATAGCACAAAATAGTGATGCTATTATCCCTATAGACAATTATCAGTCTTCTATAAACATCTGTTGTACTCATGAACATGGGTTTTCTAATAATAAATTATTGGTAACTAACCTAATAACTATCAAACATTAACACTCAATTCCTTCTCGAAAGGTCAACAAACTGATATTTATTTATTTATTTATTTATTAATATGGACAAAAGTCCAATTCACAATATATTTGTATAGATAACAATAAAATATAACTTATATAAATTATAAATTTATATAATTTAAAATAATAAAATATAACATAATAAAAAATGAAAAGATTATATATCAAATAATAGTAATAATAATAATGATAATAATAATAATAATAATAAAAATACATTCAATGTTTAATAAAATAATTAACTATTTCCCGAAGACATTAAAATATTTATGGGGTCATATGACGTAAACTTTTTAGATGAATGAGGAATATAAAATAAATGATTGTTACGAGTGTGGTGGCTATTAACTTTGAAATTTAATTGACTTAATATAAATGAATCATCAATCTCATTANATATTACATGTATGACATAAAAATCTGAGGGCCTTATTTTGAACTTTATCAAGTTGATCATTATGTCCTACATTGTTATGATTCCAAATTATTGGAGCGTATTCTAATAAAGAACGGACTAGTGAGGTATAAAGGCATTTGAGAGCAAGTGGATCACGAAAATCGGAGCAGTTTCTTTTTATCATACCAAATACAGATAAAGCTTTATTTTTAATCGCTGATACATGATCATTGAATAATAGTTTGGAATCAAATAAAATCCCTAAATCTTTAAATAATAATTAATTTACAAGCTCCACAAAATTGGTTTTGCCGATCCTCTTTTGTCGTGGATTAACTAATTTTTACATCAACAAATATAATTAGTTAGCTTTATATCAATTCCTATAAAGGTAACTTTGGGTGTTCCTCAAGGTAATATAATATGTATTATTCTTAATAACGGCACATAGCAATGGTCAGTCCATGAATCAGAACGACTACGGGCAAATATGTGTCTCGCGCGCGAAAGTTTAACTTTTCGGAAAAGAGCTGCTATGCTGCTGTCCGAAGGAGAGTTGCGCAAAGTTATTCAATGTGCGCCGTACGTTCCTTAATAAAAAGAGTCCCAAAGACTGGCGGGAATCATCTTCCTCCTCTCCTTTTTAATTTATTTATCAATGATATGGTGTCTTTTCCAACACTAATTCTAATATTTTTTTATTTGCTGATGATGCGAAATGTATCAATCAATCTTATCCCTTTTATCACCATATAACTATAACTATTCTTTTTCAGGCATTAATTTAGTACATATCATTCAACACAAAATTATTATTTAATACACACATATTAAATATTATAAATAAAGCATGATCTGTTTTTGGTATGATAAAGGGAAACTTTTTCAAATTCCATGATCCACTAACTAAATGTCTATATATCTTACTTATTCATTCAACTCTTGAATATGTTCCTCTAATTTGAGAAAATAACATCATTGGTCATTGTGACTATCTTTTTTTAAGTACAAAACTTTGTTTGTACTTTTTTAGTACAAAACAAAGTTTTCTGATTCATATGTTTCTTTAAATCTAATTTCCTAAGAATCGCCCACACTTAAAAATTTTAAACATAGAATCTAAAAATACCCAGAAATATTACCTATAGCAAATTTCTTTTTAAATTAATAAATAAAAGATCAATGATTCATTTCTACTTAGCCAAATAAATTTTAAAATTAATATGTATAACTTTTACAAGAGTCATTTATATTATTCTACATTATTCTCAAAGTTACATGTTAAATGACCCCTTTAATATTTTGTTGTCTTCTGGAAACAATCAAATTCTTAATACATTATTCAAGACTTAGTAATCATTGTATTAATATATTAATAGGATCCCAATTTGTTATTTAACATTCTTTATTATTATTTTGTATTATATAACTTATATTTTTACTCTCAGTTTTAGGTTAATATCTATGTAATTAATAATTTATACCATTTTTTTTTTCAAATTTCTATTAATAGGAAAGTTTATTAAATGTTAGGTATTGTTATATTATTAATGTTATCATTATTAATACATTGTAAATTGTACTTTTTCATATGAATTATAAATAAATAAACATTTTAACTTTCTATATTTTTATTTCAATAAAATGATTATCATTTTTATTATTGGTAACTTAAACTCTATACAACCAAAAGATACAAGATGGTATTTTGAATACATTTTTTCAGTTTACCACTCCCCTTCTCCTTTTATCGTTTCTATGCCACTGACAAATGTATATTTGTTTTTGTAAGTATAGGTTGCATTCAACTATTGAAAAAAAAAATATTGAAAATACAAATTATGTTCAACACAATATTTCACAAAACTTAACCAGGTATAATGATATCAATTTCACTAGCTCAGTTGTGCAGACACATGGTCAACAAGAGGAAGATTTAAGTACCAATACAGCTTTACTTTATAAACGATATTTTAACAAAGAAAAAAATACTGAACAACCTATACTTCAGTCCGAAAAACTTCAATATGATTATCAAAATCTAAACAAAATTAATTTACAAACTTTTAAGAAGTTTAATTTCAACAAAAATAAACAAAATCAAGGAGGAAATTGTTCAGTTGATTTGAACGATTCCACAAATAAATCAACTATTATACCCAAAATTAATCAACCAGTCTATAATAAACACCAAATTAGAAATTATCCTGTTCAATCATTTACTGAAGTTGATACTGAATTATTTGACAAACCTGCTGACTTAAATAAATTAAAAACATTTACAGCTATTGATTTTAACCGCGATCGATATGCTCGCTATACGATACACGAGTCTGAAATAAAGGACTATGTGCGTACAATTACATTTAAAAATTGTTTCAAAATGTGTGCTGAAAATCACATCAAAGTAAGTCAATATTTATTAAATTAAAATTACACATATCTGTTGTTTTTTTTTTACATTTTCTGAATTTCTTATTAAATTGAACATACTTAATTTTGAGCATATATATTTTTTACTAATGTAGGTGAAATTAACATTTATGAAAATTACTAAATGCATTTTTCAACCTTGAAATCATATATTATAATTATGTAAATGAAATGTTCTCAAAATATTTATTTGAAACTAATAAGAATTGCACATTTTTATTATTTTTTGATTCCGCCATTCTAAATCAATATATGTGTTGAATATATATATTTTTTTATTAATGTTTTAGCTATTTTAAATTAAAAGTTTTGTCTTCTAATATGTTACTAAATCTCAAAATTTATTTGATGTAAAACAATTTATTATAATTGTTTTGGGGTTTTCAACCAATATATCTGGTAATTATAAAAATTAACTCATAGTTTTTAATTTCAACTATTGGAATATGGGTATAAACTGGTGGTGACCTATCCCTAATTATTAATTTGTTTATATGTAATTGTAATAGTAACCACTTAATTCAAATTTTATTTTTCAGGATAAAGTGGTATTAGTTGTTCGATGTGGTATTGGTTTAATACCAATGTTATGTATTCGATATGGATCTGCTAAAAAAGTAATTGCCTTAGAACAGTCAGCTTGTATTGAATATGCACGTCAAATAGTAATAGACAACAGTTATGAAGATCAAATCACCTTAATTCAAAGCAGTGTAATTACAAACTTTATATCTATTATATTCATAATATATTCTTAAAATTATATATTTTAAATGTCTAAAAATTGTCTGAATGTATGTTATGATAGAGCAAAAATTTGATTACATAATACATTTTTCAAGGCTGGTCAAAGTTAAATAATTTCTGAAAATTTGTTTTATAAATCAATTACTAAAATAGAATTTCAATTTGTTGACAGTCAAATATTTTATTAATTTAGGCCTTTATCATTGCAAAAAACTGATTTAAAGAATCTTATTTAATAATATTTATATTATATACCAGTGGCATAGATATCATTTTTTCCTCAGGAAGGAGGATTTAAATAAAATAAATATTCAAAATTAATAACAGTAAATGTATTTTCTAATATTTTTTGGTTTGAGTTACATACAAAATGTATAGGTATATATTATTTATTATGATTTAAGCTCTATAAATATTAATGTTTTCAAGCGGCAGAAAAAGGAAAGAGATATTTATAACTCTCATCTCCTAATAAATAAATAAATAAAATATTAGACAGTAGATAAATACAAATGTTTAAACGTATAAAATAAAAAAGTAATTCCAATTTGATTTATTTATTTTAAAGGTATTATTGCAATAGTTAGGATAGGTTAATATTATATAGTGTATTTAAATCTGTGTTTCTAGTAAATAAAATCATGTTTATAGGTTCAGGATTTAAAACAATTGCCACATAGACTTATTCAGGTAGATGTTATAGTATCTGATTTTATGGGAGAATGTTTGTTAAGTCAAGGTGATCAAATGGAACAAGTTATTGAAGCTCGTGACCGGTTTCTTAAACCAAATGGTATGATTAATATTTACTAATGAAATAAATAAAAGCATGTTTTTTTATGAAGAAAAAATGACCTATTTATAGGTCAATACTCATAGTAATAATTTTTTTTAATACATTTTTAGTTTCATATACTAATAATGTAATGAAATATAAAACAAACAATTGTAAGAAATACTAAATCTAAATATATAATATCATATATTTGGCCCATATATTTTATTACAAATATTTAAATTACATAATTTATTATTTTATATATGATTCAATTTGAAAATATTAGAAATAATATGACCATATGAATCTATAATGAACAAAAAAACCTAAGTCAACAACATTACATTATACTTATACATTATATTTTCCTAATTGCTGGATTATGATGAAAAAAGTTATGTGAATAGTAGTGTAGAATTGTGAACCCTTGACAAATACCATTTGGATGGGCTCTACCAATTAACCTTGACAAGTGATCTTATTTTTTATTAGAGCAAACTTTCATGCATAAGGTATGAAGCCTTTTTTTTTTTTGAACTGCAATCAGGGAGGGAAGTAGGTTTCCCCATTACTGCCTCTCTGGCTGCATAGTTTATGAAATAAACACAAAATACAAATTCATTACATTACAACATAATGGAATGAGGCGTTTCGTCCACGCCGCCTTGGTTGTGGTCGATACAGCAATTGCCACTGCCCTATCGTCTCCTCTATCATTTCTCGCTTTGAGAGGGCGACACTCCACTTCTTAGCCATCTTGGCACTCTTACGGCCAGTGGCTTGTATGAAAGCTGGCGGCATTATAGCGAAGACCAGAGCTGCCATGTCAGAAACTGTCCTATAGCATCTTGCCACTCTGAGGGCAGCGCACTTCTGCGTCTGCAGCAGAAGATGCTTATGCTTCTGTACAGGTTGGACACTGTCTGCCCACACCGGGGCGCAGTACAACAATAAGCTGTGTACCACACTCATCAGCAGGCTGCTTTTGCACTGCGTGGGTCCGCCAACGTTTGGCATCAGTTTTCCCAGCGCTGCAGCTGCCTTCCTCGCGCCTGCCACAATCTTCGCCACGTGCTCCCTGAAAGAGAGTCTCGTGTCGAGTTGCACGCCCAAGTACCTGATTGATTTCTTTACAGGTACCCGGCAGCCTTGGATGTACAGTTCAGGGTCCCGATAGGCATTTTTTGGTCAGCACTACGCACTCCAACTTGTCAGGAGCGAGTTGAAGGCCTTTTTTGCACATCCACTCTACGATGTCTGTGATAGTGGGGTTGACCAACTGCTCAATGAGCTGAGCGTTGTATGCTACGGCTATGACGGCAACGTCAAAGGCTACCAATTTGACACCTTCACGTTCCGGGAGCCGAAGTACTCCATCATAGAAGGTGTTCCAGAGCGTAGGCCCCAACACTGACCCTTGTGGGACGCCATAAATGACTAGTAGACACTCTCCATCGTTGAGTAGCAGTTCCCTAGAACACATGTATGACCTCAGTACCTTCACCAGATATTCAGGGGCCGCATACCTCTGTAGAGTGGCATCTATCAGCCGCCAGGGCGCTGAATTGAAGACGTTTCTCACGTCAAGGGTTATTAACACACACTGGTTCCTGTTTTGAACCAGGCCGGCACCTGCCATCCTTGCTACTTTCAGCACTTCCTCGATCATGTCCATTATAGACCTTGTCTACAGCCAAATTGAAGGTCACTGAGGGCACCAACAGTTTCAATGTGGGTGTTGAGCCTATCCAGCAGAAGCCTTTCAAACACCTTGCCGAAATCGTCTAGGAGCCTGATTGGCCGGTAGCTCGACGGACATCCATTGGTTTGCCTTGACCCTTGTAGAGCAAGACCAGCTTTGTGCGCTTCCATCTAGAGGGGAAGTTAGCCTTGATAAGGTATGAACCTTAACAGTCTCCTCTCTTGTATTTTCATTCTCTGTTCTATTTTTCGGCTTACTATCTAACACTTCAAACTATGTAATAAAATCAGTCTCACCACACTTTTTTAGAACTTGCCTTAAAGTCTCATAGAAATACTCTTGTCACATAAAACATCTAGCACTTTTCTCCTCTTTATCCAATCACACTCATCTCCCCTGTTTTCCTTGAACTTGTTATTTGAAATGGGACAATCCACCAAAGTCTTGTTTAGAACTCCTCATACTTTTTGACAGAATTTAATAATGGTTGTTAACTTAAGGCAACCCCATTTATAACTTTTTATGATAGTTAGAGATACCATGGTAGTATGCTTATTCCCTCCCACAGGGAGACGACTATTATCAACTATAAGGCGAATTCCTAAGGTTAAATAATTGAAAATGTATTTAATGTACAGTGATACACTCGTATAGGCATATATAAGTATTTTAAGTAGCTATTTTATTAATTTGTTTATTTCTAATTTTATAAAACATGCATATCAATTTATAACACATTTTAAAAAAAAATAAATGTTTGTAATATAATATTGGTTTTATTATTATTATTGGTTTTTTTTTAATATCCACAAACTTTTTTACAGGTATAATGATACCTAAAGGTGTTAGTTTGTATGGTCAGTTATTAGAACAAAAGAATACATATGATAATCAACATATACACAAAAATAGTAAAAATACAAAACTTAATGCTGTGGCTAAACAAATACTGGATGAATCCTTAACAAAAGAATATGATAGTGACAGCTCATCTGATTCAACAAATTGTTCTTGGTGGAAAAATGTTTATGGTTTTGATATGCGGATCCAAAAAGAATTTATAAATGATTTTCATTCTAAGAGTTCTACAAAACATAAAGATTGGTGTATTATGCCTGATCCAATTATTACATTTTTTGATCCATGCAAAGTAAATTTTATTTGTTGTGCATATTTGCCTAAAAAAAAAAAGGAAACAGATCAATTTTATAAATTGTCAAATATAAATTGAATATTTTGTATACAAATATTAAGTTCTTTCGATTTTTACAATGGCGAGAGGGAACTTTACATACATATTTTTAATTATGACTATCATATAAGAAATATAGGTATTAGTTAAAATTTATTTTTGCCTCCTTTTTTTCTATGAATGACTTTTATTCCAGCAATTCCACTCTAACTTTTAATGATATCATTGTTTTTAAAAGGAAATTTCACTAGAAAGTACTTTAGAGAGGATTTTTCCAGGAGTTTTCCTAATAAATTGAATATCTGGGAAATTGTAGGAAAATTGGAAAAATCTGTACAACATTAAACTAATATTATTTAAGAAAATATATAAAGCCTTTTTAATTATTTTACTATGAATTGAGATATATATTGTTGATAAAGCATCATTATTAACTAAACTTTGCTCAGAATCGTTTTTCGTAATCAATGGCTTAATTTTGCCTATAGGTGTACATTAAATTATATATACCAGTGACTACATCTGTCCCCATTATCCTAGGTCGTCTTTTTTAATAGTACTTCTAATCTAAATCCATAAAATAAAATATGTGTTCACTCAATAAAATGCAAGGGAAACTAATAGTTGTACAATATTGAAGCAGATTAACATTATAAAATACTTAGATATAACTATTGACAATAAACTGAAATGGAACATTTATTATAACATGTTAGAAAACTTTTTATATATATTTCATGAAATCAGGTTCAATTTTAATATTCACATAAAAGTATTATTATTTATATTCTTAGTTCAATCTATTGTTAGTTATAGCATTTGTAGCTGGGGACAAGCATATGACTCACATACTTACCAACTAAAAATCACCTTTAATAAACCAATTCAATTTTTGTTATTAAAGCCCATGTTTTATAGAAATGGAACTGTTTACTTTGAATTAAATGTCTTATGCATTTATACATTTTATTTTGGAAATATCTTATTAAGTTTTTTCAGATATTAATATTTGTGTACCTGTTTAAAAAAAAAAAACAACTTGGTTTAAAAAGCTCTATATTTCCAGCTACTTAAATATGCAGAAAGTTTAATATTAATATTTATAATTTTAAAAATATTTATATATTTAAATCATTTTAAAAATCTCTACATTTCAAATATAGATCTGTATTTTATTGTAAAATTGTATATTATTTTTGTTAAATTTATTATTATTATTATTTTATTTAGGTAGTCTCCAATACTTGTTTGATAAAGGAATTTAATATGTACAAATGCAATATAACTGAAGCACAGCATTTGGAGTGTAAAGACTTAAAACTTAGATGTAGCACACCTTATGCAAGTGCTAATAGTGGAGATTTTGGGCATATGTTAGAGATTTTTATGGTAGTCGATTTTCCTAATGGACATGAAAATTACATGATGACTAGTACTAGTGGTATTTTGTTTGTTTTTTTATTATTATTAAGTTGCATTTTATGTACTATGTGCGTTTTTTTTTTTAATCCTTTTTAATATTTATTAGATACTGTACAAATTGGATTTTCTACATCTTGTTATTCACCATTTACTCGATATAGACAGACCGGTTTATTGTTACGAGACCAATTGCTTGTTAATAATGGAAATGAATTTATGATTAATGAGTTACACATATGGCGTGGTCCTCAGACAAATTTAATTAATAAGTTGTTTGATAGAATTGTATCTAGAAAAAGTTCTCTTAAAAGCTGTACTTATGAACAAGATTTAAAAATTCGTTTAAGGTATACATTTGTAAACAAATATACTAAAGCAGTTGACAGACGATGTATTTATATCTTAAACAAACATTTATATTAAAATTTAAAAAATAATTACAACTAGAAAGAAAAAAATCAGAATTTTATGAAAATAAATGATAAATTCTTCTCTCTCCCCTTAAAAAAAATTTAAATATATTATTTGTGTTTTTAGTTAATTATTTAATAGTAAATTTATCAAATCAAATACAGTTAAACATTAGCAATAAAATAAAATATCTTTAGTAATGTTATATAGCATCAATTATTATTTCTGGTATCTAATAAATTTTTCATTTTTAAAATAATTTATTGTTGTTAATTTATTTATTTATCCTTGTTAAAATAATTCAAATAAAAAACATAGATCTTTTTAAAATATATTCATTGCCTGGTGTGTATATGATACTAGCAATATTAATAATAATTTTGGTATTTTGCATAATACCTAGAAATTATATATTATACATAATACAGATGGGTTTCAGGTAATGTGAATAATATATGTAATACAATGTTATTTGAAATATTACCTAGGCATTTTATAAAATATCAAATTTATCCAAGGCAAAGTAAAAACATCAATTTAATAAATAAAAGATACTTGATATTTATTATTTATTATTACTTATTACAATATGATAAGTGACATTTTTATGGCACAGTAAATTGCTTTTGCACTTTAATTTACAAGAGCATTTAAAAAACATTTATTCCTGTAGATTATTCTTTCACAACTGCTCCTAATGTTACCTCTATCAGCTGAAACTTCGTCCTTTTAAATTATTTTTTTCTTACATACTGTAAATTAGCTTCTTGCGTATAACTGCTTTAAAACTCCATCACTTGTTACCTAAAAATACATGGTTTTTAAATAAATTATACTGTATTTAATCAGCGTAAGAATTATTTAACAAAACACAATTCTTATATCATTTATCTACCTTCTTTACATTTGAGTTTGTGGTGAAGATATTTTTTTATTTTTTTTTTTTTTTAAGGCCTTTGAGACCATCTTGCCATAAAACAAATCCTTCCCCATTCTTCTCTATTCTCTGCTACCTCCTTCCAATCCATGTGATTATATTCCACTCCACCAGCACTTAGGAAATCTTTTTTAATTCCATCTTCCCAGCGTAGCCTTGGTCTACCCAGTGGTCTTTTTTTCCTTGGGTTTTCTTGGAGTACCCTTTGAACCATTGAATCTTGCTTCCTAACTGCGTGGCCTGCCCATTCCAGCTTACTCCGCTTGATCTCGTTTATAATATTTGGTCTATTGAAAAGCTCCGTCAGTTCTTGATTATGCCTTTTTCTCCATCCTTGAAAAACTTGGTCATATATAGGTCCATATATTTTACGAAGTACCTTCCTCTCAAAAACCGCTAATCTGTCCTCCTCAGTCTTTCGTAACGTCCAGCATTGTGAACCATACATGACTATTGGTCGTATGATTGTCAAGTACAGCTGAGTCTTAACCTCTTTTGACAGGACTTTCGAGCTTAGTAGTTTACCAAGTGCATAGAAGCATTTATTTCCCATTTTTATTCTTTGTTGAATTTTGATTTGACATTCATTTTTCTGTGTTAGAATCGTGCCCAGGTATTTGAACTCTTCCACTTTTTTGAACTTGTACTGACCAACTGTTATGGTTTCGATTACCTGAAGGTTATCTAGTTCCTTACTAACTTTCATGTACTGTGTTTTCTCTATGTTGAGATGTAGCCCTACCTTCTTTGCCGATTCTATTAACCTGCCGCATAATTCTACCACTTTTTGTTCCTCTTCCCCTAGCAAGACTATATCGTCCGCGTAGGCGAGCAGACTAAAGCAAGTTCTATCCATTCTTACTCATTCATCTCTTCCAATATTTATTTCTCGGATCACCTTCTCTAATACTAAATTAAAAAGTACTGGCGACAAGGCATCCCCCTGTCTAAGTCCGGTTCTTACCTCCACCATCCTCGATGTCGCGTTTCCTACATTGACTTTGACTTTAGTCTGTCTTAAACTAGCTTCAACTAAATGAACTATTTTCCTTGGGAAGTGGAAATGCTTCAACATTTCGGTTATGTTAGTTCTATCTATACTGTCATATGCCTTTTGAAAATCAACGAAGATAGCATGGAGTTCCTTATTATATTCCCAGCTCTTCTGGAATAACTGCCTGACTATAAATATCTGGTCTGTCGTTGACCTATTTTGCCTGAATCCACATTGATAGTCCCCCCCCCCCCNCTCCAATCTGTCGGTAAAATTTCCGTCTCCCACACTTCTTTTATTAACAAGTATATATTCTCTATCATGAAGCTGTCCGCATGCTTTAGAATTTCCCCTTGAAGGTCATCTTCCCCGGGTGACTTGTGGTTTTTGAGTCTTTTGATCTGTTGTTCGATTTCTTCCTTTGACGGGGGTGGGCAGGGGTCATCATTGGGTTCGTTTTGTCCATATGTAAATGTATCAACTGGTACTTCACAATTGAGTAGCTTTTCAAAGTATTCTGCCCATTTCTCCATTATTTCTTCCTGGTTCGTCACTAGGCTTCCACAGTCCTTTTTCAGAAATTTTTCTTGTTTTCTACATCCGCCTTTAAAGCTATTTACCTTGTGATATAGCTGCCGTGTATTGTGTGATCTGTAATCTTGTTCTGCCTCCCTTATTACATTTTGAACATACTTTCTCTTTTCACATCTAAAAATGTTATGGGCTTCTTTCCTTTTAGCTCTAAAGATTCTTTCTATTTCCTGGTTGCTAGCATCATTTAGCCATCTTTCTCTTGCTATTTTCCTTCTTTTCAGGGCTTCTTGGCATATCACATTAAACCATGGTTTCTTCGTTCTATGAGCTTTCCTTAAAACTTTCTCCGACACATTTCCAAGGGTATGTTTAATTATTTTCCATTGCTCATCTACTGTTTCATGATTTGAGTTAAATTCTCGCGCCATTTTCTATAAGTTCTCTTGAAACTCTTTAGCTTTCCTACTATCCCTGAGTTTCTCAACATCATACCTGACAATTTCCGGTCTCACATTCCTACTCATTGTTTTTAGCTTAACCCTAAGTTTGCTAGCTACTAGGAAATGGTCAGAGTCGCAGTCAGCTCCTCTGTATGTTCTCACATCCATTATGTTATTGGCAAATCTCTCATTTATTAATATATGGTCTATTTGGTTTACGTGCCTACCATCAGGCGACACCCACGTCCCTTTATGTATGTTCTTATGCGGGAACATTGTACTCTTGACTTTAAGACCTTTCCCTACAGCCAGATCCACAATTTTTGTGCCATTGTCATTAGTCATGTCGTGTAGACTGTGGGTACCAATAGTTGGTCTATATGACCTCTCTTTCCCTATTTTGGCGTTCATGTCTCCAAGTACAATTTTTATTTTACTATTACTAATCCCTTCTAGTAGTTGCTCTATTTCAGTATAGAAATCTTTTTCTTGTTGTGATTTGTCCTCCGTGGGTGCGTGTACGTTAATAAATACGATATCGAAAAATTTAGTCTCTATTTTCAACAGGTGAAGATATATAGTTAAAAAGATTAAAGGGCTGAAATGAGCATGTAGCCAGTAATTTTCGCTCTCCATTTCATCTGTAGCTCATCTGATACATGAATTTTCTATAATGGTATAATACCCATTTTGTATTCTTGTAATATTCATTCAAGATAGATACTCTATTACTACTGATTCTTTTAATATTAAATTTTTTTCCCAGTGGTATTTTGAGGTGAAACAATAAGTTTTTTGTATCATTAAAAACAAGAGTTATGTTATACAATTATATTTTTAAATAATAAATTACAGTTAATAACATATTTAATATTGCTAACTGCTTCAGTGGCATTATTATAACACTGTATATAACAATTAAATATATTCATTTTTCCAGAATTAGAAAATTAGAAAATGGTATTAAAAACAAAATTGCTGATATGCTAGTAATATTACTGCAGAATATTGAAAATGCAGTTCACCTTGAGGCGAGCAAAAATATTCAGCTAATTCATATATAATATTCTGAGCTTCATTGGTGCTTTTCCTAGGAACTCTAGAATCGTTAGAAAGTTGAGAAACTAATGTATCTTGTCTCCACAAACTCGGAACTACTTTTCCATTGTCTGCATATTCTTTATCAAACATTTCATTTGGGCAATAGATATATCTTGATGAGGTCAAAGTCACTATTTTTCATTCGAAAATAATTCCTAAAACCAACGTCAAATCTATACTCTAAATTTAAGTCATCAACTTCATCCAAGAGTAGATCTTTCATGAACTCGATTGTGCTGTATTTTATTCTTCCGTGAATAAGACTGGGACGAATCCAAAACCTCCTGGGACGATGTTGATATTGGATTGCAGCAGCTTCAACAAGAATCACGGCAGCAGCTACAATAGCGTCGTCATCTTTCATCTTGGGGAAAATAATAATAGAAAAAAATACATAGATACACTATAATAATAAAAACTCGTTGCACAACACTCAACTTCAATAAACAACAGAGGACTAAACGGGCAAAATTGTGTATAAGTTCCTAGATAAACTTTGCTTATGTGAATCAACGTCGATCGATATAACAACACCGTCCACACTAGTTAACAATGTCGTTAACAAGACGTCTTGCTCGTGTTTTTAATTCGACGTTGATCGATTTCGATTTATGTCGATCGACGATGAACGTGTATATGTGAACGCACCTTAACAATTTTATAAAACAACAATACATTTTGATATTGAACAGTTTATAATACTGATGGACATACGTGCCTTTGATTGCTTTGAAAACAAATAATTAAAATGCATGTGCTCTTAGCGGCGGTAACGATGAATAAATATATTGGTCCACGATGGCTTAAACATTAATTTGATAGAATTGCCTACGATGGCTTACAATAGAATAAAAAATAATGATATCTATAGTTTAGGTGTTTACATCAATTTGCCTATGACGGCTTATAAAAATATAACAGAACGATACCTATATTACAGGAGTTTACAACAATTTGCCTACGGCAGCTTATAACAATATATCTACAGTTCTTATATGAGGTTATATTATATTATACTATGATGATGCCCTACTTACCCTGATGAAGCTATGATGCGCATGGTGCCATATCTAGGTACCATCTAGGTATGCCAACACAGAGGGTAACTGAAACGCGGGAAAACCGTTTGATAAATAAACAGAGTGGCGATTAATAGCGTGAACAGATATAAAGCATCACTATCAACTTAACTCCGCTCAGAATCGTTTTTCGTAAGCAATAGTTTATAGTAATATAAATTGGATTAAACACATTTTAGGTAGATAGTTATAACATGCAAGTTCGTAAATTTTTTAATAAACCTAATATCTATTTAGATATTAGGTATTTTTAATGTTTTTAACGCTAAGGGTCCCAAAAAAATATTTGCCCCGGGTATCCGAAAGTCTAAATCTGGCTCTATCGTATTTTTTGGTAACGCTGTTTAAAATACTCATAATATATAATTAATAAATAAAGAAATTAAGTAAATTGGTAAATAATAAATATCACGGATGTATAAAATACTATATTATTTTATTATCAACTAGCTGAATAATACGGCTTTGTTCGTGTGCAGTTTTTTTGTGTTACCTACAACTTTTATTCATCAGTTTTTATATTATAGTTATAAGTTGTATTTAGATGTCTTTATCTGACGTTGCCCATGTATTGAACAACCAAAAAAAACTGTATAGTATTTCTAAGAAATAATTCTTATCGAAGAAATTTTGAATATATACATATACCCTAGATCAGCGGTTCTCAACCTATGGTACGCGTACCACTAGTGGTACGCGAAAAGCTCATAGGTGGTACGCGAAGAAAATTTCTCTTTATAAAAAAATTTGGAATGAATCATTAAATATTATTTGGTTTATTTGATGGTGTGGAGGTCGTTTGTAATCGTAGCAATTAAGATAGCGATATTCTATATATATATAATATAAATCGATAAACTTTATCAAATATACCCGATAAAGCGTATTCTTAATTCACAATAATGCGTTTTTACCTTAGTTTCGTGAGTTCTTTCAGTTTATTCACGAGTGTCATACGAATTGTTTGCATCAAGTTTATTTTATATTAAAATTTTACATTTTTATGTAGTTTTTTCTAACTTTTTTGTGATATAAAATTAAGTAAAATGAAAAGATTTTTCGAAAGCGGAAGCTCAAATACTAAAAAACAGAAAACACAGGCGAATCGTAAATATGACGATAGTTACTTACAATTTGGATTCGTTGTAAAATTTGGTTCTGAGAATTCTACTCCGTTACCTCAATGTGTAATTTGTCAAGAAACACTTTCGAATCAAAGCATGAAGCCATCGCTACTTAAGCGCCACCAATTATCGAAGCATCCAGAAACAGAAAATAAACCTATTGAATTTTTTCAGAGAAAAGTTACTATTTTCCGAAAGGAATCGAAATGCATGTCTAGTTTTACGAACTTTAATGAAAATATCGTTAAAGCATCTTATTTAGCAAGTTTAATTATTGCTAAAGATGGAAAACCACACACAATTGGGGAAACATTAGTGTTGCCAGCAGCAAAAGAAATCGTGCGATGTGTTCTTGGAGACAAGGCTGCAAAAGAGATAGAAAAAGTGTCACTTTCAAACGATACAGTCAAAAGAAGAATTGATGACATGTCGTCGAATATAAAAGAAAAAATATTGCTTTATGTGAAAGATTGTAATTTCTTTGCTCTACAAATTGATGAGAGTACTGATATTGCTAACATGGCTCAATTAATTGTATTCATACGTTTCGATCGCAATGATGAAATTATTGAAGAGTTTTTGTTTTGTAAGCCTTTACAAACCCACACAACATCAGAAATTATTTTTACAACCATTAATGAATATTTGATTGAAATAGATCTGCCGTGGAGTAAATGTGTGGGTTTTTGTTCTGATGGAGCAAGGGCAATGACTGGAAGGCTGACNAATCGTAAATCTAATCAAAGCCAGACCTCTCAATTCAAGATTATTCACAGTATTATGTAACGAAATGGGCAGTACTCATAACTCTCTTCTTCTCCACACAGAGGTAAGGTGGCTTTCACGAGGAAAAGTCCTCACCAGACTATTCGAGCTAAGGTCAGAAGTTTTATTAATTCTGACTGATATTGATGAAGAAAAGTCCAAATTGTTTTGTGATGTCGAATGGCTGTCAAGACTAGCTTACATGGCTGACATATTTGACCGTTTAAATATTTTAAATTTAAGTCTGCAAGGATCAAACACAAACATGTTTTATACTAGTGATAAAGTTAATGCATTTGTGAGAAAGTTGGATTTATTTATTTCGCAAGTATCTAAGAATGATCTTTCAGCATTCGAGACACTTAACACATTTTGGAACGATAACGAAGTTCAGCCAAATTCAAATATAATTACAGACATTTCGGAACACCTACAATCACTAAAATCCAATGTTTTACAATATTTCCCTGAGGATAACTCAGAAATGAAATGGATCATAAACCCTTTCGTAGATGATTATATTAAGAATATTCCAGATGGCATTTTGGCAAAAGAATTATTTATTGACTTAACCAGTGACTCTACCCTAAAAACCGCTTTCAATAACAAAAATATCACTAATTTTTGGCTGGACGTGAAAAAAGAATACTCGGCATTGTCCACACAAGCTTTACAGTTTTTAATCCCTTTTGTATCAACATATCTGTGCGAAAAAACATTTTCTGACTTATTGTACATAAAAAATAAATATAGAAGTAGATTAAACGTAGAAAGTGATTTAAGACTTAAAGTTACCAATTTGGAGCCTGATATTGATGTCATCGTTCGTTCAAAACAACACCAATCGTCTCATTGAAGTAAAAAGTAAACCATAATAATTATAATAATTTTACATATTTAATTTGATTTAATTTAATTTCTTTTTGTGCATTAATTACTTTATAGTTTATTATATATACGTATTTATTTTATATTATCTCATTTTGTAATTCCTAATAAAATAAAATTCTATACATGTAACATAAACGTATACATTATTAATAAGCAAAAAAATGGTCAGGTGGTACGTAGAAATTTTCAAGTGGTGTAGGTGGTACGCGACTATAAAAAGGTTGAGAACCGCTGCCCTAGATAATATAGTATAGCTTTTTAAATGAAAAAAATGTTTTTAATCGTTTTACGTTTTATTATTATTATTATTATTACAATTGTTACTATTATTGTTATTGGAAGGCATAACTGCACAAAAATGGCGTTAAATTTAATGAATTTAAATTTGTAGAATGTTGATCAGTAATTAAAATTACAATGAAATTAACAAATAATGTTCAGTAGATACCATGAAGAATAATTATATTAATTTTGTTACTAAGGTAACCCAATTAACAAAAATATACCACAAAATATCATAATTCCTGTGTCAGCTATCGTCAAGGGGTTGAATTTTAGAAATTGCAATAGCTTAATAAACTCAGACCACGTGGAACATTTTTCAAAACATTCTGTTAAAATCGGTCCAGTAGTTTTTGAGTTTATAAAGGATATACAGACAAACATTATTTTTTATATAGAGAGATATAGGCTATAGTCATAATTAAAACATCACAAATAAAAATCCCAAGAGGGGAGGGCGATCCATTCATCAACCCCCTTTAAATACGACACTGAATTGAGCGTAAGTTAATTAAAATAAAATTAATATTATAATAATTATACTGTGACAATATTATTATAAAATATGTGTAGGTACATAGTGATATGGGTAACCACTGTTACCACACGTTGATCAAGTTGAAATATTTCAACTGTATGGTAACGGCTGGTATATAATAGTTGAAAACATAAACTAACCAAGCAGGGAACAACATTTTATGTATATTATATGGTCAACACAAAAAACGCGAACATGCCAGCAATAGAATAGGTAGCTCCTTTATAGACTCTCAAGTTTAATATATATATAAAGACAAAATTATCTAAGATTTGTATAAATATTTTTCTAAATCACTTTTATTTTAGGAATATAAAATAATATTATCATATTATAATATAAATATTTTTTTTCTACAATCACTATATTTTATTAGACGGATTTTTATATAATAATAATAATAATAATAGGTAATCTTTATATAATAATATATACTTGGTGTCACAAACATTTTATTTGTCGTAATATTTTATTTTAATTTAAATATATAATATACATTATAATATATTATATTATATTTTACCTAAAAAAACATCCGTGACATGCATTTAATATTATAATAATAATATATAATCAACAATCATACACAACAATAAAAGGACATCTATACAATAATATTATTTGTTCTTTTTTATATCGTAATAATAATGTAACATACATATTAAATAATATTAATTTAATGTTTTAAATGTGTAAAAATTGACGTAACTAAACACATAATTAAGTAATTATCAAACATTTTTGAGCAAACTGAATGTGAACTAGATGATGTTTGGACGGGCTCTCTGTTTCTTGTACTCTTGGTCACGCTCAATATGACCGTAGCTTCCACCAACGTTTTACCGGAACCGACGATCAAATTGTACTCACCGCTGTGCATCGGCGTTACCGACTGGATGGTGAGAGTGGCTACTTGGCAATAAGAAGTTGTCGATGACTGAAACAAAATAACAAAATAATGATGATTGAACATTGAAAAGAAAAAAGAAAGATGGAAAGCTTCAAAGAATAGAACCGTATATATAGGGGAAAAATTATCGATCGAAAATTCAATTTGTATTTACTGTTAAAAAGAAAAGCAGGCAATAAAAACGGATAGAGTAAAACTGTAAATCAATGTGATATCAAGAAATAGAGAGAGAGAGAGAACGAGAAAGAGAGAGAAAGAAATGAAAATCATTTTAGAAAAACATAAAAATTTGATAATCTAAACGTATACCTTTTGTAATAATTATTTTGTACAATAAACATAATTATTTCGTTTCTTATTTTTCAATTAAGTAGTTTCAATTAGTTTTTTTTCCAATATAAGTTGTCAGTGTGTATCAGTTATATCCACGAATTAAGGTATACGAAAGATCTTATCAATGCTTTTCTGAGTCGCTCAGTTCTAATTATTTGGCATGACAGCCAGTGACGTATCCAGAATTGTTTTTTTTTATTTGTGGGGAGGGGGGATTTTAAAAAAAGTAACAAATGAAATTGCTTTGAATTTTGTGTATTAAAAACTAACATTTTATTACTATTTTACAGCGCTAATTATATAAAAGTTTAAATATTTATCTTTTTTAAAAATTATAAATGTATATTCATTTTTCGTTATGATGTTTTAGTAAATTCATCTATAACATCATTAATATCCACGTTGATATCGCGATGAATATATTTTAACAAAATACTAAAAATTAATTGAAATATATTTATATATATATATTTGTAGCCATCCCCTCTGTGAGTAATATTAAAAAAAACATAATTTAATGATATGTAATATCTCTAGAGATATTATAGTAGGTATATTTTCATAGGGATCTTTGTATAGTGTATATGTATACATTACGTACATATACATTTTTTTAACACTTACGGTTATACTATGAGCTGTAATTGATCCTACGGCCGTTCCTGGTCTGATGACTCGATCACTGGCAATCCAAAAAACTTTATTTACCATCGGGTTGGAACAGAACTCGGCCGACAAACGGGTGTCGTTTCCTTCGTGCACAACAACAGTTCTGTTTTCAATGTATATAACCGGACCTCCTGAAATCGAAATCACACAGTTGAAATTAATATCGTTTTTGTCTAATTATTTAGAAAACGTAATTAGTCTCTGAAAATCTTGAACTTGACTATTCAAATATTATTCTCGTTTTGTAGGTGAATAATATTTATTATTAATTCATAGCTTAAATCAGGTTTATTCCTCTTTTGTTACTCAAATAGTACATGTTAATCGTTATAATATAATATTATGAACTTGTATACTTTAAATTTAAATTTTAAGAACAGTTTTAAAGTCATCTATTACAAAAAATTTACATCAAAGTTATAAAAGTACAAAGAAAATGTAAAGCAGAAACTATTCCTAATATTTCTAAACCATTTTCCAAAAAAAAAAAAAAAAATATAAATACTACCACTGAAAAAAATTATAAATATAGTTTACTAAAATAAAAAATTTTACAGAGCCAAATTTAAAACAATCTGTTTATAGTAATTAAGTATTAGTTGGAACGGGTGCCTAAATTTAAATGCCACCGTTTGGTTTTTACGTTTTTACGTTTTTAACAGTGGTTTGTACGGCGAGCATATTTAAGGTTACTGACCGCCGTAGACGAACTTTCACCACTCTCCTCCCCGCTCTGCCATGTGCGGTAGCGGTTTAAAAGGCTATTCTTAACTCCCAAATATATTTACCCCCGGAAAATATATCGTAGGATAAATTTACCTCCAATGAAATTTTAGAGTTAAAAGTTTCATGACGGGGGTAAATATAGCATACATGCTGTATAATAATACTTTATTATACGAAAAAACTCTTGAATACTACTGTATTGTTCAACAAAACATGGCTTATAGGAGAAGCCTACCGCCTCCCCCTCTTAGGGACGCGCAAGACTAAATTGGGTAAATATATCCTATGTAATTCTTACATCAATGATTAAAATTCACTAAACGGAGCTGAATATATCCTATGTTGTTAGAACGTCCATCATTATGTTAACTAAAGGGTGAAAAATATATCCTATATTATTCTTACATCCTGGTAAAAATGCACTGAAAGGAGGTGAATATAATATGCTATATTATAATTACATTCACGAATACGGAATAAGTACACCGATAAAGTTAAATAAAGTAGCATATTTAACGTCAGGCTATAGGGCGACAATCTTGAGGGGAGCAGCAAATATGGAAAAAAAAGTAATGAATAATTTTAAAATTTGTAGTATTTATATAAACAAATTATAACTTGGTTAAATTTGGTTTAGAAAAGCAGGCACATTTAAAAATAAATTTTAAATTCTGAGTGTAGCGAGAATGTATTGGTTTTACTAAGATGTTAATTTTTTTTTTTTTTTTTTTGTATATTGTGTACAAAAATTCGATCATAAATTTTGCTCAGATATATAAGCGCGGCACCATTTCTGAGATGAAATGTTGTCTAGATGGTATTTTTAGGAGGTCATTTTTTGATTTTCCAAACGGTTTTCATAATATCTGAGAAAAACCAGGATAAAACATAATAAAAACAGGACATTTATGAAAATAATGGTTTTATTATTTTTCAGTTTTGTTATTTATTATAATTCAGTTAAAAATGTTCGTGGAGAACTGAAATTTAGATAAAAACTTATATTTGCCTTTCTAGACGTGGTGAAATTTTCAAACATGTTAAGCCATTTTTGAATTATTTATATACATTTTTTTGCGAGTTTTGTATGTAATATTTAATCGGTAGGTACTCTTTAGTAAAATTGTAAGACATGAACAAAAATGCTTCCAAATTTAACAGGAGGTTCATTAAGAGTCTTCCATTGTAGCCAAAAAAAAAAAAAGATGAGTTTAATGTATTTTTTTTTTTTTAAACGAAATTTTAATATCAAATTTTGACGAAAATCGTTTTGAGTAAAAAATTATATGAAGCAAAACTAATTTTTTAATTTTTTGTCTTGAACACATGTATAGGCCGATATAAAAACGATGATCAAGTCATAATTAAGCGGACTGACTAAGTTTCAAAGTTATAGCTTTTTGAAGTTCTGATATTATGCGGATATTATATGTTATGACGTTATGTTAAATAACACTATATTGTCCTTTTAAAAGCATATTTGTCGTAATCTAATGGTTTATTATGCTTATTATCATTTTAGAGGTTCCGAGTTTAAACCAGTGTACCCAAAAAAAAAATTGTTTGTATTTTTTTCCCCCTTTTACCCAAACAAAGAAAAAACAAATGCATTTTGGATATACCTAGAGACCCAAGCCATTACTCGCTCGGACTAATTTAATCGTAAAATTTTCTGTCAGAAATCTTGCTCTGATGTATCAATTGTAGCTTATTTTTTTAAAAGGAAAATTTATCTCCATGGTAATTCAAGTATGTCATTTTTTGATTTTTAAACGGTTTTATAATATCTGGGAAAAACTTGGATAAAAAGTCAGAAAAACGGAAAATGTACGAAGTGTAGATATTAGTAAAAAATATTATGGCCTTTTCTTTCTGTGTACAACTTTTCTATCAGCAATGCACCTCCAATATAAAATTATAGTATTTTTTCTGAAAGGAAATCTGACTGGAAAGGTTCTTAAAAGTGGTAATTTTTCGATTTTTCCACGAGTATTCAACAAACGTGAAAAACCGAAAAAATCTTAGAAAAAACGAGAAAATTGGTACATTAAACAAATATTATTAAAGAAAATACCAGGTGATTCCTTTAATTGGGTATACTCATTATCTCGGAAAGTATGAACTTTTTTGGGAATTTATTTTCTAGAAAATTTAAATTATCAAGCAGCTATACAAGTTTATATTTATGTTATTTTTTGTCACACTTAAATTTTTGATTTTTGTCAAACTGTTGACAAGATATCCCACTTTTAAGTTTGGGTTGAAGGAGAGTAGTGATGTATTATTAAAACGCCACGCGCCGTACCTGCATACAAATGATACTTCACTAATCTCCTTCAACCCAAACTTAAAAGTGAAATATCTCGTCAACGGATCGACAGAAATCAAAAATGTTAACACTAAAATTTATTTTAACTAATACTTCATCTATTTTTGGAATTTCAAATGCAATTTGCCGTTTAAAAATTAATATTAGGTAGTGGTTTTACCCCCAAAATAAGGGTAACAAAATATAAAATTGTACTATTTTTTCGGATTTCCACATTTGATGAGAAAACTCTTGAGAAAATCTAAAATTGACCTACCTACTGTACCTCTCCACATCGAGTTCCTTTCAGAAAATGTGCAACATTTGAAAATTGGAGCAAGATCTTTGGTAGAAAATTTGTTCACAGAAAAAAAAAAAAATAAACATTTTTGTAAAACTATAAGCAATACAAGTTATACCAGTAATAGTGTCTATACGAATCAAAAATAAATAAATAAAGTCATGTGTCCAGTCAGTGTGTATAATGTATATATGCACGGTAAAACAACAGAAATCAATCGAAATATATGAGGTTAATACATAATCAGTAATATCGTAAATATTTCCTATTTTAATGTAATAAATTTAATGCATAGGAGTTTTTTAAAAAATTATTACTACCTGAAGATATTATGTAAAATGTAATAATTTGTGTGTGCGCATTGGGCGCAAATGCATATTCCGAGTCAGTTAATTAACCTAACCCCTTTGAAATTTAGGGATAGAGAACTGTGAATAGTTGATACATATATACAAAATTTTAAACTTGAAAAGAAATTTGAATTTTAAATTTTTTCTCAGCGTAGTAGCAGGTAAACGTTTGGTGATCATACGAACAATGAACATCGTCTTACAATCGTGTTATCTTGATGATTGTCGAACATTAGATCTAATAATATGTAATCTATAATATGTATAATATATACATATCATATGCGAGTGCCTAGTTAATAGTATATAATAATATTATTTTTATTTCAATTCTAAATTGTATACTTGAATCGTAACAAGGTACAAGTTTTAATAAATAAATTAAATACTGACCAACAACGTTCAAATGAAGTGTGTACACTCTGAGCTTTTCTAAATTTTGATTCTTAGTGCCGACAATACATTTATATTCGCCAGCCTCTTGATACAACACTTGATCTATATGAAGATTACTACTGGGCCCAATTGGCTGTAGACCGTTATCAATGCTAGATTTGGCCCAACACGGTATCGCCGTACTGGGCCCCGACGGACATTCCAACTGAACCTCGCCGCCAACGGTGACCTCGACGGATTCGGAAGAACCGGAATTGTCTTCTTCGATTAATTCTTTGCGAGCCGCTTCGAGTTCGTTTGAATTGTCTAAAATATAACACCATAATTATTATTATATTACGTATAGTAATCTAGCTAAGTTTAGTTGGGATGAGAAAATTTAAATTGATGAGTGAAGTCAACAGAGAGGATAGAATAATATTAAAGAATAATGCATTTTTAAGGTCTAGCATAGTTACTTTTTCTATAGTTGGTAAGATGAGAAATAATCAACTAATAAAGTTTGGATATGTGATCAGAAAGAATACGTCAGTGGGTATAAGAGTAGTTCTATGAATGAATTTTGCTGAATCGAGGAGAAAAGGAAGGCCAAAAGGAGATGGTTAGACACGGTCAAGAGTTACGAGTATATGAGGATTACTGGGATGTGTACGTAGATTATGGGGGACACACGATTCAAATGGTGGATGTTATAAGACAAAGATGATCGTCCTCAAATAGATGAAATGTTAGGTGAGAGAGAGAAAAAAAAAACTTAATAGTAGTCATCTATAAAATTACTATAATAATAATACTTACATCTAACGTTTAAAAAATAACCGATGGACGAATATTCAGATAACAAATGCCTGCTCGTGCATTTGTACCAGCCACTATGATTTCTTCGTATCGAAGTAAAGTTTAGAAAACCATCATCGGTTTGAAGAACAGGTGGCACACTGTCGTCTTTATTATAACATAGTGCAAAACAACCATATTTTGAAAAATAAATTATATAAATTATATTAACATTTACCTTTTTGCCAGACAGGAGAAGATGGCGGATTCGAATCTACGTCACATTTCAGAGAAACCGGAATGCCTTCTCTAATAGGTATTCCAAATCCGGGAATTCGACTGATTCCAAAAGAAGGAGTATCTATATTTTATAAATATAATAGATTAATTATCATTAGAAAAAAAGAGCTAATATTGCTGATGAGTGCGCAATTGTTGTAGGTAGAATGTTGGGAAAGTAGGTATATAATATGTAGTTATTTAATTTAGAAGTTCCGTCTCTTTGGTACCTGTAAATCGTCCTATCGACTTGGAACCAACATAATTTTTATGTATCCTATTTGTATCCATTTGTTTCCCTTTAAAAAAAAATTGTATCTCCTTCACTTTCCTGCAAAGCAGAATTTTACAAACCGTCTCCCTGACACTAGCACCCTTTAAAAAACATCCTATCGATTTTGGACTGATACCAATACAAATTTGTTGTAATTTTTCAAGTTTTAAATAAATTTCAAACTAAAAGACAAAATATATTTTATAGGTACTTCAAAATATATACAGTTGGTATTTATGACATAACATATTCAAAAGATTTTGATGTATCACATTCTTAGCAAGTATATAAAAAAAAAAACCACATTAATTATAATAGGTCATTTAACCCATTATACGTGTAGAGTTCAATATTTCAATATTTTTCAATCGATAAACGTAATTTATAATAGTTCAAAAGAAAACTGCATCGTAAAAAAATATTAACAACTGTATCAAAATTTAAAAATGTATTTCACAAATAGATACAAAATATTACCACAGATTTCCTCCTTTAAATCAATTAAATTTTGATTAAAATGACAATCAAATTCCACCAATTTTTCTAAATTATGGTTCAAATACATTAATTTCATTATTTTAATAAAAATCATAAAATTTCAAAATGTGTGTTATTTTAAAACTTTAATTGCAAATTATGTTAAAAATAGTTGCAAATAAGTGGCAAAATAATAGCATGGGTTTGGAATGAATCGGTCAATGTCGGGGGAGGAGGCTACGTAAAGTTGGCCCCTCTAAAAATAAACCTTTTATTTCGGTGAAAGTATAGAGTTGCAAATTTTGAAACGCATGTTGCAAATAGTTACAAATAAGTTGCAAAATAATAGTATAGGTTTGGAATAGACACAGTCGAGAGGCCAACTTTACGAATATGCATACAAAATTGTATGTATTTTATACTGTACTATTTATACTATAAATTATGATAAACTCAGTACTCTCTAAAAAGTTTATAAACGTTTGATATTGTTTGAGTAAATGCGCATAAAATTATTCAAAACTCTCTTCAAGTACATTATCAATGTACTTATATTTGTTTCGGTACTTATTTATAATATTATAAGGTATGCATCAACTTACATTGAACGTCAAGAAGTATAGTTGTGTTCAAAGGATTTACAAGAGTAACATGCGTAACTATGCACGCCACGGTGGCGTTATGATGAGCCCGGAGAACTCTTTGAATTTTTGCCGAACTACGGCTGACGTCTTTATCCTGGTACGATTCATTCGACTGCAACAATCCTGAAGACATTGCTTCATTTTCTAAATTTGCATTACTGGGAAATAGTAACCAATGCAAGGACGGCATCGGATTGCCCCCTTCGACTACACACTCTATGCTCAAATCCATATTCTCTTTGACTGGAACAAACAGATTTCCAGGATCTAAACGGTGTCCATCGATTAACAAATACGGTTCTTTAGGAGTTTCTGTAAAACACAAACGCAACATTAGGTATTCTCAACACTTATCTATTTTATGAATATCACCGTAGTATATTTATATATTATATAATATGTATTTAAAAGAAAATAATAAAAAATACCTAAAACTACCAAGTTTATTGCTCTGGCCAATTGCTTTTCGTTTACGCATTGCCATATACCGTTATCATCTAGTCTTACGTTACTAATCACTAAAATTCCCGTGTTATGGTTCAAGTTGTACCGATGTCCGATATCGACGTTTTTTCCGTTGTGCAGCCATCTATATAATATTATAAAATTATGTATTTAAACAAATTCATATTATTTATGATGTATGTATAATGTATCGTAATGTTTAAATATTACTGAGTATTTATTTTAAATTTATTTCGTTTACAACTAGGAAGCTCAGTATCAAGAGTACACTTGAGTTTTTTTCTATTAATTAAAATTAGGTCTAAAACCACAATTACCTATTATTTATGAATATATACCATAAATTAAAAATTTGTTTTTTTCTATCTGAATGAAAATTCCCTGAAAAGGGTGTTCTACAGTGTTATCCGAATACTAATAAAACGTTAATGTATAGAAAATACGTGTGAAAAAATTAATATTCAATAGAAGATAAGGAATTCTACCATACTGATGTATAATGTGTTATTCTATTGAAAATTAATTGTTTTCATATCAATTTTCTGTTCATTAAAGCTATTAGAACTAAGTGATTATTAATCGGATTGAAATGTATGACACATTACAATTTTTAGAACAATATATTTTATAAAATGACTACTTAATTTGAAAATTTTAAAAAGTGAAAAAGTAAAGTAATTTTTTTTTTCTGTGATTAAGAAATGAAAATAAAATTTTAATTTTTCTCTACATAAGTGTCCCCTTGACATAATTCCCGATTGAGAAAAAAAAAAAAAATTAACATTGATAGAATAACTAGCACTTGGATAATACTGTAGGCACTCTATATAGTAACTATCCTCTCCAAAAAAAATTCTGGGAGTACCCCTGATCAGTGTACTTGCTATCACAAAACGATATAAAACAAAATAAAAATATTAGATCAAATTTAGTAAAATATTGGGACGTATGTTTATTTTATTATCGCTCTTTGGTTTAAAACGTCAGATTTGTCCGTTAAAATTGCCGTATCCCTTCTTCTTAAATTATGAATATTAATTAGTCGATTATGTAAACGTCATATCATTAAGGTGGTCATCAAAAGGTAAAACATAATTATTAAATTTAACAGAATTTGAGAAAATGTATTAAACCATTTCTAACCCACATTTAAAATCAAATATCGTTCTACGTAATTGGCATAATACCTATATTGTAAAATATATAAATAATAATAATAAATAATAAATAATAAATAATAAATAATAATTATTTATAATAATATAAATATATATATATAAATGAGCGTTGTATCGACGCGTAATTTAGTATGCGATGCAAGTACATGACATATATAATATGAACAAATTCTTCGAGATAGAAATATTAACATAAGAGACAATTAGGTAGGTACCTAATAATTTGTCACGCATATATAATTAATAATATGATCGTAATATAATAACGCTACAATATGATCGGTTAGTATTTGTAAATGTAAACAAATCGTAATTTGTTTATTTCGATATGCCTAGAATTATAGAACGAGATATGATCAATATTTTTATTATCAAAAGATTTTCACTAAATTAAAGACGACAACATCAAAATTATGTTCATATTTAACTAAAATAATTATTACAATAAACCTCGTGTTAAATTTTCGAGCGTGTTTGTTGAGCCAAAACAATTTCATCCACATTAAACCAAGTAAAAACTAAAAATAAAACTCGACAATTTAAATGATGTAATAAATAACTCAAAAAACTATAGATTGATTTGAAAATTTTACCATGTCTATAAATAAGGGTTAATTTAAGTATTCAATGAAAATGTCTGATGTTTTTAATTGAATTAAGTACGAATAGATTGACTAAGAATTAGACATAAAAATATCTTTCGACTAAAATATTTAACATGTTGTCGTCTTTAACAAGTGCGGTTAATTTTTGTTTTAAGTCTATTATAGCACGCAGAGTGCAGAATAATATTACAAAAAGTAATAAAATCCATTTTAACTATGATGTCTGTTAAATAGACAGAGACGGCATTCTCTTAGCTTTTAAAGTTCCCGAATATATGTAATGCACAAAGTAGTAACAAATTTTCATCCCCATTCCTGCTCATAACCTATTTATCGAATTGTATATGTATGTACAATAGTTTTATTATGTATTTATATAATATATATAGGAATAAGAGAGGTCCAAATTAAAATTAAATACGTAGCCTTTATAAAAGTGGTTAGGTAAATGTTTGTGCTTGTATTTAATTGTGAGTTTACACTGCAGTGCAGTAAGTACTCATCGTGTAAGAACATCGCTAAAAAAAAAATAATAAAATATGCGCAAACTCACTTTAGTTTCATTTGTAACCAATTTGACGTAACATTTAAAGCTGGTGAAATTCCGCACAGTAACTTCACATCCGAATGAGGCCAAGTTAATTGCTCTAGAGGGCTTAAGGTACTCAGCCCAGTATTGTCCCTTTGCTGATGATGTCTCAAGATATGAGTCATAGTTTGAACATCTGTATACATATTAAAAATAAAAACACCTTGTTATTATAAATATAATTATTAAAACAAAATAATAATAATTTTAAAGTGTCGTTTAAAATAATAAACAGAGATGTGGGCATACTTCGTACGCTGGGTGAGCCAGTGTTGTAGGTGAGAAGTTGGGCAGGTAGAGGGAAAATTGAGTGTAGGTATATCTGTACCCAACGATTTACCATTGTTAAAGAAAAACGGTTATGAGCGGGGTGCGATTAATAGTGTTGCTTTGTCACAATATGTCATATTATGGTAAAGTAATTAAATAGGCATTACATATTTTCTTAAATAATATTTGTTTAATATTATAATATTGTTTTATTCCTATTTTTCCCGGTTTCCCATGTTTTTTTTCTCGATTTTTCATATTATATAGGAAAACTCTCGGGAAAATCGAAAAATAGCCTCTTTAAAGTACTTTCCCAGTTAGAATTCTTTTTAGAAAAAGTGCTATTATTATAAATCGGAGAAAAATTTCTGGTAGAAAGTTGTTCACAGAAAAAAAAATCGTAATATAATAATATATTTCGAATATTTTCCCGTGTTTCCTCCATTTTTCCGGTTTTTCACATTTATAAAAGAAAACTCCTGAGAAAATCGAAAAACGACCTCCTTAAAGTGCCACCCCAAAAAAATTTCCTTTTAAAAAAATCGTAAATTTCGTTATTTTTTGTTATTTTCAATTATTATGAAAATTATTTCAGGTATCATTAAACGATTTAAATTAAAAGGAACAAAATTGAAATCTCTACATTTTTGGATTGAATTATTATTTTTGATAGAAAACTTCGTGTGAACATAATAAAATGGATGGACATATTCCGCACATGGGTGCAGCCACTGTTATAGGTGGGAAGTTGGGGAGATAGGGACGGGTAAAATACGGGAATTTAATGTATATCTGTAAGCAACAATAAATCATTGATAACGAAAAAACGATTCTGAGTTTAGTTAATAGTATTGCTTTGTCAACAATATTATTTCATATTATAGTAAAATGATAATAACAGTAAGCGTTTCATTGATAACAATGATTGTTTAAAAAGGATTAAAATAATAAAACTTAATAATAACAAAAGATAAATAAAAGCGGTTGCCAATTATAACCTTATTTTTAATCTTTCAATATTTGTTTAACCTAAAGAACCAAATTTTCTTCATTATTTCGAATAATATTGAGAATTTTAACAAATCAACTCTCTAAAATACCCAAAGAATATTTACTTTCACAAAAGGTGCTATACTGATAACCGGAGTAAGATTTTTGATAGAAAGTGTTCACATAAAAAAAATTTGTTTTTAAAATTCACATCATTGTAAAACGCGCTCCGCTCAGAATCTAAAACAATGAAAATGAAAACGGTATAACACCGCGGCGGCGTGACGTAAATATTTGTCGTTTAAACTATAATTTTCTTTCGGGTTTTTTTTCAATTATTTCAAAAACCCTTTGTTAAGTACAAAAATGTCCATATAGCACCAAATAGAGGAAATTACCTTTCAAAAAAGGTACTATAGTCTGAACAAATTTTCTGGTAGAAAATTTAAAGAATCTAAAAATTGAGTTTAATGTAGTAATTTTTTTTATATGAATTCTGATATCAAGTTTTGAAGATAATTGTAAATATTACATCCTTTAAAAATTTCTGTAACTGAACTTCGCTTGAAACGTTTTTCATTAGCAATGGTTTATCGTTATAGGTATAAATATAAATTAAATAACTTTATGTATCCTACCTCTCCACTACCCACCTACAAAAATAGCCGCACCCGTCCTCGGTTTAACTTTTTTCTTTTTCTTTTTAATTTTTTTGGTCACTTTCTCTTTCACTGGTACATAAAATATTATTTGAAAATTTATATACGAAAATAGTTATAGTTTGCTGCATTTTTCACCGACAATTCCAATATATTTAAATTACATTTATTATGTCGATTTATTGAAATTAACCTATCCTCAGTGCATTAAAATAAGCCCTATTATAGCTATTGTTTCGGGTTCACGGTCATATACGAAATTAATTGGATCATAATATTACACGGCGTGAATGCATATTGTAATAATACTATTGTTAATACCTTTAAGGTATTTACCCGGTTGATATACAAAGGTTCGTCCCATCAATATAACTTAAACGGTTAATTAATACACACGCGTTAAATTAAATTATATAGGCGTTATCATTTTCGAGTTAAAAGTGAATATTGCACATAGACACATAGGTAATAATATATTATTTTAACATAAAATATTTATTATTCTAGTTACTCATATGTATCAAATTGTCAACATGGACATTATCAGCATGTTGTATGGTTAAATTATTATAAATAAGGCTAGACATTTTTAGTATTTGCTTCTTTTTTCTTAGTTCTTCGGCTTATAGTTTATCAAAAACAAGATTCAATTCATACAACACAAATTTCAAATATAAAAATGGTATATATTTTTTTTTTTAATTTTCTTATGATTTTAATGAACTATTTCATTTTTGGTAGTTAAGTGCCAGTTTATTAGCCTTTTATTTATGTTCTATTAATTATATGCATATTCGATATTTTAAGCATATTTTTATTTAATTTATAAATTACGTTATTATAAACACAGTTATTTTAATAGAATTTCGTGTGTATGGGGGAATATTATTGGTCAATTTTTGTGAAAATAGATTCATAGATATGACTACCAAGTAGAGAGTAGAAGTGCATTCGCCATTAGTTCGTTGCATTGACGAGTATAAATTGTATTAAAACCGCTTGGTGTGTTCGATTTTATTATATAGTTATACTCGTACATGTGTCCTAAATTAAAATGGCTAAACAAAAACATTAGTTAACTTATATCATCTACACCATTACATGCATACATATGTCAGAAGTTTATTTTTTAATAGCATTGTTTTGTTGCATTATTGATAAGTTTTTAACTTTATATGATGCTATTTCATACTACTTTTAATTGTTTGATTTCTTTTATAAAAATAATTTTCTCCATTACGACTTTATTACTAATATCTCAGGTACATCTCAAAGTACAAATTACTCATTGAACCTGACAAGAAATGTGGTGGTTAGGGAACGAAAATATTAAAGAAGAAAATTCAACAATATTCTGTAGTGGCACAAAATCGAATATATATAAGAAAGGAGTAGGTTTTGCGCTTGGTAATACAATTCTAACATGTAATAAATATGTTGAAGTTGTCAACGAAGGCATATTTCATTCATGTAGTAGGACGCAAATTTGACTTAATTGTAATCAACCACCACACCCCAACTGAGGACAAAGATTAAGAAGAGAAGAATAGATAATACATTTTATGAAGAGTTAAAAAAAAATATGACCCACTACCGAGACACTGTATCAAAGTAATAGTTGGAATTTTTAATGTTTAAATAGAGAGGGAGTCAATGTTTAGACCACCCATCGGATAAGAAAGCATGCATGAAACATCAAATAACGATAACGGAAGTAAAATAATTAATTTTGCAATATCTAGAGAGCTTGTGATAAGTAGCACATATTTCCCAAGGGAAAATATATACAAGAACACGTGGTCAACTCTAGATGGAAGAACGAAAACTCAGATTAATCACGTTATACGTAATAGATAAACGTCATCAGTTAAGCATTAAAACCGTAAGAACATACAGAGGGGTGGATGAAGACCAAGACCACTTTTGGTAGTAGCAAATTTCTCGATCAAGCTTTCAAATAAATGGAATAAACATCAGCACACAAATAAAAGTGCTGAATAAGATAGAGACAAGATAAAAACGATTCTAAAATTAATACATTTAAAACGAAAGTAACTGCGAAACTCACCAAGCACGACCAAACGCAAACGAAAAATCAAACATTTTCGTTTAAATTTGATTACAAAACGCTTCTTAAAAAAAAAGTCGCCTGATGATTTTGGAAATTTTACCACGTCTAGGCAAGTTCAATATAAGTATTATTACCGAGTTCCAAGTCTCTAAGTGTATTTATAACTGAGTTACAGCAAAAAACTTCCCAAAAATTAAAATTTCTTAAAAGCTCAAAAGTAGCTCAAAACTTTAGGCGATGATACCTTTAGAAAGTAAATCAAAAAGGCAAAACAAAGGCATCTTGTGTTTTTTTTATTAAATCATTATTTTTCGTAGAAAACGTCGTCCGTGTTTTTATAAAATAATAAAATCGTGAAATTGTACGATTTCCTACGTTTTTTCCTACTAAAGTGCTTTTATTTAAAAAATCGTGCTAAAAATCAAAAAATTACATATTTAAAGTACAAATTAAACAACTCAAGCTTTCAGAAAAGATGTTATACTTATATATCGGATCAAATTTACAAGGAAAAATCGTGTCTACAGACTAGAACAAAAAAATAAAAAAATAAACATTATTGTAAAACTAATAGCTACGCTACCCCTAGCTACGCTCGAAATCTAAAATAAAACTTAATGCTTGATAAGTTAAAATATGTATTGTGATAAATAAAATGTGAAATCTTTAACTTGGTATTTTATACATTTTACACTTAATACACCGTATCCTATTTTCCCTGGACCGGCTGGAAAAGACTACTCAATAATGCCCCGTGTGTACACTACTTTATAGCGAAGCGATAAATAATTGAAGACGAAATAAACAGCATTGTAAAATCAATAGATCCCTCGTTACGCTCAGAATTTAATAATATACCTAATAATTTAATAACACCACATTGTTTGTTATCGTATTGTGATAACAAACGTAAGTAATAAGAGTAAATTTCCTACTTGGTTTATTTCTAAGCATCGGAACTCTTTAAAGAAAAAACAAGCTTCCCATAAATTGTTCAAATTTACGAAAAATCATTTGGATTAATTGACATTTTTAGTTCTCCATTTAACCTATAAAAGGCTAAGTCAGAAATAGCACTCTAACTACTGCAGTAGATGACTGCAGTACTGCTGAGGCGGTTATTTTATAAAAATTATTAAAAAGATTATTCAAATAATATTGTGAAAATCACTTCCAGTGAAAGGCCCGAAGAATGAACCTAGCCAGTTCAAATAAAGTATTATGTTATATTTAGAAGACTCATTTATGTTTAGTTATTTTAATTTCTGAGTGGAGCGAAGAAGTTTAATGGTTCAATATGTTTGTTCTATTTTTATTATTTTTACCTGTAGACAACTTTTCTACCAGAAAGCTTAAATCAATGTACATGATATAGACCTTTTTCTGAAAGGAAATTTTCTTGGGGTGGTACTTTAAGGAGGTCATTTTTTGATTTTCCCAGGATTTTTCTCAACACATGGGAAAAACCGAGAAAAAACGTGGGAAAACCGATACAATATTAAACAAACATTATCAAATAAAGAAATGTTTTAAAAACATCAATAACCAAAGACCTAGATCTAGTTTTGTATTTTGTTGTCATATACGTCTAAGAAAGAATCTTGCGTATATGACAGTGGGGACCGTAATTCAACTCGAAAATCTAAAGCTAGTAAAATTACAATCGCAGAAACTTACCTATTATATACGCTATATATGTATAGTGTTCATACAATATTATATATAAGTAATACTACTTCTTTAATGAAAAGTTACAAGCTTAGGATTTGACGGATTTATTGCTTTTATTGGTTTGAAATTATTATTTGAAAATAAATGTTGTGTACTATAGATTCTATAGTTCACAAAGTATGTTTAGATATAGTAGGTATTAACTAAATATTTTGTAAACTTCGTGGTACTCAGTACTGGGAGTCGAAAACATAAAAATAACGTCAGTTTATTTTATAATAATTTAAAGTTTAAACTTTAAAATTAAAAACGGTTAAATATATAATATATATTTATATTTTCTATAAATTTACTTAAGATTACAATAAATACAGTTTAATTTTTATGTATAAAACGGGTGCGTTTAAATATGATTTCAGATTTATGTAATTTATTTTCACATTTTCTGGAATTCTTCTATTAAGCTAGAATTGCTCGTCAAATTTAATATCTACTAAAGAAAAATATTAACTAAATGCGTTTTAAACTTTCAAAGACAAAACTAAGACATTTAACTTATGTTTTCTATACCAGAAATATTGCTCCAATCGAAAAATCCAAACGATTTAATTCCTTTTGACAAATAGCTACTGACTACGCAAGTTGTTTTAGATTCTGAGTGGAGTGAAGAAGCATACAGTTTTACAAATATGTTTATTTTTGTTTTTTATCTGTAAACAACTTTTCTACCATAAGATTTGCACAGATTTTTAAGTGAAGTGACTTTTCTGGAAGGAAATTGGTATGGGGAGGTACTTTAGGGGGAACATTTTTGGATTTTCTCAGAAATTTCTCGTCAAATTTTAAAAACTGAAAAAATTTGGGGAAAATAAAATAAATGTAATTATTAGTTAAAATATATTACGGCCTTATTTTTTTCTATGCACACCTTTTTTACCAGCACTTTTGCTCCTATTTATAATTAAAGCAATGTTTTTAAAAGGAAATTTGACTGAAAAGATACTGGTAGGGAGGTCACTTTTCGATTTTTCTAAGAGTTTTACAGTCAAATGTAAAAAACCGAGATAAAACATAGAAAAACCGAGAAGAACGTAAGAAAACTGGTAAACGATAAACCATTACTTACGAAAACACGATTCTGAGTGGAGTTCAGTTGATAGTGATGCTTTGTCAACAATATGTATTTTATATTATAGTAAAAATAGGCTTTCCATATTTTCTTTAATAATATTTGTTTAATGTTGTACCGATTTTTCCAGTTTTCCTACGTTTTTCCTGGTTTTTAAATGTTTTATTCCAGTTTTTCACATTGCCTGGAAAACTTTTAGAAAAACCAAAAAATGACCCCCTTAAAGTACTTTCTAAATCAAATTTCCGTTTAGAAACATTGCTATCATTATAAATTGGAGTAAAATTTCTGGTTGAAAAGTTATGCACAGAAAAAAACATTCGTAACATTTTAGTAATATATTTCGTACATTTTCCTGTTTTTTTCTTAGGATTTTCAAATTTGATGAGAAAACTCCTGAGAAAATCGAAAAATGACCTTTAGGTAGCTAAAGGGTTCACCCCACACCGATTTCTTTGTAGAAAAGTTGCTACCCTTAAAAATCTGAACTAGTCTTTTGGTAGAAAAGATGTTCACGGATAAAAAAAAAAATTAATAAAGCAAACATTTTAGCAAAATCAAAATAGCTTCTACGCTCCACTTAGAATCTAAAATGGGAAAGTTTACAAAATGTATTAAGTTTTCAATTTTTCTTGTTTCTTTGTTTTGTTTTATTTTGGTTAAGTTAAAAATATTTGTAGTGACTTGAAGTTTAAACATAAAATTTATAATTGCATTTTCTAGACGTGGTAACATTTTCAACACATTGTGGCCATTTTGAACTATTTATAGACATTTTAATTTTACGAGTTTTTTAGGCACATTTTATTTGGTAGGTACACATATGGATAAAATTATTAAACTAAACAGAAATTCTTCAGTAAGTTCATAATAGGTCGTACTAAGTGGTCGAAATAAAAAATTATATATAATAAAATATATTATAAATAAATAACTTTATGTATTCCAAGTGGCACAACCATGGGAGTATTTTAGGTTAGGTTAGGTTTTTGTATTTTGTATTTGTTGACAACTCTTCTACCAGAACACTTGCTCCGAAGTGTAGACTATAGCACATTTTCTGAAAGATAATTTTCTCTAGTCGGTACATTAAAGAAGTCATTTTATGTTTTTACAAGGGGTTTTCGAAATAATTGGCAAGAACTCGAAAGAAAATTGTAGTTAAAATAGCAAATATTTACGGTGCGTAGCGACGTTAGCATTTCTATTGTTTTTAATTATGTTTTTTATTAGACATATTGCTCCAATCTAAAAATGAAAAGAGATCTATTTTGTTTCTAATAATATTTTAATGACAGAGTAAGTCATAAAAAAAGTTTTTTTAATGAATAAGGAAAACCGAATTTTTCGTATGAAGAACTGGACAATTTAGGAAAATAATTTTGTATTATTTAAATTTTGTTTTTTTAATGTAGTTCAGTTTAAAGTATTCATAGAGATTTAAAATGTTGACAGAAACTTATTTTTATTTTTTCTAGTCGTGGTAAATCTTTCAGAACATTTGAGCAATTTATAGACATATTATTAACTTTGCTAGTTTTTTACGATATTTGTATTCGTTAAGTACTCGATAGATAAATTATTAGACTAAACAAAAACGTTTGAAAATTCGATAGAAAGGTCATTATAAATTTTACTTAGTGGTGAAAAAAAAAATTTTGTTTAATATAGTATTTTTATATTTTTTTTAAGTTTTAAAATCAAATTTTGACGAAAATCGTAAATATTACAGATTTTCAAAACATGTGTAAAGTGCAACCGAACTTCGCCCCGAATCCTTTTTGCTATCAATAGTTTATTGTTGATTACAGGTATAAAGTAAATTACTTTATAAATCCTACCTTCCTCACTGCCCACCTAAATCAGTAATGCACTCGTCTCCAGTATCAGCTCTTTTTTTTTTTTTTTTTACCAATAATTACAACTAATAATGACCCTGCTGTTAACCTCTCAAGTAATTCTGTTTAGTACAACAATTTTATCCACACAATATTTTCTAAATAATAACAAACTCGCTTTTAAAACATTTTTAACAACGAAATCTTAAAGCACATGACATACATTTGTTCTTTTTAATTTTTGTGTTTTCCGGTTTACCCAATTATTATGAAACCTACTTGGAAAATCAAAAAACACCTTTCTTCGTAAGCATCTAAATTTAAATAAAATATAATAAAAAGGTGTCTTATCGTATTTTTATTGCAAGAATATTTCTGGTAGAAAACATTTTTTTCAAAAATTTAACACAATGAAATCGGGAACGCCGTCAATATTTATCGTTTTTCATATAATTTTCTTTCGAGTTTTTTCCCAATTATTTTTTAAACCCCTCAAAAATAACCTTCTTAATGCACCAACCAGATACCAATTACCTTTCAGAAAAGATACTACACTCTATTCATCGAATTGATATTTCTTCTCAAAAGGTTTTTTACAGACACAAAAAAAGAAAATAAAGTAGAGTAGACGATAACAGAAGGCGAAGTCAAAACCCAGGGAAGGGATCCAATAGGTCTCTGTGGGCGAAGAGAAAATGTGGTGAGGAGAGACGTGAAAACTCTAAATTAAGGGACAGGCTAGAAAATAAGAATTGGAGGGTGTGTGACGGAATCGGGGGTGGTTCTATAATGGCCTTATTTGAATTAGTAAACAGATTACTACGAAACATTATTTTTAAGTACGAACATTCGGGAGCTCGAGCGTAAAAAACTCTCATGGAAATTGAAACAATAGTTGACGGATTTCGATTATTTATTCTATATTCGATAAAGGAAAACCCGTTTTACAGAACTCATAGAACATTAGGACTTAGGTTTGAAACATTTAATTCTCAAGCTATAATAACAAAAGTCTGAGTAATTTCAAATTATGGTATATTTTAAAGTAATATCAACAATTGTATTGTACTTTATATAATTTATTTAAAATGTTCCCTGTCAAAAAAAAAAAAGACTGACATACTTCATACGATGGGTGAACCATTGTTGTAGGTGAGAAGTTGGGAAGATAGGATATAGTGAGGACTTATAATATAGCTTAAAAAGTATAAATTGTTTTGAAAAATTTTACCACGTCCAGAAAAGGCAACCATAAGTTTTATGTCAACATTTCAAGTCTTTGAACATTTATTACTGAAATATTAAAACACTAAATTTCGTAAATATTCCTGTTTTTCCTATTTTTTTTACCTAATTATTATAAAAACCGCTTGAAAAATCAAAAAATTACCTCCACAAAGTACCAATTAAATAACATTTTTTTTCAAAATAATTGTTACACTTGACACATTGGATTTATGTTAGAAAAGTTGTTCACAGAAAAAAAAATAAACATCATAACCAATGTATTTCTCGCTACGCTTCAAATCTAAAATCAGACTACTCTAATGTTATAGTATTAATTTACACGGTCACGCACTGCAGGGACACAACCAACCCATAAAATATGTAAATAAAATTGCTTATATTTTACTCCTCGTATAATAAATAGTTCCGACACCCTTAAGTACACCCTATATAATACATAATATATACGCACATAAAATTACAAAGACTCGAAAATGATTCACCGATACTATCAGGGGCGAAACTACCCTTGGGACAGAGCCTGGGGCGAATGAAAAATTGTTGTATTTTTCCCCCAGTTGGTCATTTGAGGAAATCGAATGAAATAAACGCTATTAAAATATATACATCATATTTAGTCGATTTAAGTCTGACCATTTGAAACATTTTTGTTTAAATTCGTTCTATAGAGTTTATTTTCGAGTTGACCGCAAACCATGTCGATTAATAATACTCTGGATAAATACAAATTTTAAATTTTGTAATAAAGATATAGTTATAAATACCACAGCAGAACAAAATAATATAATTTCAATAAACTATAATCAAAAATATTTATTTAAAAAAAAAAAAAAACCAAATTAACCGAGTGTGTGTGTGTGTGTGGGTGTGTATCTGTGGCGTAGGTATCAGTTTTGTTTTTGTACCCTACCGACATACTATATTTGCGATGCTTTTTAAACACGTTTCGAAAATATTACATACAATATACATAGACAATTTTCGATATCGATCCGATGCCAGAAACGTTGCGTGTAAGTGTACATACCCTGCAATAGTGCTACGGCGCAGTGAATTTAGCAGCATATGTATATATATATATATATAATTATATGATAAAAATGTATATGTTTGAGTCACATATTATTATTATCCATATAGAAAACGGATGTTCGGAATGTTCACGCCGCGTATTGACAATATGACTATCGCAGAGATAGTAAGTTCCCTCTTTTTGCTGGGCGGAGTCCCCGAGGGGCTGTTTTATTGTCGGTACTTAATATTATATATTATATATATATATATATATATACATATATATACATATATATATATATATATATTGCACAGTTCTTAATCATCTACCGATGAGGGGTCTTCGTAAATATACACGCGTATACGTATATAACGTATAGGCACTGCAATACCATGCGCACCATACAACACAGTTGCGGTCGTAACGCTGACTTTTGATTTTCGAAATAAACATAAAATATAGTATACACACACACACACACACACACACACACACACGATATATCGCGTAGTATATATATATATATATATATATAGTATGATAATATATTACAGAACATGGTGGGTACATATTATACGTGTACATATATCTATGTGTATACCGAACGGCGAAAACGCCCGATGTGTTTAAATATCAGAAACATTTATACATCCGAAACGATATAATATACGCTGAACAGACGCCAGACGGTTTGAGTACATACAGCGTGCAATATAAAACGTTTGTGTTTGAAATCGCAAATAATCACACAAATGCACGGTATTAAATTATAATATACTTTAGATACTCGTACATCCGGTAGGTACAATCGTACAGTGTACTCGCTCGTATATGATGCATTACGAATAAGTGTATTAATAATAGTTATTGACAAATAAAATAATAGTGAGACACCATTATTTAGTATGTCTGTAACATAGTAATTCAGTTGCACGCAAAATATGAACGCAATAATATTTAATAGGAATAATATACGAATATAATTTAACGATTTCGAATTTTAAACGTTACCCAAAATTCAAAACCGAACAAATCGGTAATTTTTTTCAGCTAATTATAATTAAGTCGCATTAATTACATAAAAAAAAAAAAGAAGCTTATTCTGGGGACGGGGACAGCCAATATTGTAAATTGAAAGTTGGGAAGGTAAGACACATAAAGTTATTTAATTTATAGCCGTAACCAACGATAAACCATTGCTAACGAAAAACGATTCGGAGCGAAATTAGGTTATACATGTATACTATACATATTTTGAAGCCGTAATATTTATGATTTTCGTCAAAATTTAATTTTAAAATTTTTTATAAAAAAATTAAAAATACTACATTACACTCAATTTGTATTTTTACCAGTAGGTACGACTTATAATGAACTTGCTGTCAAATTTGTAAACATTTCTGTTTAACAAACATCACAAAGTTAAAATGCCTATAAATGTCTCAAGTAATAAAACAATTAAAAATAAAATCAAAAAAACGACTTTCTTGGTCACCATCTAAATTAAAAATACAATAAAAAGGTCTCTAGTTGTTTTTCTATTGAAGCAATAATTTTAGTGAAAAATATAAGCTGTAAAAATTTAAAATAAATGAATCCTAGTGTAGTAAATTTATCATTTTTTATTTTTCGTCATTTTTTCGGGTTTTTTCAATTATTACAAAAACTACCTGGAAAATCAAAAAAACGAATACTAACTTACAAAATAGATTAAAAATGCAAAAAAAAATCTTTTATCGTTTTTATATTGGAGCAAAATTTATAATAGAAAACATTAGCTGTAAAAATTGTAAACAATGAAATCGTTACGCCGTAATTTACTACGTAGAAAAATTGTCCACAGAAAAATAATACAAAATAAACAACATTGTAAAACCAATATATTCTTCACCCCCACTAAGAATCTAAAATAATGTCTGAACTTAATAAAATAATTATATTTCGTATATACTATATGTAATATTAAAAATAAAAACAAATAATATATTCAGGTAAAACAGTAGATACAAAACACATTTTTGATGAAATTAGACTTTAGATTTATATGCGCCTCGTGGTATACAACGTGGAACGTAAAGTACAATAACTTTTAAGTATGATAGGTAGCGGCAGTTAGAAAAATGTTTTCAACGAGGTAAAGGCTTTGAATGAAGAGAGTGCTAAATAAGAAATAACGAAAAAATGTATAGTTTTGAAACACATACATACGTATATAAAGGCATACGGCGTAAAATAATATATAAGAAAGTTGCAAAAAAATTAGGTTAATGAGCCATACAATTAAAGTTTGCGAGAGAAAGTTGTGTAAAGTAGATTAAAAACTTTAAATGAATACAACTACATCTACTTTAAGAGCGTGACTTTTATACCTCGGTCTTTTACAGCTGTTGATTGAGGATAAAAGATTAATATTTTCTTTGATAAAACTTACCGAGTAGATTATAATACAAATATAATATTGCACTTTACATACGTGTAAATCAATTAAAAATTAACTTTTTGATAGATAAATTGTGTAGTAAAATAATAAATTAAAGTGACAGAATCTATTAAAATATTAAATTATTATTAAACAAACATATACAGGGTAATTCACTAAGCGTGCTCACCCCATTTTAGATTCCAAAAGTAACGAGGAAACTATTGGTTTTATAATATTGTTTAGTTTTTGTTCTTTGTTCTTATTCTAATCTGTGTACCCGTTATTTCCTACCAAAGTACTTTTATTTAAAAAATGGCATCGAAAATCAAAAAATGACGTTTTTAAAATACAATCTAGACAACTTGAATTTTAAGAAAATTTGCTAGACGTGAAAATCGGAGCAAGCTTACTAGGAAAAAACGTGTTCACAGACTAGAACAAGAACAAGAACAGTTGTTGGAAAAGAACGAAGTTGGAAAAGTGAGAATTTAATGTATATCTGTAAGCATTGATAAACCACTGTTACCGAAAATACGATTCTGAGCGGAATTGAGTTGATAGTGTTGCTTTGTCAACAATATATATGTCATATTACATTAAAATGACTACAACAATGTGCGTTTCCGTAACAACAATGATTGTTTAAAAAAAATTAAAACAATAAAAATTTAATAATAACAAATATATATAAAAACGGTTGCCAATGACAACCTTATTTTTAATCTTTCAATCTTGTTTAACGTAAAGAACCCAGGCTTTTTTATCTCGAATATTAATGAGAATTTCAAAATATGACCTCTCTAAAGTACCACCCAGAGAACATTTCCATTCAGAAAAGTTGCTATACTGGATAATCGGAGTAAGATTTTTGTTTGTAAAAGTGTTCACATAAAAATTAAAATTAAAAAAAATAAAAATAAACATCTTTGTTAAACTAATACTTTTTTCTCTAAACTCAGAGTCTAAAAAGTAATATTTAAGTAACTATGAAAATGTTGAACAATAAAATACAATTTTTAAGCTAGTAGAGGATTAAAAAAGCCAGAGGTCAACCAAAATTATAATTTTATGAACTGTGGATTGTATACTTACCAACCGTGTTTTTTTCTTCAAACTAAAGTCGAAAAAATTCGATCTTTTTTCTACCGTAATGAATAATTAAATAGTTATTTTAGTGTGCAAAACTATAGGATACGTTTTATATGAAAACAATGACGAAAAACCTATACAAAATATTATTATTTCGATACTCAAGAGAAATATGTGAAAACAAAATTATCTACATATCTACCTAATTGTTTTTCACTAATTAAAGGTTATATAAGAATTGTCTATAACATTCGTGAACTAATTTAAAGATGCGTTCATTGTTGTTAACGTCAGTTCAGTAAGTTCAATATTGCAATTTGTAATCATAGATATTATCTAAGGTTTTGTGGAAGCCCGCGTATGCACGGTAACACCAACTTCCAAAATTGTAATAATAACAAAACCATTGTTTATAACGAGTGTGACCGCAGTTAAAATAAATAACAAAATATAATAATCTTATAAATCTAATAAATTCTAATTTCGCGATAATTTAGTAGCATAGTATGATTATTATTAGACAGTGGTGTTAAATTAAATTATTTACTTACAAAAATAGCGTATTTTATGAAAAAAGTCCATATTTACTATTTATTTTTACGGTTAAAACTTGAAAAACATAAACAAATATGTAAGTATACATATATATATTTGTAAATACGGTCAATGGGGGGCTTCAGGCTTTTAGCCTTCCTCTACGTACGCTACTGTGTTGAGTATAATAACTCTATATTGTCTTTCTTAAAGAATATTTGTCGTGATCTAATGGTTATACATGCTTATTATCATCCTAGGGATCCGGAGTATGAACAGAATTTTGTATGCATTATTTACCTTTTTACCTAAACAAGAAAAAAACAAATGCATTTTGGATGTACATAGAGGCCCAAGCCATCACTCGCTCGAACTATTTTAATCGCAAAATATCTCTCGATTTGTTGTGTAAACTTTTTTTACTAGAAATCTTGCTCCAATCTATCAAATGTAGTTTATTTTCTGAAATTAAATTTTATCTATGTGGTAATTTAGGGAAGTCATTTTTTGATTTTTCGAAGAGTATTCTCAACAAATGTGAAAAACCGGGAAAAACGAAGGAAAACGGTAAAATCGGTTTAATATTAAACAAATATTATTAATGAAAATATATAATGCCTATTTAATTATTTTACTATAATTTGATATGTATATTGTTGATAAAGTATCACTATCAACTTAACTGTGCTCAGATTCGTATTTTCGTCAGCTATAGTATATTATTACTTACAGATATACATTAAATTACCTATAACAGTGGCTACACCCGTCTCCAATATCCAAGGACGTCAATTTTTTCTGTTCTGCTAGAGACTGTGGAAAGTGATATATTTATGTACCAAATTCACCATATCAAAATTAATATTTTTAATAATATCTGTATCATCTGTGCCCTCCTCCCATCGCCCCTCTCTGTTTTCTTGACCCGGATCCACCTCTGACAATCAATTTATTTTAAACATTACTCAATTTCATATTTCATATTATAGAACACATATGACACTTGATCCATAAATGACATTTAAGACAATTAATACTTCTAGTGTTACTTTTGTTGTAACATAGGTACGTTGTTCATTTTTAATATTTTATTGAATTTTGACTTTCGATAAAACTGTTGACTACGGACATATTTGTTAATATTTTAGAGATATTATAAATAGGAGAAATTGTAAATAGGAGAATATATTTGAATTCATCACATGCTTAAACTAAATACTGAGATTTTATAGCTATTTATTCCAGTGAAAAATCATTTACGACAATACTACACGGTAGTCCAACCTTAAGAGAGATTGAGAGAATAATAATTGTTTTAGTTACACTGAGAAATTCTCACGGTATTTTTTCCGAATTCAAAACAAAAAAAGCAAAAACCCTCAACGTCGATCAAATGAATAACAGAATAAATAAATATCTACACATTGCAAATTTAATTGCTGAAACATAAACACGAATAAAAGTAATCGAAAGTTAAAAGCAAGTGTATTATTTTATTAAGTAAATGAATAAAGAAGTTAGTAAATTTTAAAAAAAAGTAAAAATAATATTATAATTAATAATAAAAATGAACTATTTGAAATTATTTCATTAATTAGTTAGTTGCAGGTAGCTGGGTAAGTAATAAACTTTCTGAATGTTTATTGTGAATATATTTGTATACCTAACTACTTCTACATCTAACTCGCGGATCATGATAATTAAAATATTATACAAAATCCTATAACTAGTATTACGGTAATATTCTAAAGTCTGATGTAAAAAATAAAAATTAATTTAGCGAGAATATTTTTAATTAATTTATTTTTATTGCGAAACTCCAAATTTATAAAATATGTACAATGCATAATATATTTGAATGCAATATATACTCACCACCAATGAAAACGAGAAAAAATACCGCACATGTTATGAAATCCTTAGTTTTTGATCTTGCGGCAGAAGTGTAGGAATGGATAGGCGGGTTGCAAGGGTTTGACTTCATTTTGTTGGATGGATTTGATTAACTCGAACACCAGCTCAACAACAGTACTGCAAACAAGTCTTGTCACCTTCTAATAAAGCAAATATAAAAATACATAATGTATTATAATTAGTTTTATCGTAGTTTTTGTTTTCTTTGTTTGCAGAAAACAAAAAAATTGAGTTCAAAAATCGAAGAGCGCGCGTTTATTTTCATAAATATCACAACGGATTTAGGCCGAGCAATAATAATTTAATAGAATTGTATTGTTGTCTTACCACGTATAGAACCGATGCACGGCAATACGTGTGATTAAAAATTTTACAATAATAATAAATGTATTTATAATATAATTTATAACTTATATATAGTTTAGTTTGGATCCCAATCGTCTATAGGGACTTCGAATTGGTTCGAGTTCTAATATGAAAGCCCGCTGCAGAAATCTATAAATCGAATACACGTATAGATTGGGGGAGAGGAGCCAAAGCTTATTTTGAAGACACAGGTGAGGCGAATAAGGCACAGTCTAATGCATTACATCACGTGAGTACGTGACCACGCCTATAATATGATATATTATTATGACTTTAAGTTAAATATAATTTGACAATCATATATCATATTACGCGTACGTTTCAATAATACAAACTCAGAATCTGAAACAGAAATCAAAATGTAAGTTAGTTGAGTATATTGTAAAAAAAAACTTTTTCCAAGAAAATATTATTTTTTTTTTAAATCATAAAAATACAAATTCCTTTTAAGTACCTTTAAGCTACAATTTTTCTCATAATTTTGACCTTTTGAAACAATTTTAATTTAATCGTATGTATTTATAAAGTGTTATTACGAGTATTTACCTAAATATATGGTAAAAAAAACTGTCTAAGGATAATGGGGACGGGTGCAACCACTTCTATAGGTGGGAAGTCGGAAAGATAGAATACAGAAGGGAATTTAATGTATATCTGTCAGTAACAATAAACCATTGCTTAAAAAAAAATGATTCTGAGTGGAGTTCAATTAATAGTGATACTTCGTGAACAATATATTATATCATATTATGATAAAATAATTAATTAGGCATTAAATATTTTCTTTAATAATATTTGTTTAATATTAATACCTAACCGATATTCTCATTTTTCCTGGTTTTCCATATTTCTCTAGGTTTTCATATTTGCAGGGGAAACTCTTAAGAAAATCAAAAAACCATCCTAAAGTACCACCCCGAGACAATTACCTTATAAATCGGAGTCAGACTTTTGGTAGAAAGTGTTCGTATAAAAAAAATAAATAAATAAACATCTTTGCAAAACCAATACATTCTTCACTTCACTCAAAATATACATTATTATAGATTAACAATATTGTTTTTAATAAAACCCAAACTGCACACCTTTTTTTTATTATTATATGTATAAACTCTCAATAATACTTGGCCATTTATGAAAACCGAAATATGATACAATTATATTAAATAATAATTTGTTTTGTACTTATTATTCACTTTATTACATGATTGAATTCTCCGTTGACTCCGTGTATTATTATATTTTAAAAAAGATCGAAAAAACACGTCAATTTAATTCATAATGTTTCACATTAGTATCATATTTTATAATTATAACTAAAGACCGGATTTATATTCTCTTAAAATCTACAAAGAGGTGCTTTGAAACGTCGATAAATTCCTAAAAAACGCACTTATAAATATTTAAAAAAGCAAAAATGACAGAGACGTTCAAAAGTTCACCACTAATGGCTTTAACTTATTAAATTCAATTTCCTAACACTACAGAAATGATTCACACAAAATAATTTCTTTTAAATAAAATCGTACGTATTATTGAAAAATAATTAATTTTTATTAATAATTTTGGTGGTGTCAGAAAATGTTATTTTATAAGTTAAATCTGTTTAATGGGATACTTTTAAACCAATATACTTTTGTATGCTTTTTAAATATTTTTTAAGTATTTTTTCCAATGTATATTTGATGTTTTAAAATGCTTTTTGTGGATTTTAAGAGCATATAAATCCAGTCATTACTTATAATAACTATATGTATACAAAAATATAGTTATAAGAATAATTTTTAAAATCATTTAGAACTTTAAACGGTTTTATTGTTTTGGACATTTTATCGGCACGCGCGTGTTGAAATGAGAAACTTATTAATTGTATTCTTTTAATACAATACTCAGTATTAAACTAATAATATTATTATATTCGTAAAATATAACCACAAACCGTCTATAATGTTTGATGTTTTGAGATTTAATATAATTCTTGTTATTATAACAGCCCTTATATAGGTATTTGTTGTAGAGGCAAAATGCTATAAAAATGGACATTTCGATAATTATTAAATTTTTAATTTTCGTAAACACTTATAAAAATTGTGCGTGTTTATACCTGAACTTGAATTTTAATTTCATTTATAAAGGTTTTATACAGTTATTATTATTATATATGTGTAGTTTATTATTTTTATTTTTAGAGCGGAGCAAAGGATTTATTGATTTTACTATGACGTGTGTATATTCTTTTAGATTCTGAGTGTAGCGAAGAATGTATTATATTTTATGTGAACACTTTCTACCAGAAAGTTCACATCAATTTATATAATGTAGATTCTTTTCTGAAAGGAAATTTTCTTGGGATGGTACTTTAAGTTGGTAATTTCCCAGTTTTCCCAATAGTTTTCCCAAAAGATGTGAAAAACCGGGAAAAATAGGGGAAAATCGGTACAATATTTAACAAATATTATTAAAGAAAATATATAATGCCTTTTTGTAGAAACGATAAAATTTTTAATACATTTGAGCCATTTTAAAACGTTTTATAACATTTTATACTTTTGTTGATATTCAGTAACAAATATTCATATTATTATTAGCATATGACATATCGGCTTATATAAATATTCATATCAACTTTGTAGACTTGAAATTTGGACCAGAAAACTTATATTTAACTTTTCTAGACGTGGTAAAATTTTCAAAAAATATAACATGTCAGCTATTTTTGAGGTATTTATAGACCTTTTAAATTTGTGAGTTTTGAATGTAAATTTTATTCGGTATGTACTGTATGGTAAAATTCCTTACTGTGTCCTACCTTCCCATCTTCTCACTTACAACAGTGGCTGCACCCGTCCACATTATCCTAGGACAGTTTTTTTCTCTCTGTCTGTAAAAAAAACTTTTCTCCGAAAATTAAAACAATTTTAAAACTAAAAATTTGTATTAGTAGTCTTTCCTATATTTAAACACTAACACCTATTATTTTATCTGTTTACCCAAAAATATATTTCAAGTTATACATCTTTTAGTAAATAACATTTCGAATAGTAAACTATCCCAGCTTACCTTCTATGTCCTTGCTCGTACCACACGTAGCTCTGGACCTTTCCAAATCTCTAGGTCTCACTCTAACTATGTTATCAATCAACGACTCCGCCGATGTATGCAATTAGCTAAATTAAACTTCACATACTCTTTTTTTATAAACCATGTACATTTTATTTTTATTAATTTATATTGTTTAACGTTTGTTAAGTTGTTTTAATTTTAGCTACTTCTTATACGTGCATCACTTATTGTAATGTTACTACGTTATACTCTGTTAAGGTTGACTATCTAAAAGCTGTATGGCATTTATATAATAATAATTTATATAAATAAAATATCCCCAAATAAATTTAAAAAAATACTTGTACAAATTTGTATTATAAAGGTACTTATATGATATAATATCAATATAAAATAATTTTTTGTCATAATATAGTAACAAATCATTATTATAATAAACATAATAGTTATACAAATTTAGTTTAAGTGGAAACCTGTTTGATATCATTATTTCCAGTCCTGGGATGTTCACAAAATACTTATATTAGTCTTTCTAGACGTGGTAAATTTTTTCGTCGATTTTTTAACAATTTATCGGTATTTGATATTTTCAAATTTATTTAGTTTTTATTTTGTTTTATGTAGATAAAATCATTTTGACATGGTAGAAATGCTTGACAATTATTCACGAGGTCCATCTTAAATTGTACTAAGTGGAAAAAGAAAGTTATGCGTAATTTTATAAGTGTGCAAATTTTTACGAAAATCATATAAATCGCAGAATTTTGAATCATGAACTTCACTCATAATATTTTTTCGTTAGCAATTATTTATTACTCAGAACAAATATGATATAGATGGGAAGTTGAGAAGGTAGAATACATAAAATTATTGTATATATATAAATATATATTCTCAACTTCCCATCTATAATAGTGGCACACCCGTCAACAGTATCGGCTATTTTTCAAAACAAATTTATAATATTACTGATATAATACCAATAATATAATAATATACGCCTAATGTGTATAGATGGAAAACTATTCTCTAAGAGTTGATAATATTGCTTTCTATATTATATTATACTATAGGGTATGTTATTTATTACACGGCCATTTTATATTTTACGATGTATTATTTATTATTACAAATATATACAATAAATTCGTTTTTCGTATTATCATTATTGTTACATAATATAAAAGCTATTCAAGAGCGTCTTTACGCGCAATGTACAGTAGTTTTTTTATTACCATCCAGAGTAGTCTTAATTGAACCATTATAACGCTGGCTAGTGTATTATAGAAATAATATTTATACTTTCAAGTATATAATATATACTATAGTATTACTATACTGTTTTTCACTACATCTCCTATAAGCCACTGTTGTTGCCTAGAACTAGAAGGAAAAATGGGTACTAGAATGTCCACTGACGACTGCCTAGGCTGCAAACTGAAAATATTTTGTATTTTTCTTATACAGCGCACGACGATATCCCTACAGAATTTTCAAATCACACAGCATTGTTATATTCTCGAGCAACTTTAAATGGCAACCGCAGATCGTTGAAAATATACAGAGTGATCAATCTATCGCAAGATACTTGTTATCTGGGAAAGTATTAACTTTTTCCCAAATTCATTTTCTAGAGTTTTTAAGAACAAAGCTGTTCTACAATTTTATATCTATGCTATTTTTTGTAACCTTTATTTTTGGGGTAAAACCACTACTTACTTTTGATTTTCAAATGGTAACCTATATTAAAAATTCCATAAATAAATGAAGTATTAGTTACAATAAATGTTGGTATTGACATTTTTGATTTACGGCAATCCGTCGACAAAATATTCTACTTTTAAATTTGGGTTGGAGGAGAGCGATGGTGCAATTTTAACACGCCACTCGCCATACTGCCACACTAATGATACTTCATCACTCTCCTACAACCCAAACTTAAAAGTGGAAAATCTTGTCAATATATTGACGGAAATCGAAAATTTTAACACTAACATTTATTTTAAATAATAATCCATCTATTTATAGAATTTATAATATAGGTTGCCATTTGAAAATCAAAAGTAGGTAGTGGTTTTATTCCTAAAAATAAGGGTGGCAAAAATAACATACATTTAAAATTGTAAAGCAGCTTATTTCTTAAATGTTTTACATAATAAATTCTGGAAAAAGTTAACGAGATAATGAGTGTCTTATGATAGATAAATTGATCACTCCGTATATTACGATTTCAAATATAAAACTAAAAATTCATAAATAAGCTTATGTAATCATAATCCATAAAATAAATGACGGGATTATAACTTTGTAAAAATGAAGTTCATATAATATATTTTACGACAATTGTATATACTTAGCACACACTTTTGTATCAAAATTAATATTTAACACCTATATAATATTCCAATTATCATGGTTTAAAATTGTATAAAATACATTTAAGAGCATAATCGTGTACTTTCAAATGTTCCTCAATCTCTCTCCGAAATTATTTTATTATAAAACACTTACACATTTAATTATTTGTAAAGCATTAAATTATTTTGAAAAGTAGATTTGTTTCATCATTATATTTATTTATAAAAAGGTTTAAGTATTTTTTTAAATTTTTAATGGGTGTTATTTAAATGGTTAATATCTTAATGTTAACAAAAGTAAGGATAGATATGAACTTTTAATTTTTAAAAATCTCGTATTAAATTTAACTACAAACTTAATAATACCTATGTACTACAAAGAGCCAGTAAAATAATTTATTGACTTGGAAATTACTTTTGATTGTAAATTATATTTAAAAAGTCAAATTAGAAGAACAACAAATAAAACACGTGTTTAATCACACGCACGTGATCCAATTTTAATAATTTTAATGCTTTGAAAAATGTGTATGTTGCACTTGTTATATCTCAATTATTATATAGTATGCTTCCATTAGTTTTTAAGCATCTTTCCTGAAAGAAAATTAAACTGTAGAGTAATTAAAAAATGTCATTTTTTTGACTTTCCAAAGATATTTCATAATAATTGGAAAAATCCGGAAAAAAAATTATTGGAAAGTCTTCTACCAGAAATATTGTTTTAATCAAAAAATGCCAAGTAACTCTATTTTTTGCAATTTAGATGTAGTTGCACACGAAGTAGGTAAGTCATTTTTTGGTTTTCTTAATAGTTTTTAGAATAATTAGGAAAAACCGGAAAATAAAGTACAATGAAAACATAAATTTACGATGTTACGATTTCATTATTTTAAATTTTTGCGCTTAAAGTATTCTAACAGAAATTGCCCCTATAAAAAAATACAAAGAGATCTTTTTTGTTGCATTATTTATTATTTTACTGAGTAAGAAGGTCATTTTTTGATTTTCTATGTAGTATTTTGAATAATTGAGCAAAACCTAATAAAAACGTAAAAATAATGGGGAAAATTACAAAAATAATGAAGTTATTATTTCCATATTGTCTCTTCTTGAAGTGGTAAAATTATAAATTATTTGAAACATTTTAAGCTTTTTACATACATTTTAGTTTTGTCAGTTTTTTACGTAATTTTCCATGTAACCGAACTTCGCTCCAATCATTTTTAAAAAAGTTTTTCCTTTGGTTTATTGTTGCTTACAGATATAAATTAAATAACTTTATGTATCTCACATTTCTAACGTCCCCCAAACAACAGTGACACACCTGTCCTCAGTATCAACTCTTTTTGTTTTGTTTGTATGTTATTCTATCTGGATAGAATGTTTTGACCGAGCAGGAATGCTTCACAAATTTAAAAGTGTAAAACGTAGTATAGTATCATAATTTTAATACTAAGTGGGAAAGTAAAAAAATTAAGCTAATTTTTTTTTATAAGTTTAGTTTTTAATTTTTCAAAAATTTCTCGAATGTTCTGAAAGTTTTACCACGTCTAATGAAAGTAAATATAAGTTTTCTGTAAACATTTTATGTCTACGAATATTTTAAACTGAATCACATATAAAAAACAAAATTTAGAATAATAAAAAAATTATTTTCGTACATTTCCAGTTCTTTCTAAATATTTGTCGGTTTTGCTCAATTATTAAAAAAACTACGAAGAAAATTTAAAAAAAACTTTTATGGTCACCAACTAAATTAAAAATTCAACAAAAAATTTCTTGATGATTTTTTATTGGATCAATATTTATGGTAGAAAACACAAACCGTAAAAATTTAAAATAATATTATCATATCACCGTAAATTTGTCAGTTTTCATTTTACGTTTCTTCCGGGTTTTCCTAGTTATTATTAAAACTACAGAGAAAATCAAAAAAACGAACAACTTACTGCTAAACTAAATTAAAAGTGAAAAAAAAGATCTGTCTCTTGTAGTTTATCTGTCGGAGCAATATTTATAGTACAATTTAGTTATTAATATGTTGTACAAATTTAAAATAATGAAATCGTTATGCCGTATTTGAAAAAAAATTGAACATTTCGTCTTTTTTGGTTTTTCTCAATTAAAAAAAAATACTTCAGATATCAAAAAACGACTTCCTCTGTCAGTACCAAAATATAAATGGGAATAAAATCGATGTCATGTCATTTTTTGGATTGAAGTAATATTTCTAGTATAAAACTATAACAATGAAAAGTATAACACAATGAAAACAATGAAAACGGTAACACCGCGGTGCGCCGTAAATATTTTCCGTTTTATCTATAATTTTCTTTCGTGTTTTCTCAATTATTTTGAAAACCCCTTGGAAAATCAAAAAATAACCTCCTCAATACACAGAAATTACCTTTCAAAAAAGGTGCAATAGTCTATATTTTAGAGCAAGTTTTCAGGTAAAAAAGTTGTTCACAGAAAGAAAAATACAAAATACAAAAACACACATCATAGTAATAAAGATTTCTCGCTAAGCTTCGGATCTAAAATAGGGCAAGCACGATTAATAAATTATCCTGTACAAAAATGTTTAAGTGCTTAGAGGTATTGGAATTCTCGGAATTCCTATTCTCGGGAATGGATTTATATACAGTGCATTCACGCTAAGATGTACCACTAAATGTTTCAGTTGGATGACTTAGTATTGAAATGGAATTTTCGTGAAATAATAGGGAATACCCAAATACACATTTATAGACAAATTTCAAATTTTAACCCTTTTGGTGCGTGCATGCACAATATAAATTACTTTTTTTAAACGAGCAATATCATTGTTTTTCTACAAATTCGGACAGAGTATTTTTTTAAAAATATTTTTTGTATAAAACGTTTTTTTCTAATTACAAAATTGACAAAGTTATAGTATGTTTAAATTTAATATTTACGAATAACCTGTTATTGACGAAATTTTAACTATGTTCAATTTATACTCGAAAATTGAAATGATATCTCCGATGTTTTGAAAAACCTGTTAATAGATAGATATATGACATAAATTAACACTTTTGTGTTTTCGTAATTTACTTTTATTTTTTAAATTTATTCTTCCGAAATAAATTGAAAATAATGAAAATTATAAAAATTGACACACTAAGAATTTGAAAATAAGATTTATTTGAAACTATAGTTTTATCAAATAAATTCAAAGTTCAAAGTTTCCGCCTTGGTGTTCCAAACATGATTCCAAATGGTTTAAAAATTCTCTTAACGTAGCAGCGTTTATTTGGTCTCTCAAATTATTACATGCTACTCATAATTTGTTATTTAAATCTTCGACATTATTAAGAGGACCCACATATACAATATTTTTTAAATGCCCCCATAAAAATAATTGAAGTGTTTATTTGTGTCTTGTCTGTCTACAAACAGGTATTTCACAATATCGGAAATACTATCATTTCGATTTTCGAGTATAAGTTAAACATAGTAAAAATTTCGTCAATAACAGATTATTCGTAAATATTAAATTTCAACATACTATACTATAACTTTGCCAATTTTGTAATTAGAAAAAACTTTTTACAGAAAAATTGTTTTTAAAAAAAATACACTATCCGAATCTTTAGGAACAATGTTTGTTTCCATTTTAAAAAAAAGTAAGTTTTACGGTGCAAATACGTACCAAAAGGGGTAAAACTTTGAAATTTATTTGAAAATGTGTATTTGGATAATCCCTATCATTTCCCGAGAATTACAATTCAATACTAGGTCATCCAACTGAAATATTTAGTGGTACCTCTTAGCTTGAATGCAAAGTATACAATTTTTTTTTTTAATTGAATTAATAATTCCAGCTGTAAAATTTATTACGTTTTTGTCGTCCTCGGTTAAGTATCGTAAAGAAAAACAACGATGCATTAGACAAAGAATAATTATTTTTATAAAAATATAGTTATATATTAATATTTAGTAGTAGTAGTAGTAGTTATATACTATAGTTATATACTTATATAACTATAGTTATAGTTATATAAGATAGTAGTTTTCCAATTTTCGACGTCATAAATTAATAAAAGAGTGTAATTGCTGCAGACAAAAATCATTTGTGTTACTTAATTAAGCCTTAAACTGACGTTTTTTCGGTTAATAGGTTAATACCACAAAATTCGTTCTTGTTATTATTAGTACGTAAATATTATAACAATATTCTGATGCAGTTAGTCTATGTAATAGAATCTTAAATTTATACATTTCAGATTTTGAGCGTATAGTGAGGGATATATTGATTTTACTCTAATGTGTACTTTTTTTTAATTTTTATTTTTTGTCTGCCTGTAAATAACTTTTCAAAAAGAAATCTTGCTTCAATAAATAACGGTTTATTGTTGGTTAGAGATATAAATTAAATAATTGTATGTATTCCACGTTTCCAACTACTCACCAACAACACTGACTGCACCTGTCCCCAGCATCAGTACTTTTTTTTTATTTAAACGACCTCGTCACCCATGAATTAATATTCCAGAGTACTTTTACAAATAAATAAACCTCTATTTTTTTAATCACCATTAATAATCATTAATCCCCCGTCAATAATTATACATACACGGTAAATTCGAGAAAAAAAATAAGTAAAAACGTCCGAGTAGAAAATATAACGTCCAGTATAGTACAATAAGAGAGTAAAAATAGATTATACGATTTATTTAAATGAATATATGAACGCCGATGTCAACCTTCCGGCTGGATTTAATTTTTTCCATGACGGTCACTCGTGTGATATATGCGCATTGTTCAATTATCGCCCACCTAATATAATAATTTTTGATATATGTGTATAGGGCAAACAATGCGTTACCTATATAAGGTCTGTTTATGAAGCAACGATTATAATAGCATTTATCTCAACATCGTTGAATCATTATATAAACCTTTTTTTTTTTGTTTTGATTTGTTTTTTACCTACTTATTACATGAGCTGTGCTACAACAGTCCTCGATACATTTACAAGATAAAAAAAAAAAGAGTAGCCCTTTTCCTGCGTGGTTCCTGGCGCTGCAAAAAGGCTGAAAACCCGACCCAGTCTATACATGGAGTGATATTTTATATTTTAATCTGACCTTTTCGTCGCGTGTAAGTATATACTTTAATACCTATAATATAAATTAGTTAAGCGCACATGTCGGAAAAAATACAAAAATATAATATCTATGGTTACTCGTTTAATTCATAACTTGCAAAAAAAAAATAACAAAAAAAAAACGAAAAAAATACGCACGCATTTAGAATAAAACAATTTTTCTAAATCTAATCACGTTACATTTAACCTTTGTTCCAGAAACTCTCCTGTTCTAATTTAAAATGGATAGGTTGGGATAGTTCACAATGGTCATATCAAGTATTTAACTGAGCTTACCGAACATGAAGTAAAGTTTCTTAGTCTATTATTGGATGCAAAGGACTCACCTGGGATTCTTATCTTAGACGTCCCAAACTCCCAAACAACTAAGTATACATTTACACTTACTGTACAATTTTTCTCAAATTTAACTTGAATGTATCAACTCGAGTTATATTTTATCAAACCTAACCTGACCTAATCTTCTTCGACCAATTTGAATTTACGGTATTGGCCTCTGGGGTACTCCCAAGAAGTCTCGATTATAAACACGAATTAATACATACGTGAACACGAGTCTGTAAGAACATGTATACTCACGTAGAGTAAATTTATATTCACGTATATTTAATACACGTAAATACATAAATATATAATAATCGTAGATAATTACACGTGTACATAGATTTTTTAAGTACACGGTTTTATATATGCAAATTTTAATTTCACGTGAATACGTGAAAGTGGGAACTTGTAAAATAGCTCTAATAGTTTACTAAATGTGTCAACCATATAATTGCAAATTATTAATCTTCTCAAAGTTGCAAAAGCCTCTTAGTATGTTACCAACAATCTACTTATACGATAACCTCGGAATAAAAACCGTCCAAGATATTCCTTTCATACACTATCGGAGACTACATACTAAAATGAAATACTACCCCAATAGCCTAACACCGAATCCTTTACTGGTAAACCTTGTTAACAATTGAACCCCTTATAATCTAGATAAATCTTAGATATATATGTAAATTTTACTGTTTCAACGATAAATAATTTACCTTTTTCGTTGAAATTACTCTACTGTAGGACATCTTTTTTCACGTATTTTAATCAGCAAGTCTCAAATAATAATGCAATCTACCATGTAACAACTATTACATTTATTAAATTTAAATTTATATTTTGATTCGTAGGTAACTAGATCGATTTAAGTCTATTTAAATATATTTTGTAGGTCATATGTATTATCTCTTATGTTCTATATTCTGGTATAGGCATTGAGGTACTTATCGAATGTATTTATAATTGATTACATAAATTATAAAACTCGGTCAGAATATAATGAGTCGAGATTTGGTATAGTACTCGCATCATATATAACATACAATAACAATGGTTCTAGAACGGAAACAATAGGGTTGATCCTGCACATAAACGCCAGGGTCGAAAGAAAGAAAACGGGAACGTACGTAGGTACTTTGCCTCAGGTTCTGATTTTTAGAGGTTCATAAAACAAGGGTTTTATTCTATATATTTTAGCCATTTTAGGGTGTACGAAAATAGAGATTTTTTTACTACCACGATATTACTTTTTTTTCTGTTTTCTTATATACAACTATATTCATACACTGCAGTCGATGCCATTAGATTTTGTAATAGTCTCTTAAAACGAAAGTACCGGAGATATACAATTTATACATTATTATTATGAGATACTTAATACATACTTAAAAACTATATGTTTTTACGAGTCTTTCGAATTTAATACTACGTTATAAAAATAATAAATAATAGGAATAATTACATTTAATGTGGGTAGGTATATAATGTATACCATTTGAATGATTTTTGTTATTTAACCTTATAGATGTTTTTCAGAAAAAATAAAAATACAAATTTATTGGACAAGTCATAATTTCTGCAAATAACAGTAGATATTATTGTATTCATATTTCATACGAATCGAATCGAAATCACTGGACTAAGTATAGTAGGTACGATTCCTGAGCGTGTATACCAGAATTTATTTTATAAACTCATAATTACGATTTTCATTTCTTTTATAAATTATTATTTTCGTATTTACAATTTATGGTACAAATAGTAATTTAATATTAACTCAGTATATAAGTGAAGAGTTACAAACTAATAGGAAAATTACGATGTAATTTGTTTTTAGCCTTTAGCCATTTTCCTTTGAGTCTTTTAGTTATTTTAGAAATAATAATATGGTCGTTTAAGGCTCTTTTTGAATCAAATTTATTTGTCAGATAAAACCATCTATAAGAGAAAATTAATCATTTTCGGTTTTTCAATTTTAGGATTTGAGCGATAGTGTTATAGTTAGTATAGAGGCGGTTGAGTGGAAACCTACAGAGAAGAGAACAAAATGAAGTCCAATGAAGACATGGATAGATGGAATAAAGCTGGACTTAGAGAAACTATGGATACCGGATTGGAAAGAAAAATTACAAAATAGAGAAGAGTGGATGGAGGTGTCAGTGGTGGCAAAAACTCTTGAAGAGTTGTGATGCCAATGAAGAAGAAGAAGTTTTTTCGACAAATTGGAAAACCCGAGAAAAAATCTGGAAAAACGTAGGTAAAACGGAAAAAAGGATAAAATATTAAACAATTATTATTATTAAAGAAAATATATAATGCTTATTTAATTATTTTACCATAATATGGCACATATATATATTGTTGACAAAGCATCACTATCAACTGAACTCCGCTCAGAATCGTTTTTTCGTTAGCAACGGTTAATCTTTGCTTATAGATATACATTAAATTTACTTCTGTATCCTACCTTCCCAACTTCCCACCTACAAGGCTACAACAGTGACAACATCCACGTGTGAAATATGTCCGTCTTTTTATTTACGAGTTATTTACGACTATAGCATATAATTTATAAAATATTATTTTAACACAAATACGATATAAACTTATTACGATCATATTATACTTTATATTCCTATTATTACATCGTCCTTTGAATACACAATATCAACTTCCGTTTTTAACTCCCTCGAATAAAGTTGAACGTTGCGCCGTAATATAGTCTATTATCATTATATCCGTGTACAAAACATTATTATTATATTGCAGTGTACATTCATCAATTAATTAGCTAATACCGTTGTTAATAAATCATGTAATTCATAATAATTCTGATCTTTGTTACCTATATTACGTTTTCATTAACATAATATTAATGAATATTTTACCATGTGCGTGGTATACATGAGTACAGGTAGAGGTAACCATCAATGTAATAATAATATAATGACCGGTAGCGCAACGGGGTTTATTTTCGAAAGTAGGGGGAGGATGCTATGAATTTCAAAGATTTAATTTGACACATTTGATTTGTTTAAATGAAGTTAGGGATAAACAATAATTTATTAAACTAAATAATGAAATACTTTTATTATTATTACTTGCCTAGTTAAATACTAATACAAAATTATGAATGGCCAGACATACTTTCATCACACCACAGCTATAGCACATTGGGCCAGGTATACATAAAAATAGAAAAATGAAAAAAAAATACTAAATCATATGAGTTTTTTAAGAAATTAAGATTACAATTTATTGTGTGGATAATGTTTGTTGTGGTAATTGACGTTTTTTCCCATCATTAAAATCTAAATTTTATCAAAACACGATTGTGTATGTATAAATATCGATTCATTTTGCGTTTTCTAACTTTTCTACTTCTGCATGTATATAGAGTTATCGTATAATTGAATTTCTTAGGTTTCTTTTTTGAACTTTTCATAATGTGTATTATTATATTGAACACATTAAAAATTAGCACGGGCAACACTGAGCACGGGATAGCTAGTATAATTAATAAACTATACAGACGAGTTTTTTATTATTCAAATTATTTTAATTTTTCGATTTATTGTTTATAAATATAAACTGAGTGATTCATTAAGCATGCTCATCCTATTTTTACTGTTAAATTTTGCATAAACATTAAAATTCTAATTTTTGGAATTCTTTAGTGAAGTTATGACAGGTATTTTCAAATTTTAGATTTTTTAAAACTTTTAACAAGTATCCTGTGGCGAGACTAACTTTGTCTTTTCAAATGAAAACCGCCATGTTTTATGCAAATTGTAAATTAGATGATTTTTTTTGGACATTTTGACGTATTCTAATCAAAATCTGAACGGACATTGTCTGAGTAATACTACTTTAAAATACTCAGGAGAATAGTTTAAAAAGCACGATTTGTGTGGTGGCATAGCAAGTAACATTTTCATAGTGCTCCACTACACTCCCCCTACCTAAAATTAAAAGTGAAATATCTCGTATATGAATTGACGGAAATCAAAAATGTCAACATCAGAATTTATTTAAACTAATGCATCAATTTATGAAATTTTTAATGTAGGTTCTCATTTGAAAAAAACAAAATTGATGTCGTCACACTCTGTCGATACTCCTTAAATGTTGTGAAATTTTAAGTCTTCAAAAATATCAGCTTACACTTATACAAATTCAAAAATCAGAACTTTAATTTATGCAATATTTAACCAAACAAATAAAGTGAGCACGCTTAATGAATCGCCCTGTATTTAATTAAATGATAATTTTATAAATAAAAATATATAGATACGTACGAAAATAATACTTTTATAATGTATTAAATTTGAAAGCCAAGGTAATTATACATTTTAAATAAAATAAATGTGGAGTTCAATAGCCAAATCTCGAGAGCTAATTCAATAGAATTTAAGGGTAGGAATATTGTCAGTTCAGGTTTACAAGGAGTCAATTCGCACTGAGATAATATCGATCACTTTTTGAATTATTAGTTGAATATTTTATTTGAAAACTAAATACTGTTTAATAAATATTAATCAATAATATTCAATTTGATACGGGTACTACACCTACCTATCAATTTAATTTACTATATTTCATATAATAAACCCCTATATGTAGTATTAATAATTTAACATTCACAAAATAAACAGGATGAAAAACTTCGTTCAAAGTGCATTTATTTACTATCATATTTGTAAATATTAAATACGAGACGAAAAAACAACAAAAACGGAATTATTTATTTATCTTTTTTTAACTACTCACCCAATATGAAAGTTAAAAGTCCTTTGCCGCATTCAAACGATTAGTTAGAAAAACAAAAAAAGAATATTGTACACAAAATAAAATAAAATTTTAATTTTTTAAATTAAAAATATTGACTTCATAAACAGTAGCGAAAATGTATTTTATTCTTTTTATAGTATGTAATAATAAAAGTTATACGAATTCGAACCATGAATACAATTTCAATAAAACCTGTTTCACTAATATGACTACTTACTTACATATCGATTTCATTATAAAATATTAAAATATTTTAGGTTTTTAAAAGAAAAATTATTTTTTTTTAGTATAATTTTAGATAATATAAGTTACTGTTCTTATTCCCTCTAGTTCGTAGGAATTATTTCATAAGCTTAGAATCAGAGGTAAACGTCAACCAAAAAGAGATTTTTTTGTTTAAATTCATATCAATAATTTTTAACTCATTTTTTTTATTAAATTATTTTATATTTTTTTTTTTTTGTGAACAACTTTTTTACCAGAAATTTTGTTCCGATTTACAATGATAGAACTTTTTTTAAAAGAAAATCTGACTGGAAAGATACTTTAAGGAAGTCATTTTTCGATTTTTCTAGGAGCTTTCCCAATAAATGGGAAAAACATGGCAAAAACCGGGAAAAAATGGAAAAAAAGGTAAGTACAATATTAAACAAATATTATTAAAGAAAATGTTTAATGTATAGTATAATATGTAATTATTTTACCATAATATGACATATACAGGGTATCTCACAATGTTTTGCCACATGAAATAACTTTTGTTCAATTTAATATTTTCGATAAATATTTTTTTTTTAAATAATTGTCTCTGCGCTACTTATATATATATAAAAACATTTTTTTTTTTAGGAAGTAGGGAACTTAAAATAAAAAATTCTAAATAGCCATTTTGTAAAATAAATTTTTAGAAAATGTATAGTGGTTGAAACTTTTGTAAAAGTATGGTCTTTTATTTTCTACGATTTTTTGAAGTTTTTGCAAATGTGAATATTACCTACTGTGATTATCCTATTACAATATTTAATCAGTTATTAGTCGAGGGACATGACAAGGATTTTCTTTTCCATAAAACTAATATCATGCAATAATATTATATCGTATTATAGGTATAAGATAGTATCAATCAGTTAATAATAGTAATTTATGTTGATAAACAATATTGATATGATTGAAAAGACAATTATTCAAATTTTCAAAAAATCGTAGAAAATAAAAGACCATACTTTAACAAAAGTTTCAACCATCAAACATTTTCTATAAATCTATTTTACAAAATTACTATTTTGATTTTTTTTAAAACAATTATAGTAAAATTTTAAACTTTTTATTTTAAGTCCTATTCTCCCTAAAAAAATAATAATGTTCAGATGTAAACTGTAGCGCAGAAACATACTAATTATTTAAAACGAATATATCAAAAATATTGAACGGAATAAAGTTATTTCGAGTGGCAGATCATCGTAGGACACCTTGTATATTGTTGATAAAGCATCACTATCAACTAAATTCCACTCAAAATCGTTTTTTGTTAGCAATGGTCGTTGCTTACAGATATACATTAAATTCTCGTCTATATCCTACCTTTCCAACTTCCCACCGACAAAAGTGACAGCACAAAAAGTGATTTTATGTAACAAATTAACAAATTGTATTGTTTTAACATAAATTATTAATTTATAGTAAAATTATATATGTAGGTGTATTTATGTACAATACGTTTTTTTTTTTTTTAATACAACTATATAATTTAAAATTATATGTAAATTTACGCAGATCTACTCACTTTTTAGATTTTACCTATATGAATTTAATTTACTCGCAGTAAAAGGGAATAAAGTTGTGTCTCGCGTTTATGTAAATGCATATTACAAGACTGTATTTAAATTTCAATCAGCAGAGCTTTGTAAATTTGCACATAAAATAGGTGGGTGAATTTTTTAGCTTTTCATAAAAGCCATCGAGTTACACATTAACCCGCAGGATGACCTATTTTTTTGCAGTATAATACTATAGTAAATAGAGTATACCCCATAAAACATTTATTATTTTTTTTTTTTTAATAACCTGCAGTTTACTTAACTTTATTATTTTTATTTAAAACAAATTATTATTGTATACTATACTTACAATTTAATATATATTGTATTCCTATATTGGAATTGATTTGTTTACGAAATTAATACAAGAAGAAAGGGAGGTTTGATCAAGGTAGACATTTTTTCCCCCTTACGGCCATAATTTTTTATATAAATTACAAATATAAGACAGTTATCTTAGTGGCAAATCGAGGTTCATTGGTCTCTTGACCCACAGTTAATTTTTGCTGGTTAAATTTAACTCTCAGGCCTCAAAATAAACTAAAAATGTACACATAGCACTCATATCAGATAGATAATAATAATTATTTGTAATATTAAAATCATATCTTTATTCTACTCGACGTATTTTTGTCTCAAGTATTCTCCTAATACACAATTAAAATAGTTTTATTATTTTAGTTTTAATAAATAAACAACAAAAGTCTTTAATATAATAATAGTATCAATCAAGTTAGCTAAAAGTACAATAACCGATAAGTTATAATTTTTACAATAACATTATACATTAACAAAAATATTTGGTTATAAGAAAAGGAGGGATCCGCATTGGCGAGAGACATAAGTCACCTAATTTTTTCATTCTGTAGAATTCTGTAGGTAGTTAGTGGTAGAGAGGGAAAAAAGAAAAATAACAGTAGTTCTTGTAGTTCTCTGAGGAACCTTAAAGTTGAACAATGCAAGTAGGTAAAGCTAAATTGAGAATTTTAGAAACACGGACGTAGCCATGAGGATCACACGAAATATTTAACAAATAAAACCAAGAGTTTTAAGAGTCTTGTAACATATATACTCAATATGGGAGCCAGGGTCAAGTTTACTATTTAATATAAAACAAAGGTCCATAATACTATCAAAAACATGCATAATATAATATAGGTATCATCAAGTTAAAAAGAAGACAGGTGAGCGAATCCTAAATAAAGAAACATTTATTTAAATTTGAAGAGATTTAATGATAGTCTTAACTTAAATAACCTACATACAGAAACCATACATTTGATAAATATATTATTATTTATAAAAGCTTCAGTGAATAAATAGCATAGTGCACATTACAATATTTGATCAATGATCACTATAGTAATTTTAGCTTTATTGAAAAAATGATTCTATATAAAGTGAATCTCAAATTTGAATTCAAATGCTCTTGATTATAATATTATTGTATGATTTTTTTTTTCGGTAATTCATTATATCGACGGATTTCTCGGTCACCAAACGTCACGGGAAATACGAAAAATATCTCTTTTTCCGTTTCTCGACTGTTATTTGTTTATAATTTCCTGTATGTAAAGTAGGTAGGTACCTCCGTGTATCTATATCTAAATGAATATTTTTAGCCATGTTTATAGTATACAATAATATAGACAAAAAGTGTTTTTCAAGAAATAAAAATAAATAAAACATTATCATGATTGTAACAGTACCTACGTAAAATATTCATATAATAATATACATTATTATAATTTTCTCTATTTTCTCGGAATCTATTATAAACACAAGACAATCGAGGCAACTCGGAGAATCTTGTTATCTCAACATTTTTGCACGTACTTTTTTGTATCGTGTTCTCAATGGTCCATTTAAAATTTCACGTCAAATAAAACGTTTTCTCCTTTTACCTACCCGACGTGGTTTTGCAAAACATAACAAGATACATTTATTTGTGAAAAATATAAACAGAAAAAGAAAGTACAAACATTTTGTGGTAACACGATCCTTCGAGCCTAACCTAACCTAACCCTTCGGGATGGGGAAAGCCAAAGTTATTTTTATAATCACAAAATGGTGTGTTTCAAAGCGTGTAATTTAGTAACTTGCACCAAAATAACATATAATATACTAGGTTACATATAGTTAGGTGGTATGTACTTGAGCCAAATTCAAGAAGTAATATTATTCGTCGAAAACTATAGAGTAAAGCGAATCTCGGTTATTTTATTTAAATGGGTATTATTTTTATTGGAAAATGTTAAGATGCATACTTTATCGTAATAATAATAATATTATGACAATTACATTTACTATAATATCTTATTTGATACAAAAAATGTCGAGTTAAATCATACGAATTGGGTCAACGGTAAAGATGAATAAGACGATTTGCAATCGAAAAAATGTTCTACCAAGCTAAACAATGAAAATGCTTTTGTTGTCATTTAAAAGGATATACATGGCTGTCTCGTTTCAAAGAAGTTCATGATGGTGTCTCACTGCCAAATCAACGAGTTCCGTGTATAATAATAATAGTAGCATCATTGCGAATAAGAGAAATAACTGAAGAAAATATATACAAGCACAAGAGCACCGAACGGAATATTTACAAAAAATGTATGATAATGAATAAATTATATTGAAAAGTGTAGCATTCGAATTATTATTCTTATTGAATTATACAAAAAAATATTATATAATACGATTTTTGAGATTGAACTTAAGTGGAATGAATAATATTAGAATAAATAAAATGAGTAGGTACCTTATTATAGTGAGACGTAGTACCTACCTATTCAGAAATAATTAATTCATACGTCTATATTCTATATATTTAAAAATAAAAGTAAAATTTGATTGTTAAACCTTCTTTGAGCTTTTGTTGTAAAAATTAACAATTATTATTGAATTATAAAAAAAATAATTGCATACCATTGCAGGATATCGAATATATGGTATATATCTGAAAAAAAAAGCGGTTTCTTATTTTGTGAAATATCTAAAACAAATTAATTTACCTAGATATAATATAAAACAACTGAATAATAATTTTTAATTCGTTTTCACGGACGTCATAATTCCCCGTCTATGTATCGTATTAATTGATAATTCAATTATATTCCAATAAATCACAAACTAAAGCAAACTCAATTACTGTAGGATATCAAGATACAAAAATGTCACGGATCCTATTACGTAAAGTTAATAAAATATTTAAATTTTTACTCAGAAAAAATATTGAATAACGAAAAACCAGTAAAATAATCACCATCAATAGGTAATTTAATATTTGAATTTAAGCAGTGCTTGAAATGGGGGGAAAAAAAAAGACGGATTTTATAGTTTAGAAACCGTTGTTGCATGGTAGATAATAAGTTTTCACTGCATAACCTCGTGTATTAAATGTTTGTCACGAGATAACAAAGAATGTATTGGTTTTACTAAGATGTTTTTTTTTTTATATCTTGCTCTGATTTACAAAAATTTTCTTGGGATGGTATTTTAGGAAGATCATTTTTTAATTTTCCCTGTAGTTCTCCCAATAAAAGAGAAAAACTGAGAAAAAACATAAGAAAAACGAAAAATTTACGAAAATAATGCTTTTATTATTTAAAATGTTGTTTTCTTGTTGTAATTCAGTCAAAAATATTTATAGAGACTTGAAATTCGGATAGAAAACTTATACTTACATTTTTTAGACGTGGTAACATTTTCAAAATATTTAAGCCATTTTTAATCTATTTATAGACATTTTAATTTTGCGAGTTTTGTACGTAATTTTTATTAGGTAGGTACTCTGTGGTAAAATTGTTAGACTTAACAGAAATGCTTAAAAATTTAACAGGATTTTCATTAAAAGTATAACTTTGTGGCAAAAAAAAAAAAAATTGAGTTTACGGAGTATTTTTTTTTATAAAGGAATTTTAATATCAAATTTTGCCGAAAATCGTTTGAGTTTGAGTAACAAATTATGTGGAACAAATCTTATTTTCTTTTTTCTTTTCTTTTTTTGACATACGTATTTTGCCGATTTAAAAACCATGGTGAAGTCAGAATTGAGCGGACTGTCCAAGTTTCGGAATTATAGCTTTTTGAAATTCTGATATTATACATATATTATATGTTATGTTAAATAACTCTATATTGACTTCTTTAGAATATGATTGTCGTAGCCGAATAGTTCTACATATCTATTGTCATCCTAGTGGTCTTGAGCTCTTCAAAAAAAAATTGCACTTATTTTTTCCTGTTTACCATACAGGGAAAAAAACAAATGCATTTTTGGTGTACCTAGAAACCCAGCTATCGCTCGCTCGGACAAAATACCTCACCGATTTGTTGTGCAAACTTTACTACCAGAAATCTTGCTCGGATGTATGAAATGTAGCTTATTTTCTGAAAGAAAATTTTATCTCCATGGTAATTTAGGGAGGTCAGTTTTTGATTTTTCAAGCGGTTTTTATAATACCCGAGAAGAATGAAAAACGAGAAAATGTACGAAATATATTAGTTAAATATTACGATATTTTGTTTCTGTAGGTAACTTTTCTACCAGAAATTTAACACCGATTTACAACGATAGCATTTTTTCTAAAAGGAGATCTGATTGGGAAGGTACTTTAGAGAAGTCATTTTTTGATTTTCCAAGTGTTCCCCAGTGAATGTGAAAAACCAGGAAAAACACGGGAAAACCTGGAAAAACGAGAAAATCGGTAAAATATTAAACAAATATTTTATAGAAAATATACGAGGGCTAATCAAAAAGTATCGAGACTGATAATATTACTCGGAAACCGAGCGTTGAAGAGCAAAACGATTTGTAAACCTTGCTTCTATGACTTATACTNTTTTTCTAAAATTTGTTTTTCACGTTTGGCGATTTTGTAATGAATCCAAAAGAAGCGGAACTCGCTGCCACTCGAGGGCACATTTTCAGTTTTTCAATTGAAATTTAATGGCAAAAACCACGAAATGTTGCATCCATTTGAAACTGGTAAAAAATGCAGACAAATTTTCTAAACTCTCCAAATGTGTCAAGTTACTCTTCTTTTGGGTTTATTACAAAATCGCCAAACTCAAAAATATATTTTACAAAAATATCAGTGAAATCAAACCGAAGAATTTTATATAGAAGCAATAAAAACAAATGTACTCAGAAAAAGTCATAGAAGCAAGTGATACCAATCCTACTGCTCTTCGATGCTCCTTTTCCGAATGATACTACCAGTCTTGATAATTTTTGATTAGCCCTCGTATATTGTCTATTTAATTTTTTTACCATAATATGATATGTATATTATATATTGTTGACAAAACATCACTATACACTAAATTGTACTAAGAATCGTTTTTTTGTTAACAATGATTTATCGTTGCTTACAGATATGCATTAAATTACCTATAACAGTGGCTGCACCCGTCTCTATTATACTAGGACACATTTTTTTTCACCCTGGCTTTTTGGCCCTAAACGACTACTTTTGATTTTTAAATGGTAACTTATATTGAAAATTCCTTAAATAGATGGAGTAGGTAACTTTTCTACCAGAAATTTAACACCGATTTACAATGATAGCATTTTTTCTACACGAAGTTATAAAGAAGTGATTTGGTGTGATTTTAAATTACGCAATACACTTGGCACTTTAAATAAATTAATGGTTACTTTTCGAGGTTAATTAGTTATATATTTAACTATTTATTTAAAATGTATCATTTTTTTTATTTAAATACATATTTGACACGTGCAACGTTTTAAATTTATGACTTGAAAATAGTCTAAGAAAATATCCCCCTTGAAAATTTCCTTTAACAATAATACATTTTAATTATTTAATTAAATTCTTTTTTTTTTAACAATATTATTATACCCACTCAATTTTTTTCTTTGTCGAATTCCGGAGATTTTATCGATTTACCAGAAACCTACCGTTTTTTTATTTATTGTGTAATTTGATATTCAACAAAATCATTGTAAAATAATATTTTAATTCGTTGAACTGATTAGTCTGACTATTCATTTTTATTACGTTATAAATAGATACTCGTTTTTCTTAGTAAGTCTTTTAAAGACTTTAAAGTTCATAACTTTAACGAAACCCGTATAAAAATCAAGAAAAATCGATAAATAATTTTGTAGTTAAAAATAAATTTATTAAATTTAAATTAAGCAGCAAAAAATATGTTTGACTACGAGTACCACATAATTTTTTTTTTAAATTACAAAAATATTTTTAATTGCTATTCAAGTATTTACGTACCTACTTATACTTACTTGTTTACCTATATTATTAATCAGCGTAATATTTGAGTTTTAAAATATTATAATACAATAAATAATATAAAAAAGACGGACATACTTCGCATGTAATGGGCTCAGCTACTGTTGTAGGTGGAAAGTTGGGAAAGTAAGATACAGACAGGAATTTAATATATATCTTTAAGCAACAATAAACCATTGCTGACGAATAAACGATTCAGGACGGAGTTCAATTGATAGTAAAGCTTTTTCTACAATATATATGTCATATTAATGTAGTAAAATGATTACAATGTTCGTTTCTATGACAACAATGATTATTTAAAAATATTAAAATAATAGAAACTTATAAATATAAATAAATAAATAAAAACGGTTACCAATGACAACCGCTTTTTAATCTTTCAATCTTTTTAACCTAAAGAACCAGGTTTTTTTCATCATATCAAATATTAATGAGAATTTCAAAAAATAACCTCTTTAAAGTACCGCCCAGAGAACATTTCCTTTCAGAAAAAGTGCTATACTTGATAATTGGAGGAAAAATGTTCACATAAAAATAATTATAATAATAGTAAATATTATTGTAAAACTAATACATTCCTCGCTCCGCTCAGAATCTAAAATATAAAAGTAAATACAGAATTCGTAGAGTTTACGTTAATAGTACATAATATATATTGGCAGGATTATGATTTATTTATATTATGTAGACAGGTAGGTACGTAAGTACATTACGTTTAATTGAGTATTCAATTCAGCTGTGGTTACACAGCTATTATATTATTATAAAGGTACTTGACTACAAACAGAATTATAGTATCGGGCTTGGCTCCGTAGGGTACGTATACTATAGATAATATCTAGAAAATCAAGATATGTATATAAAACGACTTTATACTACAGCGACTCGTATATCACAACGACATAATAATAATAATATATTTACAACAACTTGCAATTAAAATGTTCGAAATTTGAACCATGTACTCAATGGGGTCTGCTAATGGACATGTTTAAATATTCAGTTAAGCCTCATAATGATAAAGGTTAAAATAAGTTTAAGTATCTGCATACGTAGGTCAAAATGGGGACGTCCTAAAAATACTATTAATTTTACATGAGTAGTAATTTCCTTTACTTTGATGTAATTAAATATCTAAATAACTGTATAATAAAAAAAAAACCTGATACTGGGGATGAGAGCGGCTACTATTTTAGGTGAGAAGCCTAGAAGGTAGGATACATAAGGTTATTTCATATATATCTGTAAGCAACGATAAATCATTACTTGATGAAAGACGATTCCGAACGTTGTTCGGTAATACATAATTTGAAGTGACGTATTTTTTTTTTTATTTTTTTTTGCGATTTTTGTTTAAATTTGATTTCCAAACGCTGATGTAAAAAAAAGTTATCCGAAGATTTTAGAAATTTTACCACATTTAGGTAAGTTCAATATAAGTATTATTACCAAATTTCAAGTCTCCACGTGTATTTATAACCTAATTACAGCAAAATAACTCCCAAAAATTAAAATTTCTTAAAAGCTCAAAAATGGGTCAAAAATTTTGGAAATGATACCATAAGAAAGTAAATAAAAAGGAAAACAAAAAAAGTGTTTTGTAAAAATAATGAAATCGTGAAATTGTACGGTTTCTTAAGTTTTTTTCCACTAAATTGCTTTTATTTAAAAATGGTGTCAAAAATCAAAAAATGACATCTTTAAAGTACAATCTAACTCGAACTTTCAGAAAAGTTGCCACACGTATACATCAAAGCAAGTTTACTAGAAAAAAACGTGTCCACAGACTAGAACAAAGAAAGAAAGAAAATAAACAGCATTGTAAAATCAATAGCACCCTGGCTACGCTCGGAATTTAAAATAAAACTAAATGCTTGATAAGTTAGCATACGTATTGTGATAAATAAAATGTAAAATCTTTAACTTGGTGTTTTATACAGTTTACACTTAATACACAATATCCTATTTTCCCTGGACCGGCTGGATTAGGTTACTCAATAATACCACGTGTGTACACTACAGAAAACGATAATTAATTGAAGACGAAATACGCGATTCTGAATGAAATTTAGTAAAACATGTTTTGAAATGCGTTAATTTTACACTAAAAAAAAGCAAATGCTTATAAATAACTTAAAACTAAAAAATATGTTTTTTTAAATTTAAACTAATAAAATCGTTAACGCAATAAATTCGTCCACTTTTTATTTACATTTTTTCCGGTTTTCCAGAAATTTATTAATTTTACTCGCGCATATTAATATAATTAACCATGTATATAAAAAAAATATATACCCATTGCATTATCTCGGTAAATATTAATTTTTTCCAGAATTTTTAGGTATTCAGTGGAGCGAAGAAGCTTATGGTTTTACAAAGAAGTATTTTTTTTTTTAATCTGTAAACAAATTTTTTATCAAAAGAATTACTCGGATTTCTAAGTGTAGCACCATTTCTGAAAGGAAATCGTTCTAAGAAGATACTTTTAATGAGGTCATTTTTCGATTTTCCCAAAAGTTTTCCAGTCAAATGTGAAAAACCGAGATATAACATTAAACAAATATTATTAAAGAAAATATATAAAGCCTATTTAATTATTTTACTATAATATGATATATATATATTGTTAAAAAAACATCACTATCAACTGAACTCCGCTCAGAATCGTTTTTTTCGTTAGCAATGGTTTATCGTTGCTTACAGATATACAATAAATTCCCATCTATATACTACCTTCCCAACTTCCCACCTACAACAGTGGCTGCACCCACGCGCTAACAGAGACGTACCAAGGAGGTTTTTATGGGGGAGGCAAAGTTAGTAGTTTGGCGAAAACTGATCCGGGACAACTTATTTTTGTAATTTTGTCGGAACCGTTTCATCATTATATTGTTAAAATGATTTAATTTATAAGTAAATTAAAAATTCAAGGAATAATACTTATAGATTATAAAAATATCCTTTACCATTAATTACAAAAATGTGCAACAAAATAATAAATGCTTAATAATAAAAATATATAATTTAATATATTTATAGATGGCGCTAGGGCCTGTAGGAATAATTATTATAATAATAATTATTATTAATATCTTTGATTTTCAATCTTCATGTATACAATTACAATTTATTATGAAAAATATTTATTTTTAAAATGGCACTGTGAAATGCTTTCACGGTTAAATAGCAATAGCTAATTGTGTGTACCACTAAAAAAAAAACCTCCTCGGTACGCCACTGAATATAATATATTATCTATTGGATACTAATCTACACAATTTTTTTCGGAAAAAAACAACATCAAACCTAATTGTTTAACCTAATATCTTCTTGGGTTATTCTTAAATGGTTTTTGACTAATTTCAATATGCTAAATGACCTTTCATTGCCAACAACGGTAACAGGTGCTGTACACGATAAGCGGCATAATAGATTGGCCAATGACAAAGTAGTTTTATAATTAATCAAATAAGATAAAATAAATAATAAAATATTACTATTATTATTATTAAATATGATTTATAATCTACATATATTAAATAACATTTCCTGACTGATTGATTCATCATCGCCTAGCCCAAACCACAGGACGGATCAGGCTGAAATTTGGTACACAGTTATTATGACGTAAGCATTTGCTAAGAAAAGATTTTTAAAAATTCAACACATAAGGGGGTAAAAAAAGGTTTTTTAGGTATATTCGATACGAATATCTAATTGCTTAATTATTTATTTTTGTTTATTCAATGGTTACCTTGGTGTTACGGATGATAATTTGGTTGCCACGGAAAATAAAACTATTATAATTATTATTATTACTATATTTTTTATACTATTAAATTTTCACAATTAAACAATAATAATAATAATAATAATAAAAATTGGCGTGGGCAACGCCGGGCGCGGGACAGCTAGTAAAATATAAGCAAAGACAGTACCACTAAACAAGTATTGTTGTATTTATATGTACATCAAATCAACATATTACAGATAACAATACATCATGACCAAGAATTAAGATATATCTTAATCAGTGATCATGACGCAAAATTGTTGGAAATAAAATTAATTGCCATAGAACAGTTTTATGGTTCTTCTATAGTCACTATTAGTGATAGTAGGAAATAGCAGTAGCAGATATAATAGCACTGTTATTTTACTATAGCAATAACAAACTGCTATTTAGTGTTAATATTAGTAGTGATTGCTAAATTTTGTTAAAATTTGCTAAAATCCCAGAAGATATCAAGTTAACCAGTAACCACGTTCGGTTGGCTATTTATAGTATCGATTACCATTTACATTGGGATTTATAATCCCTCTCACTACTGAATATCCCACTTGTTATTACTGATGCACACATCTGTAATGTTTACAACTTATATTTTCAATAATAAGTAATTGTATTCAACATCACTATCACAATCTTATACAAATTACCACTTAGCCATTATGTACAGTTATTTAGTTTTTCATAAATGTAAAATGGCCAACTAGAAAGTTAAAAAAAACAATTATTGGGAAAGAGATATTATGACCACCGTACCCCTCTAGGTTCACTCTTGCGTGCGAAGTATATCCGTCTTTAATTTTAAAAAACTTACGAAATAAATAGTTCTAAGGTGCTACTTTACTTTTTTTTTCAAACCTATTTTCAGGGGTAAAACGGCTACCTACTTTTGATTTTAAAATAGAAACCTATATTTAAAATTCCTTAAATAGATAGAGAATCAGTTAAAATAATTATCATTGTTAAAACTTTTCCACTTTAAGGTTGAGGCGGGGGGAAAGTAGTGGAGCACTGTCAAAAACACGACCGCCTACCACTACACATATGCTGTTCCACTACATTCCTCCTCCCACACCTAAACTTAAAAGTGAAATATTTCGTGAACAGCTTGACGGAAATCAAAAATGTCGACACCAAAAATTATTTTAATTGATACTCCATCTATTTAAGGAATTTTCAATATAAGTTACCATTTAAAAATCAAAAGTAGTCGTTTAGGGCCAAAAAGCCAGGGTGAAAAAAAATGTGTCCTAGTATAATAGAGACGGGTGCAGCCACTGTTATAGGTAATTTAATGCATATCTGTAAGCAACGATAAATCATTGTTAACAAAAAAACGATTCTTAGTACAATTTAGTGTATAGTGATGTTTTGTCAACAATATATAATATACATATCATATTATGGTAAAAAAATTAAATAGACAATATACGAGGGCTAATCAAAAATTATCAAGACTGGTAGTATCATTCGGAAAAGGAGCATCGAAGAGCAGTAGGATTGGTATCACTTGCTTCTATGACTTTTTCTGAGTACATTTGTTTTTATTGCTTCTATATAAAATTCTTCGGTTTGATTTCACTGATATTTTTGTAAAATATATTTTTGAGTTTGGCGATTTTGTAATAAACCCAAAAGAAGAGTAACTTGACACATTTGGAGAGTTTAGAAAATTTGTCTGCATTTTTTACCAGTTTCAAATGGATGCAACATTTCGTGGTTTTTGCCATTAAATTTCAATTGAAAAACTGAAAATGTGCCCTCGAGTGGCAGCGAGTTCCGCTTCTTTTGGATTCATTACAAAATCGCCAAACGTGAAAAACAAATTTTAGAAAAATATCGTCAAATAAAAACGAAGAAGTTTATAGAGATTTTATACGAATAGATGTGCTCAGTATAAGTCATAGAAGCAAGGTTTACAAATCGTTTTGCTCTTCAACGCTCGGTTTCCGAGTAATATTATCAGTCTCGATACTTTTTGATTAGCCCTCGTATATTTTCTATAAAATATTTGTTTAATATTTTACCGATTTTCTCGTTTTTCCAGGTTTTCCCGTGTTTTTCCTGGTTTTTCACATTCACTGGGGAACACTTGGAAAATCAAAAAATGACTTCTCTAAAGTACCTTCCCAATCAGATCTCCTTTTAGAAAAAATGCTATCGTTGTAAATCGGTGTTAAATTTCTGGTAGAAAAGTTACCTACAGAAACAAAATATCGTAATATTTAACTAATATATTTCGTACATTTTCTCGTTTTTCATTCTTCTCGGGTATTATAAAAACCGCTTGAAAAATCAAAAACTGACCTCCCTAAATTACCATGGAGATAAAATTTTCTTTCAGAAAATAAGCTACATTTCATACATCCGAGCAAGATTTCTGGTAGTAAAGTTTGCACAACAAATCGGTNCATAACATATAATATATGTATAATATCAGAATTTCAAAAAGCTATAATTCCGAAACTTGGACAGTCCGCTCAATTCTGACTTCACCATGGTTTTTAAATCGGCAAAATACGTATGTCAAAAAAAGAAAAGAAAAAAGAAAATAAGATTTGTTCCACATAATTTGTTACTCAAACTCAAACGATTTTCGGCAAAATTTGATATTAAAATTCCTTTATAAAAAAAAATACTCCGTAAACTCAATTTTTTTTTTTTTGCCACAAAGTTATACTTTTAATGAAAATCCTGTTAAATTTTTAAGCATTTCTGTTAAGTCTAACAATTTTACCACAGAGTACCTACCTAATAAAAATTACGTACAAAACTCGCAAAATTAAAATGTCTATAAATAGATTAAAAATGGCTTAAATATTTTGAAAATGTTACCACGTCTAAAAAATGTAAGTATAAGTTTTCTATCCGAATTTCAAGTCTCTATAAATATTTTTGACTGAATTACAACAAGAAAACAACATTTTAAATAATAAAAGCATTATTTTCGTAAATTTTTCGTTTTTCTTATGTTTTTTCTCAGTTTTTCTCTTTTATTGGGAGAACTACAGGGAAAATTAAAAAATGATCTTCCTAAAATACCATCCCAAGAAAATTTTTGTAAATCAGAGCAAGATATAAAAAAAAAAACATCTTAGTAAAACCAATACATTCTTTGTTATCTCGTGACAAACATTTAATACACGAGGTTATGCAGTGAAAACTTATTATCTACCATGCAACAACGGTTTCTAAACTATAAAATCCGTCTTTTTTTTTCCCCCCATTTCAAGCACTGCTTAAATTCAAATATTAAATTACCTATTGATGGTGATTATTTTACTGGTTTTTCGTTATTCAATATTTTTTCTGAGTAAAAATTTAAATATTTTATTAACTTTACGTAATAGGATCCGTGACATTTTTGTATCTTGATATCCTACAGTAATTGAGTTTGCTTTAGTTTGTGATTTATTGGAATATAATTGAATTATCAATTAATACGATACATAGACGGGGAATTATGACGTCCGTGAAAACGAATTAAAAATTATTATTCAGTTGTTTTATATTATATCTAGGTAAATTAATTTGTTTTAGATATTTCACAAAATAAGAAACCGCTTTTTTTTTCAGATATATACCATATATTCGATATCCTGCAATGGTATGCAATTATTTTTTTTATAATTCAATAATAATTGTTAATTTTTACAACAAAAGCTCAAAGAATGTTTAACAATCAAATTTTACTTTTAACCAATACATTCTTTGCTACACTTTTAATCTAAAATGTAGAATTGTTCGTAATTTATAAAAAAAATAATAATAATTCCGAAAAAAATAAGTACTTTCCGAGATATTTCAATGTGTATATCTGTGTAGGACACTGTATGCGTGTTTATGTTTTGAAACATAATAATGTATGTATGTACTAAACAAAAATAATGATAATAATCCGAAGAACTGCATCTCAGATAATAATAATAATCAATAATAATGGAGACCGTTAGGGGCTGAAAATGTAAAAATAATATTATTTTAGTGCCACTATAGTAAGGGAATTTTTGAGTGATAAATCTATCGGTAATTTAATACTTGTAATCAGATTTGGAACCGGTGAAATTAATAAATACTAATTCCCATCATTATGAGTTCTGAGTATTTAAACGTTAGAGATAAGTATACCTAATTAATGTTTATGCAGAGTCGATTACATTGCGATTTTAATATTTATCACTTATCAGTTATTCTTATTACACATTATATTAATAATATTAACTTTGTATTATAATTTTACAATAGTTATTAGTTCCAAGTGATATTTTTCTATTTCATTTTATTCATTGTTACCTAAGCACTTGAATATTATTATGAGTTGTACTTTCAATGTTATGCAGGGTTAAACTAAACATTTATTTAACCTTGAATATTTTGATTAAACTATCTACATGTAATGTTACAATATATAATATTTAATCTTACATATAATTCATTTTAAACAAAAAAAAAAAATATACTAAATGAAGATTTAACTAATCCAAAAAAAATCCAGCGTTCTCTAGAATAAATTCAAACCGACGACCAGACCAACCCCCAATCTAACTTAAACTATCGAGCTATAACTACACATCAACCAATTAATGAACTAAACAGGGTATTTAAATTTACAGTTTTAAAAACTACATTTTAATTTTCAGTAAATTAGGCCTTATTACAGTTTACAATACAAATGGAAAAGAAAATAGTCTTTAATTGGGTAGAAGGAAATGCGAAATAAGATTGAAGATAGAAGGTCAGGAGCATCGATAGATCCATTGATAAGAACGAAAATTAAGAATAAGTTAGACTGTGTCCGTCGAGAGGCTAATATGAGAATGCCAAGGAAGGAAAGTTTATAATATATTTAAACTTTTACTTTACATTTAAAATGTATTCTAGTTTGAATATTCAAAAATTAAATATTGATTTTGGATGATTTAAAATTTAACTGAACGTTCAATGCGTATACCAGAAGGTTTACCGTTAGAGTGAATATTGGGTATATATTTAAACATTGTTTTAAATTACATTTTTAAATCACTTGATTTTGTTTATTTGATTTAAACTTTTTTGTAAATCAAATAATTAATTAAAATTATATTTAAATATAATATATATTATAATTGAAATAAATATTTTTTTAAAATTAAGTTTGAATTAATATAGTTATGAACATAATACAAAGTGAGGACCGTGGTGCCTGATGTTTGCAGATGATGTGCTTGTAGTTTGTATAGGAGAACATTTAGAAGAAGTTAACAATAGGCTTGAGGAATGAAGAGTGATGAAAAGGGATAAATAGAAAGGAACCAGATCATATAGAGTGTGAGTTTAGAAGTAAAGGACAAGAGATTGATGGGATTAGACGAATAATAACATAAGCTAGATTGAAAGTTTTATGTAGGTACCTAGAAACTTTTATAAAAAGCAACGACGGCTTTAGAGAGTTACATCCCGATACAAAATGAAATAGGATAACATGGGAAGAAATGCGGTTGGATCAACTAAAGAAAAACGTCTCATGTTCTACGCGATAAATGAATATCAATGGGATTTAAAGGTAAGTTATACAAGAGTGTGGTCACTACTCTACGGTGAGATCGACTATGTCATATAGTTTGGAATGATAGACAGAAAATTAGAATAGAAAATGAGTGTAGTAGAAATGAGAATATCTAGGTATGGATGAGTAGAATAATAAGAGAATCTAGAATAAGGAACGAGCACATTAAAGGAATCTAGCAATTGATTCGATTGAAAATGATATAAGAACAGTCGGTGTATGCGAGAATGTGGAAGATCGAATAAAGGGGTAATGTAGGACTCTGGCGGATGAGACCAAATCATTGGAATGAAGGTAAAAGAGAAAAAGATCATTGTTATTAATAAAAAGATTTCCAGTTAAAAAAAACCTATGTAAATTAGAGTTTTGAAAGTGATTGCATTTTTGAGGCATAAAAATAGAATATTTAAACGAGGTCGCGTAAATGTTGGGAAATATTTGTTCAGAACTGTAATTTTGTGGCAAAATAATTTATCGAAGACGTATTTTGTTGGATGATGTGGTATTGGTCATATAGTAATTTAGGATGATGATGGTATATGAATAATAGTTTTCCGTTGTTTGGATGATTTTCAATCCTTAGATTTCTAAAAATTGTTCTATGTAATTTTTACATGGTAATTAATTGGAGACTTAAATAATCTAAGCCGGTGTTAAAATAATTCATGAAATAGTTTAGTGATGACGCTTTCGAACATTTTCACCGTATATCAAGAGGTTCGAGCATGTTTTTGTTTTGTATACAAAACACTTCAATTTTTAATTTTCGTTTTTAATCTTTCATATTTATTGGACTTTAAAATTTCCATTTTAAAAACTAAAACGGTGTAAAAGAACACTGTGCTGACCATGACTCAAACTGTACCATTATAATGAACTAGTTGACTTAATGCTTTTATTTAAGGGTGTTCCACATAAAACTAACATAATATATTAAATAGCGCATTTATCTTATGGTGTGTTTTTTATCCAAAATGTACATATCTTGAGTCTGAAATTTAAGATTTATAGACTTCCCCTTCCCTCTCCCCTTTAAACTTTTTTTTAAAATTCTATCTCCAAATACTTTTTTCCCAAGACTTTAATAGCTCGAGATTTTTTCAGTTTCCATACTTTATAATATATGCGGTGGCCTCATAATCGTAAGGCCTACCTGTGGTAATTGTGGCATTGTACGTAGGTACATTTTGTATTTTAGTAAAAAGGTACGGTTGTATAAATCCTGTGTTTTACTTCGTGCATTAATATTTACCATCACAGAATAGATTTGAATTAAATATAGTATTTTAGAAAGTTTCACAGTGAATATAATCAATAAGTGTAAATATAGGTAGATAGGTATAATAATATGTTCTGCCTGTTCTGGATTCCCGAAAGAAAAACATAATTATAAGAAAATCAATAAACGTCGAATACCTAAAATTAAAATTAAAAAACTCGTCACATGAAAATGTAAATATAATACAATGAAAAGAAAATGGACAAGGGATCGAATGTTTAGCAATGGCGTGACTATAGGATTTCCAGTAAAATTACGGAAGTTCTAAAAGTGGATAATATGGATTACGAAAAGTATTACAATACTTTATGCAATTTATTGCGGAAAAAAGAAATCATTTCGAAAAATTCGTTTGGATGAAAATGTATCCAAGTAGGTACCTATCGATCTAGGTAAATTATGTTGGATGCCATAAATAATCGTATATTCATCCGGGTAGGTATATGATAAAAGACGACCCTAAATAATATTATCGTAAATCATTTTATAGATAAATCTCAACACTAAAGACCGAAAAAAAGACCGAACGTCCTTATTTTTACCGCGTGTGCGTAATTTATTGATAATATTATAACAGTAATAATATAATTAATAATAATTATAACAATATTGCGTTGTATCGAAATTATTTTTTATTAAATGTAATCATAATATTATAGTATACCTTTGACGGGAAACCGCGGATCGCGGAAAACGATTGCAGTTGTACTACCGGCGGCGACGGCGCTGTGTTGTAGTGGTCTACGACGACAACATTGTTCCGACGGGGATGCGACGAACGTCATCACTGGTACCGTCAAGTTTACCGAGGATGAAATACTTCTTTCCACACCATCGGCGGCGCGGATATTATCGCGGCAGCACCAGTGTAGTGGCGCACACGCTCGAAACGACAACGGCGTCTGTAGCGGCAGCGACGACGACGGCGACTGGGACGACGTTGTATCGCCGGACACATCGATTAGTAACAACAACAGTCATAATACGCCGCGTCGTCCGAGAATACTAATAACAATATTATTTTTGCTCGTATAGAATATCAGTCGGTATCGTATTGTGTTTATCTGTACTCGGACGGAATAACAAGACTGTATAGTGAAACAACAATAACGCCACGGCGGCTAAACGACAACCGCGTGTCCGCGTATCTTTGTATATTATGATTGAAAAAGGGGGAGAATGAAAATCCGCCGGACTGCGTGCACGCGTCGACTACGGGAATAATAATAATAATAATAATAATAATAAAATAAATACTGCTATATGTTTGCGGTAGTACGACAACAACAACAACAATCACTACTGACCGTGTTTTCGCGTTTTTCGACGTCGACGGAGAATCCCGGAGTTGCGCGTCCGAAATATAATAATAATAATAATATAATACTTTTGTAAAAGTATATTAACGTCGTGGCAGCCGTGGCCGAGAGACAGCAGCAGCGGCAGCAGCTTAGTAGTACCCCGCGCGATATCGGTCGGTGTGTATAGCCGGCCGCGTGCGACTGACAGTTTCCTTTTTTTTAACGCCCTTTGCACACTCCGGTATCCATGGCAACCCCCTTTCCACCGTCTCCCTTGCGCGCGCGATGATGATTGTCAAACAGCTACCGCCGCCACTGCTGCCGTTTGCGCCGCCGACGACGACGACTATACCGATATACACCGACGACGACGACGACGACGACGACTATACCGATATGCACCGACGACGACGACGACGACAACGTGGCTAGACGTATAGGAATTTAAAAATTAAACACGTTTAAAATAAAGGGATATTAGAGGAGAAACAGAGACTGCCGGGACCGCCGCAATCGTTCTGACGGAGAATGATGAGGGAAAAAAACCAACTGAAATCCGATTTATTATACTGTCCCCGTATATAATACCCGTCGTGTCCCTGCGACGACGACGGGTCGGACTAATAAACGTGGACGAAACGCTCATGTGTGTATATATATATATTTATATTATATAGGTATACGATATATACGGTTTAACTCCGTACTGCGGCCAATAGCTGTTAGAGAAAATCAATGTGGAGTATGACTGTAAGCAAACGCGTGAACCTTATACGTATCTACATATATATTTATAGTTTGTGACACATCTTTGGGGGGGGAGAAAGAAACAAAATAAAAAAAGTCGGTCGCACGTCGTCGTCACAGCGGTTAAATAAATGATAGGGAAAAAGATTTTTTTTCAATGTATCACTAGATTGAATACAAGGCATTTAATAAAAATCTTTAAAAAAAAAAAAATACCGCTCGAAAAATGTATGCCCACAAAATGATTTTAAATTTTTTTCAGTTTTTATCAGCGAAATTTGAAAATAATTATTTCGAAATTATTATAATAAAACACTTCATAGTGTTATTGAACATAATAAAAATTTATATTTCTAGATTCTGAGACATACTTATAAGAAGTTATTAGTTTTGCGACGATACATTTTTTCTAGGAAAAAAACACATTTACAGTTGGTAAAAATAAAAGTACAGTTTTGTCATGTCATACCTCAGAAGACACTGAATTTCGATTCGGTGGTACTTTATTTTAAACATTTATCGACATTTTCAGCAGTTTACTATAAATCGCATTAAATCGTTGTTTTTGTTGATTTCTGGTTAGATACCTTGGCAGTAAAGAATAAAACATGAATATAATACTACTCCTCTCAAAATCGTTTTTTTGTTTGAAAATTTATTAAAAACAGAAATTGTGTAAGAAAAAAATGTATCCAAAAAATAATGCATATAAACATTTCAAAACAGAGTTTATTATATCGTTACATCATAATATACCTATAGACCTATAGTATAATATTATAGTTTGAACTTTTTTTACTATACGAAATCCCTAGTCTTACGAGTTATGAAAAGCAGGAAAAAAAACCTATGGGCTACAGATTCAAAGTCCTATAATATTATAAATTATAATAATTATTTATTCGCGATGTATGTATATAAAAATTATATTCGATTTAATGATATGATTTCATTAATATTAACGATGAGCAGTGTGTAGTTGACAAGAGTTCGTTCGGATACTGCTTGATTACTGTTTTTAATTAATCGTCCTGATGAGTAGTACCTAAGTACTATTTTTTTTAACGCGATTTCGTCGGATGCGTTTTATAATAATAATAATAATAATTTTTTTATGCTTACGATTTGTTTGTCTTATTATTATTGTTTTAATAATCACGCGATATTTAGCTGGCTGCGGCATAATTAAAAATATATAAAATCTTCAATATCGTATAATAAATTAATAATAACAATCTTTTTTTTATAAGTATTATTGTATACAGGCACGTGTACAAGGGGGGGGGGGTTAAGGGGTTTAACTTCCCTCCTGAAATTTCATGAAAACGATTATGAAAGTAGATTTTTAATAGAGTCTCAAAAATGATTTATGTCAATGAGGAAGATAAATACAATTTTGGTTTTTTTTTTAATTTTCTTACTAGATAGCCAGGTACCCACTGTAACCTAACCTATATTATATTATTGTTATTATTGTCATACCTAAATTTTTACGGTTTTCCTGCTTTTAGAAAATTATAACTGATACGGCGATATCGCGTATTCCGTATTTTCATTACAATAATATAAACTACGTTACCATTTATGCTATACCTATTTACTGAAAAAATATTAAATGTACAATTTAGTAATAAGTACCTAAAAGTCTAAAAAGCTGTCCTAGGATAATGGTGATGAGTGTAGCCACTATTATAGATAATTTAATGTATATTTGTAAGCAGGGATTAACCATTGCTAATAATAAAATTGTGAAACGGATGAAACATATTCTATATTTAGTGTGGTAATACCCTATTACCTAGGAAACCGTATTGGCGATTGTCGATTACTCGGTTTGTTAAAATACAAGTTAAGGTAAAACATCCGTCGTTTTTCAATATTATTTTGTGAAATGTGATTAGTCATTATATCGTCACCGTCACTAGTTGATTGATTTCGTCTTCGTAGTTCGTACTTTGCCGTGAATTTTATTCGTAACAAATATTGTGAAAATGTCGAAAAAAATATCTAGAGTTCACGAAAAGCGTAGAAAAAAGATGGAAAAATAAGAATAATTGTTAAAACTGCCTAAAATAAGTGGTTTTTTTTGTAATATTGTTCCTCCCGAAAATAAAGTGAAGTTTTAATTATTAATAGTAATAATACCGAGGTTAATATTGAGCCGAGTGTATAACATAGTATTACAAGTGAAACAACTGACCGTGAAGACTTCACCTCTGAAATTTGACCATGTTTTTCTTCTAAATAAATGAAAATAAATCGTTTGATATTGTTTTTAAAAATATTATTGATACTTTTTCCGATCCAACGGATCTTGGTTATTTTAAAGAAATCGTGTAAGATACTAAAACTAAACGTTTTATAATTGAAAATGGACATAGTAAACCCAAAACTAAGAGGCCTTTTCCTAAAAATTCAAACAATAGATATTTAATTTTAATCTTCCTGTAATATCTGCAAGCTACATTCCAAGCTAAACATGATTAAAGGCTATTTAAGAAGTACAATGACCCAAGATCGTTTAAGTAGCCTAGCATTACTTTCTATCGAACAAGAAACAGCTCGAGGGGTTAACTTCGAGAATTTAATTGATAATTTTGCTGAAGCAAAAGCAAGAAAGAAGACATTTTTATAAAACTTACTGCATATTACTTTAAATACAGGTATAAATTAAATATATATTTTTAAAATTGTGATATTTCTTCATTTATATTATTTAAAAAAATGAGATACATATTATAATATGTTATAAAAGTGACCTTATTCCTAATTGTAGAATAAATATGATTAATCTTATAAATCTAATAAAATATTATTTTGCGATAATAAAATAGTATAGTAAGGTTATTAATAGACAACGGTGTTAAATTAAATTATTTACTTACGAAAATAGCGTATTTTATGAAAAATAGTCCTCATTTACTATTTATTGTTACAGTTGAAACTTGGAAAATATAAACAAATTTGTATGTATATATTTATATATATATATATATACGGCAATAAGGGAGGGGATTGAGCCCTTTAGCTCTTTCTGCGTACGCTACTGAGTATCACAATTCTTCAAGAGTTTTTGCCGCCACCGGCACTTCCTTCCACTCTTCTCTATTTTGTACTTTCTTCCCAATCTAGTATCCCTAGTTTCTCTAAGTCCTGCTTTATTCCATTCATTCATCGCTTCTTTGGACGTTCTCTTAGTCTCTTCCCTGTGGATTTCCACTCAACCACCGCTTTAAGGTACTCTGAGTTGGGCCTTCTCATCATGTGTCCAAACCATTTTATTCTTTGTGATTTCATAAAGTTGTTTATTCTTAAAACCTCTGTCAAATCTCGGATCTCTTAATTCCTTCTTCTGCGCCAGCATCCTAGTTCTTTGTCATATACTGGGCCACAGATGGTTCTTCGTATGTTGTTTTCAAAGGACATAAGGTTTTGTTTCATTCTGCTGGTTAAAAGTCATACCTCACATCCATATGTTAATGTTGGTCTACTTATCGCCGTGTAGAGATGTACTTTGATTTTTCTAGAGAACAGTTTAGATTTTAAGTATTTAATTAACAAAAATGATGCCTTTTCTGCCTTAATGATTCGGCTATTTAATTCAATGAACCAGTCATTATTACTACTGATAGAGACCCCTAAATATGTAAACTGGTGTACTTTTTCAAATTTATATTCTTGAATCATCACATTGTCAACCTGGTTGTTGTCTGGTAATAGCTCCATGACTTTGGTTTCATTATCATTTAAATTTAGCCCTATGGTTTTCGCTTCGTTAATGAGAGCTACGATACTCTGTGCCACACTCTCTTCATCGTCACTAACTATATTCAAATCATCAGCAAAACCTAAAATACCAATCTTCATTATGCTGACGTCGATATTACAGTTATCCCTTTGTATTGTAATGATATGCTATTTAAGCTATCATACATTATGTAAAATAAAATATTATAAGTCAAACAATTAACAACGGAAATTATATTTAAACATTTACATCCGATGCCATTCTTTTTTCTTATTAAATAACATATATTTTAGTGCGATATTTACTCATCGTAAGGAGATAATACTTAAGCTATCATATATAATTAAAATAAATTATATAGTCAATATTGTAAAATAATTATATTAATTTGTAGCCATTAATTATTAGATTAAGTTGTTAGTATTAACCAAATTAAGATAATACATTTACACACGCACACACACACAGATCTCCAGTTATAAGGAGGCCGGACACTTCTAATCACTCTCAGTGTATGTATTGTTCCCGTTGCTTTTGGACAGATGATCACAAGCGAGTGTAAAAGACTACGCAGAGATTCTTACAAAAGCACGGGAACCTAGAACAGTGTTTTATATTTTTAAAAAAATTAATAAAAAAGAAACAGTTGTTATATTAAAAATCTTTTTATTTACTACGATCACCTATATCAAATTCAACAGATCAATTTGCCGCCTGAAGAAGAAAGGTAAACAAATTTATAATTAATTTATACGTGTGAATCGAATTTTACATAACTAGGCACCTCCCGCCTTATTTTTGAATTACTACAGTATTCTCCGTACAACTATCTCCAGTGCAATATTGAACAGTAGTGGTAAAAGAGCATCGCCTTGCTTTAAGCCTTTACCACTTGGAATTCTTCGGATAATATGCTGTCAACTCTTGCTTGGTATTTTGTGACATTCATGCACACTTTTGTCAGAGAAATGAGTTTACTTAGAATTCTGAATTCGTACATTATATTATAAAAGCTTTTCTGATGGTTGCCTTTTCATAAGTCTTTTTTAAGTCTTTTTTAAGACTATAATTACCTGCCAAATATTTTGTTTGTATTCAAACTTTTTTTTATATATATTAACGTTTATGCTGTTGCAAACTTCTTGAACCTAGACTCACTATGTATAAGACGTAAAGTAGCTAATATTATCTTAGTTTGTGATATCTTAAACAATCTCATCCACTGTCTTGATTTATTATCTGAAATTGGTTTCCGTATACAATGCAAAAACACTAGGAACTTAGACCTATTTGAAATTCCCAATTACAACACCAACTGTGGATACAATTCATTTTTTTCAAGGGCTCTTATTTAGGCCAATAGGATTTCCACCACATTAGATTTTTTACTTCCTCGAAACGCATTTAAGTTTAAGGCCTTAGAATTAGTAAGATTATTTCATTAATTTAAATTATGATAGAAAACATTATATACTGTATATTGTGTATATATATATATATTTTTTTTTTCTCTTTGGTTTTATCTAAAATGTTATAATTAGTTATATAATTTTGTAAAATGGGCATTTGTTCATGAATAACAATAAATAAATAAATAAATAAATAACTTTATATTGTACATATAATGCATATTTGTCGTGATCTAATAGTTATTTATACCTATTATCATCTTAGGAGTTCCAAGTTTAAACCAGTGTGTTGAAAAAAAAAATGTTTTCATTTTTTTCCCCGTTTTACCTAAACAAGGAAAAAACAAATGCATTTTCGATGTACCTAATGACTATTTTAATCACAAAATACCCCTCGATTTTTTGTGCAAACTTTTCTACCGGAAATCTTGCTCCGATATATTAAGTGTAGCTTATTTTTTGAAAGAAAATTTTTTCTCCATGGTAATTTAAAGAGGCCGTTTTTTGATTTTTCAAGCGAATTTCATAATATCTGGAAAAAACCGGAATAAAATGTCGGAAAAACGGAAAATATACAAAATGTAGGTAAAAGTAAAACAATATGGCCTTTTTTTTCTGTGTACAACTTTTTTACCAGCTATTTCACTTCGATTTAATATGATAGCACTTTTTTTGAATGAAAATCTGACTCAGAAGATACTAAAAGAAGGTAATTTTTCGATTTTTCCAATAAATGAGAAAAATTGGGGAAAAATAAGGGAAAATCGGTACAATATTAAACAAATATTATTAAAGAAAATATATAATGCCTATTTAATTATTTTACCATAATATGGTATATATATTTTTGATAAAGCATCACTATCAACCGAACTGCGCTCAGAATCGTTTTTTTGTTAGCAATGTTTTATCGTTGCTTACAGATATACATTAAATTACTTATAACAGTGGCTGCACCCGTCTTCATTATCCTAGGACGTCTTTTTATACATACATCTTTTATTTACGACTATTAACCATTTTAATAATTTTGTTTTTACTTATTATTTTATTATGGGAAAAAGCCATAGTAAACACGATGATCAAGGACAATAATTCATCAGATTTATAAGATTAGTTTTCGGTAATATTTTAAAAGACATATTACAGACTATCTGTCTGTATATTATAGTTATTTGTTCGTTATTCGTTATCATTATTATTGCACGCCAGTAGTAACTTTACAGTTGTGTAGAATAATTTTCACAATTATTGTTTTATTTATTTTTTTTAGACACTATTTATAGACTTAACTTGTTCCTTATATTATAAGTTATTAAGCCAGTGAATTGTATTATAGTTGTTTACAAATTTAAAAATAGAAGTAGATCGTATAATTATTATGGTTTTTTATGAGTGGTGCAGATAAACGTAAATAGGCAAAAGAAAAATAATAAAAAAAGCCGGACATACTTTGCAAGATGAGTGCAGCCACTGTTATTGGTGAGAATTTTGAAAGGTAGGATACAGCATAATTAAGCCGATAAAATTTAAAAACAATTTTTTTTTTGACAAATGTAAAGGTAGCCATTTACAGAGTTTATATATTTTTTTGAACATTTTAATGTATCAACTTTTTATTTTCGTTAAATTCGTGATTTTTAATAATTTTTAAAGTTCAGAGAAAAAAGTGTTCTTTTAATTAGCCATAAAAATAGTAAGTTATTAATTAGCAAATGCGATTACAGCCGGTTGTATAATTATAGATACTTTTCCCTGAACTTTAAAAATGATTAAAAATAACGAATTTAATAAAAATAAAAAGTTAAAACTTCATTTTCAGAAAAATAAATTCTAAAATGGATATCTTCAAATTTTTCAAAAATAATAAAATACAGGTATTTTTTTTCACTTAAACATAAACATTTCATTTAAAAATAAATCTTTGGTAGCCCTTATCCTTGCGATTAATTTAAAAAAAAAAAACAGAATTAGATTATCTTTATTATCTCAGGAAATACTGCATTGGGTACCTATATCATCGTAGGACACCTTATATATTATATTATATTATATAGTAACGAGTTCGTTTTCATGATTTTATAATTATTTTCTGAGCTTTCACTATAAAGAGAAACATTCGGGATTATACTGCTGCTGCTATTTGTTTATAATTAATTTCAAATCAAATAGTATACAAAATAAACTATACTTCAAATAAAAAACATAAGTATATATTGGTAACTTATATACGGTATAAAATATTAGAGTGTATATTTTGTGTTCGGAATTATCAGTGGGGTTGGCTCAAGAATTTTTCGGGACGGGATTTTGTAAATAACGATCATGATTAGTAGCAGTGCGTGAATAAAATTTACGGGAAAACTTAATTTTTATGTAATTATTGGTTATTTACTTATTTATATACATTTTTACTTGAAATATTAGTATTTATTCACTGATGTATCCGATCAACTTAGCTTAGATTAACTTAACTTGGATTTTTAATTTACTTTTTTCATCATTCATAAATTAATGAATTGAATCTAATGTGCAATATTTTAATTCCATATTTTTAATTTTTAATAAAAAACGTGGCAAGTTTACGACGCACTACACAAATGTACGCAACGAATACGGAGTACCGCGCTGCCCCGTGGCAGAGACTAGTCTCACGGACTCCACACAAAAACCATTATCGCTGTGATTCCACCTTCACTCCTGAACTTTTATTTACCTCAAATCTATTAGAATTGACCTTTTCATTCGTTTTACGACCACGTCATTCGTCGTTATCGCTAATTTCGAAAATAGCTTAGAATATAATTCATACTTATACACACACACCGATGAAGAGAATATTAATTATATACACATATAATATTATTTATGTAGTAATATATAGGTAACAAACTAAGATTAACTCATAGATTAGTAATCTGAGATTAGACAAATAATTGAAAAATATTTGTTATAATATCATTGAGGAGAGGTCGTCTAAAAGTTTCCCCTGACGCACTGCCCCTGATTATGAATAAATCTTCTTCTATACCTAACTCAGGAATAATAATTTAAAACTGGATCAACAAAGTCAATTTATATTCAATAAACTATGTCTTTCGTTATAAATTATCTAAAATAGATACACAAAATTAAACTACTAAATAAATACTCACATTTGTTTTATTTATAAGCCATTGTTCACCCAAATCTCACTCCACGGTCAATAATATTTTTATACCCAAAATATCATTAATAACTGCAAAACTAAAATAATACAATTTATATAAGAAACTTTTTTTTATAAAAGTTCATAATTTATTAAAATTGTCTTTTTTAATAGTTTTTAAACGAAAAAAAACCGTATAGTAGGTCATGCATTTTTAATATTATAATACGCCTTTCAATTCATGTGGTTTAGTGATAAAATGTAAGTACCAATGTATAGAAACATACTTGTCCATTATAGCATATATACCTAAATAAAATATACTTTTGGGCGTTCCTGAAAAATAAAACGCAAATGCACATCAATCATAATCCTTTCGAGAAAAAAAAATGACATACAAATAAGTATTTCAAGAAGCTCACCAACACCACTCTGCAATGCGGCTGCCACTTTAAAAATATGTTTTAATACTTAAAAACTCATCACTTAAAACAAACATTCCGTTCAAAGAAGTTTAAACACGTTCTACAAAATTGAACGATATTTTCTATAATATTATGCA